ACATCATGATGACAATACTTTATAACGTAATCTGATAGCACTAAGATGATCAGGAAAAGGGTGTTGAAATAGATGATGTATCCTATCTGTGTGGACTCTTTTAATCCTTTGATCTTGATCTTTCTTGTATGAAAGGCAAAGAATATTCCAACTAGCTGCAGGAGCACTCTGTAGCCATTCTTTACTGCAAGAAAGATCCTGCTGTGATCGCACAAGAAAAAGTAATAGTTCTTCAGGGTACCATCCTAATGAATTATGATACTAATGATAAAGTATACCTTATCACTAACCAGTGCTGCAACTTCAAACTGTTGAGTATCAGGAACTATTTTAGTTTTTACTCTTGTACTGCGTGTGCTTGTTTCTATTATCAGGAGCAATACATCAATTCCAGTCAATAGAGCTACAATAATGAACAGCATCCAATCTTTGATTGACTGCCAGTAAAAAATATAAAATGAGACACCTTTAAAGACCTCCTAGCATACCGACCTTTTTCTTGCTGCTTGGATTGGCAAATATGTAATACACTCTTCCAGACTTTGCCAGTATTACAGAGAAACAGAGTGAATATCCGAATGAAAGGGACCAAACAGAAAGCTATAAAGAGAAATAACATTCTATCTATGGTTAATGCAAAATGTACATGCGTACGTTACACAGAATCGATTGCTTTGCTATCTCATCATAGCCAGTGAAGTAGTACACGATGAGGTACATGTGAGAGTACAGTATCACTGATCCAAGTATTAGGAGATAGTTAAGATTTGGACTAGAGAGTTTCACAATCCTATAAACATAATTCCACAAATAGTGCCACACTTAGCACTCAAATGGCTTTTATAGAAAGGATTCTTACTTCTTCTTTCTGAAGATGATGGTAAATGCTAAACATACTCCAGCAAACATGACTCCAGCAGATGCAAGCAGAGTAAAAACTGTGACAAATGCTGAATTGTATTCTCTTATCTTCTTTTCAGCGTACCCATCATATGGAATTTCTACAACAGAAATACTAAGGTTGAAATTTAGTAGAGATCTACTTACTTCCCCATAAAGTAGATAATGGTTCGATGAAAAATAAGATACTGTTGCGAATGCCATCTCTGTTAACTACTCTAACCATTGGCTTTCTAAGTGTTCTTATACCATCTGTAAATCAGATTTTATAATTGTTCATCATGTGCCAGGCCACATAAACTCACTTTCATTCACTGAAAACTGATAGATGATTATAGTATTTCCTATTCTAGTTCTATTCTTGTTAAATTCAAAAGGTCCCTATAAAGTGAAAGTGGATGAAAAATAATAAGGAAATACGGAATTAAAAGGTAATTATAAGCAAGATATAATTGTCTTACAGTAATTCCATTAAACTTGACACTGGCAATGCTCTTTTGAAGCACACATCCCATCTTTGGGTTGTCATAAGTGAACTCTTCCAGTGGAACTAGTTCTCCTTGCAAGAGCTTGCAGCCACTATCATTTCCAACTGCTATTCTCCTTGAAGCTTCCTCCAATCCTAAACTCATTGCCCATATTGCATCATATCCGGAACCTTCTATGCCGACCAGTGGAAGGCCTTGATACTGCGGCTGTCTTAATAAGTATCTATGAAGCTTTGTAAACCGGGAAGGACTCTACATTATGACACAGTATATGATATAAATATATATTTAGTGTTCTTTTTTATATACCATTCCACTAGAAGATATATATGAACTATTGGTACTAGGAGAATATGCTTCAGGTAGAAGGAGTAAACTTCCATTAAGGATCCTGTCAATCTCAGGCGGTTTGCAAGATCTTGTAATATTGGGGTCAAACCAATCAATCTTTGGAGAATCATAAAATATCCAGACATATTTTGGAGAAAACATTTTACGCTTGTATGCCTAAAAATATGGAGTTGTCTAAAAATAGTAACCTCGTACATAACCTTACCTCACACATTATTTGGTAACTAAAAGCACTATATGTAAAAAGAACAATAATTCTCTGGCTTGAACCATTCTCCTATGACATATACATAAAATGCAGTGGTTACACATTACTAAAGTGCACCCACCCATTTGAAAAGCCTTTCCTTTGGTAAAGGTTTTCCAGTTTCTATAGTGATCGAATCATCTAGTATCAGCCCTGACTCTTGAAACAACAAATTTAGCTTATGAGTCATCTATATAATATACATAGAATGATGAACATACAAAAGAAGCATATACTGTTTTACCCCAATGAAAAGAGACTCCTGCTGTGTGATTACAGCAAGCTGCCTCCAACCAAGCCTCTTGGCAAAGACTGTCAGGGTATAAGGTATACCATCAATTGTTGGAAGAATCTGAAATAAACTTTGAAAACGAGATTTGTCGCCCAAAATGCTAGCAGCTGAAGCAATCGTGATCTTTTAGCATAAACAAACACTGTTGATTTAGTTTGGATTATCATTAGCTACTTACGTGTGGAACGTTCCAATAGTGACTGAGTTGTGCAACTGGGATTGTTGCTACTGAGCATCCACACCCAACCAGTACTATATATGTTAACTTGGGATTGTCAAAAAACTTGTCCATGAAAAGGTTTGTTGCTGTTCTACCATGACACTGCAGAGAGAGAGAAGGAAAGAGAGCTAAAAGCTGATCACACACATGACATAAACATACTTTTGAGTCCAGTACCTCTTCATAAGATATGGTGTAGTTTGAGAGTATGCTGGATCTATTGTTAATCTCTTGTATGGCATAGTCAACCATTGGTATTACACCAGATGAGACAAATGAGCCAGTTCTAGAGACCACAAATAAGATATAAAGTTTACGAGGTCCTACAACTTCACCAGTGACCATAAACAATAGGAGAACTGATAGGAACATCATTCCTCAGCTCCAGAAATTGAAGGGACGTACAAGACTGGAGTCCAGCTAGCAAGCACTATTTATAGAGCAAGTGAAGGAAGCAATTTGAAGGAAATGACATAAACGCTCTTAATAATCAACAAAAAGTTTGCAGCAAAAAAAGATGTAAAATCATTTAACTATAGACTACCACAAAACACAGCATACTAAATAATTAAAGATTATTGTTTAATTAATTACAGGCTACTCCTGCTTGCATAATTTAAGTACTACAGAAAACTAGACTAGTTATAAGCAAAAAAAGGTAACAGTTAAAGTTGTGTATCTTCCTCTTGCTCACGAGCAAAATTAATAAAAACCTGCAAAACAAGAAAAAAAGCAAGACATTATTGTCAACTTTTAAAAAGGCGATAGTACAAAATAGAGTGGCCCTTTGACTCATTAACTTTACCTGATCAAGAGTAGTCTGACTAACACTGTAATCAATAATACCAAATCTTTCCTTATTCTGCTCAATAGTACGGAACAATATAGACTCAGACACTCCTGCAGCAGGCACTCTGTATGTTACAGAGCCCTACAATAAATAATGATTATTGAAATATAAATAAAAAAAACAACAATAATTAAAATCCTAATGCTAAGACTATTGGTATACCTGATGTGATTCAAGGAGCAGTGATCCTGGGAATGTAGCAACAATATACTCTTGGACAGGATTGGTATCATATACGCTAGTAGCAACAGTTCTACGAGGGGAAGTGGCAGCCGGCTCAGGGTGAGTGGGAGAACGAGGTCCACTATCACCACCACTACGAATAGAGCGTCTAATGCTAGTGGAACGCTCTATCACTGGAGGAAGAGGAGCACCAGTTGGTTTTACACTGATCTGGACTGTGTACCCATGACCAAATCTAACAAAAGAGTGGGCCGTATTTAATTGTTTTGTGCAGTACAAGTTCTTAGGAAGTCTCACTTGCTCTTAAGATGCTGAATGCTTCCTAGACACTTGAAATTACCATTAACCATGATGGCTATCCTAGTACAGAGTGCCTCACACTCCTCCATACTGAGATATAAAGAGATTAACATACCCATACACACGCTATGCATTATACCTATGAGATGTCAATATAACACTCCTTCCTTCCTTTACAACATTAATCAATACGTCCCATAGGAATCGCCTAGTTGCAGGATCCATTCCAGTCGTTGGTTCATCCAGTAGTAATATTGGTGGATTACCAACCAGTGCTATGGCAGTGCTCAACTTTCTCTTGTTCCCGCCACTAGATATACCGTAAGTCACATGAGAGTCACGTGATATAAAGTGCATTACCTGTATGTCCCGCATTTCTTGTTGGCATACTTGGCAAGATCGAGACGATCTATTTCTTTCTGTACTGCGGCCTTTATCTTTGACTCTGGGATTCCTCTTAGTCTAGCAAACATTGTTAGTAGCTCTCGTCCTGTTAGTCTCTCAATGATAGCATCAAACTGGGGACAATATCCAATCCTCTGCTGAACGTGCCTCAACTGTGTACTACATGAAGAGAAAAGATGTACATTCTCACATGTACTGTACGATCATGCATCCACTAGTAGTGCTCTTAATCCTACGTCCCTCCATCCATCCATCCATCCATCCATACTCACTTAATATCAAATCCATCAAGTGTCGCAGTCCCTCCAGTGCTCGTAATGTCTCCAGTGAGCATCTTAAAGGTTGTAGTTTTACCAGCTCCGTTGACTCCCAATAGACCAAAGCATTCCCCAGCAGGTATTATCAGGTTGATACCATTCACTGCTAGTTTTCTACCGTCACACTGGGCCAAGTATGGAAACAGTGTAGCCCCTGTATCCTTATATTCCTAATAATAATAATAATAATAATAATAATAATAATAATAATAATAATAATAATAATAATAATAATAATAATAATAATAATAATAATAATAATAATAATAATAATAATAAATAATTAAATAAATAATAATAATAATTGTATTAATTATACCTTGGACAGGTTCTTAATGACAACTGCATCATTAGTTGAATAATTCTTTTGAAGGACCTTGATCCTTTCATTAGACACATCTTCATCTTCCTATTAAGGATAACAGTGTTAATATATCAGTGTTAGCATCAGTATTAAGCTCACCTCAGGACGAATTTCAATCACATCTTCTTGAAGTGTGTTAGCTCTCTGTTTTTGAATTAGGAGTTGTCTAAACTCAGGAATGAAAAAACCTCTCTACAAAATTAAAAGAACAATATTATAACACAAAAGAGAAAAGAATGTGACAACTTACTTCAATTAGTATTGTTAATACAATGAAGATGATCCCCTCAATAAACAAATAAAGAAATATGTGACCGATTCCGGGAAGAGAGAAATCAAAAATGTTATTAGTGTATTCAATATTAGACTCCTCACAGATCCTAGAGGCATAAAATAAAAAAGACAAGTACTTTTATGATGATCATGAGAGTGTATATTCATACGTTCTGGTGAAGTCACTTCTCTCACAACTATCCCTCCTAAGCTGATTATCGTACATCCTAGACAGGCCACTAATTAACCTAAAAGTTACACAAAGAAATGAGATTGTGTTGTTGGTTTTTTGGTCCAAAGAGAGTGTTTATCATTATAACCAATATTATTATTGTTATTATTATTACTCACGCGTAAGGAGGATGGAGTAGAAATATATAGTGCATTATATCTTTGTCATCTTGATTAGTTACAACAAAAATTGTAACATAGAATGCCTAAGATGTGCATATACATTATACATACATATACATAGTAATTATCTTATAGCATAAGGACATCAATGTGTGTGTCAGAAAAATTGGGGAGCCAATTTAAAACCATATATAGCCTTCACTTCTTTTCAAAAATTTGGTCATTTTAAAAATGGTCATAACTCAAAAAATATTTGTCGGAGACAGCTCAAACTTTTTACACAGCATAAGGACATTAATATGTATCAGAAAATGTAATTAAAATTTGGGGTGATTTCGGAGCCAATTTTTGGGAAAAACCATGGGCTATAGCCTTGGTTTTTTTTCCAAAAATTGGCTCATTCTAAAAAATGCTCATAACTCCAGAAATATTTGTCAAAAACAGCTCAAACTTTCTATAGCATAAGGACATCAATATGCATCAGAAAATATACCACAGGCTAGAGCTTTGGGTCCTTTCAAAAACTGGCTTATTTTGAAATTTTGTACAAATTTTATATACATGTACATAAAAAATTATACACAATATATGCTTACCAGTGACACAAAGAAGAATAGCAATAACATGACACAGAAAGCAACTAGACCATTGAGAAACAGAAAAGACATGATGTAGTTGGTAGGTATAGTGCCCCAACAGGTCAGCAACTAAGAAGTAAAAATAATAACAAATGCAGCGAAATCCTGTCACTTATACTATTAGCAAGAATATGGCTCCAATGTTATCTCCCTTGTATCCATTGATCTGAAAGGCAGAGAAGAGTATGACGGTGATGACACAAGGAATGAAAGCATTGATGAGATCCCAAGAGTAAGTGGCCAGCCAGTACGAGGAAGGACTCACTCCACTGACAAACTGAAGGTGCTTTGCCTAAAGGAGATTGGGGGATACAGCAAGGAGGTAAAGATTGAGAGTAAAGAGTATGATGTATCATTATCATTGGCTAAACCTTAGAGTCTCTCTCTTGTACAATGATAATGATGAAACTAGCAAACAAGAAACTGAGCCCAAATACAGAAAGGACCGAAATGATAAACCCAAAAACATCACCAGGTTGTGCAGCCTGAACAGAAGAGACAAAGATAAACACACGTGTACATGCACATCAAAAATATATAGTCTTGCATTACCTGTTCCCTAACTGTCCTAGGCAATGGATGGTTGTACACAGAGAGGGTGTACCTGCTATCATTATTCTTTAATAATATACTGTAGAGTCCATTAAGAGCTGCTGCTGCCATGTGATATGGCTATAGAGAAAGAAACATACACAATTGATAACAGTACATCAAATGACATAATTATTATGAATATACTGTAAGTACACAATGTAGTTATAAGTATAGCTAGTAAATAAACAAGATAATAAACAACAACAATGTATAAACAACAACAATGTATGCTAAATATAAAACAAACCTCATTATTATACCAGACAGTGACGGTTGGTTTACCCAACGGTGGTGGTGGCTGGGTTACTTTCCCAATTTGACAAGGGCTACAACCAGCAGAAGAACTTGCACAGACCTCAATCCCAACATTATACTCATAGTTCCAATCGTCAGTTGGAGTATCAGTGAGGTTAGTGCAAGGGGTAAAGTTCGGTATAGAAGGGCATCCAGTAGAGTTAACGTCTACAGTTATATCATCAAGAGAGAAGATAAGATTACCACATCTTCTTTCTGCATTTGAAGTTTGACAACCACAGCTGGCGTAGGTAGGAGGCGGAGGATGTACTACATAGCCACCCTATAAAAATAAGATGATACCTATCAGTAGCAGGTGGATGGGAGCATTTTATTACTCATGAAAATGTGCAATGATAATAATAATGACAATATTAATAAAAATAATGATAATGATGATAATAATAATAATAGACTAAGAACAGGGAGGTCTGAATGCAGTGAAAAAGTTCACCTGGAATCTAAGAAAGAAGTCAAAGACATGGAAACCTTCACTGACATCTAACAAATGCTCAGCAATAAAGACGTTCATGTCATCAAGTGGACCAATAGGGTTATCAATATCAGACACTGACACTGGAGGAGGCGCAGGACAATCTCTTGTAGCTCCTTCTTTACTACACGTGTCAGCTAGAGTATAGATACTTCTATCATCAGCACCACTGTGACGACAACAGCTATATTAATGAGAGGAAGAGAGAGAGAGTAAAGAAGAAAAGTGAGAGAAGCAGAAAATACCTTAGACAGTCTAGGCAATTCTTGTAGCCAAAGTTCTCAGAGTCTCTACAAGGATCAGCAAAACTTCCTGAAGGTCTTAACTGATCCTATTAATATAATAACAACAACAACAACAACAACAACAACAATAATAATAATAATAATAATAATAAATCATGCATACATGTACATCATTCTAACTACAGATTCTAATTTAATTAGAATCTACAAGCAATTAACAGACTCTGTTTTCTAATTTAACAAAGTTGAGTAGTTGTCAAACTTTACCTACATGCACTTAGAGTAGTAATGTATGTATATGTACTAACTAGTGTCCTTGAAGCACAGAACTTGTCAAGTATTTGATGTTCATAACTGCAACACTGAGAGCCTTGGGTATAGTTCTGGACTGACTCACGTATTGTCCTAGCACTTGAAGTATAGTCAAAGAAGTTAGTTGCATTGATAGTTGCACCACTGGTGGACTAATGGAGAGAGTTAAGAGAGAGGGATTGAGTTAAGAAAGAATCAAACTGATACATAAAAAACTGAAATTGACAACGAATAGAAAATAAGCAGCAATGAAGAAACTAACAACTGTCAATTAGATAACTTACATTGAAGAAGCTCTGTGTGTAGCCATTAGGTAGAAACGAAGCATAAAAGAATGTGATATTCTCAGTAGAAGGGGCAGAATTGGAGACAGATATTAATCTCCTTGGAGGCTCAGAGGTAATGCCAGGGACAAACTCAGCTACCAAGAGGCCCCAGAGAACAAACAACATTGGAATGACCAGCTGCCATATAATGGCCACCCAGAAACGAAATGAATTTATGAAACGCTTTAGGAAGATGGCGAGAAACTGTTGGAACCAAAGTATGATACCAGTGTTGATTTCTATGGGAAAGAGAAAGCCATGAAAACGTTCATAATACAATTAGAGTAAAGGATTGGAAAGACTAAAATGGTTCAATATCATTATAGCAATAGTAAATGCCCACAAGTATCTTACTGGTTGGTGCCTGTGTCAATTCTGCTGATTCTCCATTAACAGCAATTTCAAATGTCTCAACCTTCTTCGGCTCCTCTTCGTCCACCTCCCTCTCACCTTCCTCAGTATCTCCCATCTTTATACTGACCACCTGAGTCTCCTCAACTGTCCAACATGAAAAAGAAACCATAACATTGACAACACAATAGCTACCCACCTTGATCTAGGCCAGGCTCTAAGGCAACGTTAGCAAAGACAGGACTTTGTGGGGGAAGGAGAGAAGTTTGACGCTCCAACCTACAAGTAATGAACAATAAAGAGTAGGTGTGTGTGTGTGTGTGTGCCTGGTCTATTATCACCTTGATTCTCTGGTCAGAAGATGCTCCGTCTCTGACGCCACTCTAATGAAAACCTCTTCCATTGTAGTCACTGATATACCAAAACTGCTAATACCAAGACTGACCTTCTTATCTATAAATGAAAAGGAATACAAGTACATGTATATAGTCTTAGACCAAAGTAAACAAATTGAAACAAATTGTAAACAAATTGAACCCCAGTTCTCTTTTCTTACCATTAAAAGTGTCAAAAAGGTCAGGGAAAAGATGAGAGGATTGTGCTGGTAATATAAATGACAGCTCAGCTCCAACGTCGGTACCAACTTCACTGCCTGGTATGGTACTCTTCACTAGCTGTGACACTGCATCAGAATCGCATTTCTCGTCCTTTACCATCGTTAAATGATACCCAACACCATACCTGTGTGTTTAATATAAAGAATAACGTAATACTTTAGTCAAAATAATAAACCAAGTTTATTACTTGCTCTTCAAAAAGAGAGACGAGCCACTACACTTCAACTGCCCTTGGGCCATGATGGCAATACGGTCACCTAATATATCCGCTTCATCCCTAAAATAATAAAATAATAATAATAATAATAATAACAATGTTAATATACAATATGCCATACTAATACAATTACATGCAGTAATGCTATCAATAAGATGAATATTAAGATGTAGATGAATTATTAATAATGTTTACATGAAGTGTGTTGTGAGTAGTACAGTCCTTCCTTGTTTATATTTAATCAATAGGTCCCAGGTGGCCCTCCTGGCATAAGGATCCATACCACTCGTAGGCTCATCGAGTATAACCACTTCTGACCCTCCAACCAGGGCCACACCTACACTAAGTTTCCTCTTCATACCTCCGGAGAGTTTCTGTGACTGCGTAGTGTTCTTATCTGCCAGGAGCAAGTCATCGACCATCACAGGGACCTCTTCTCTTGCCTTTTTCCACGGGCAACCCTAAAAATTATAAAATAAGTACAAGACTAGAAAGAGAGATGTAGGGTGACATACCTTTAACAATGAAAAGAAGTAGAGATGTTCTCTTACAGTGAGTCTATCAAACAATACATTGTGTTGTGGACATATCCCAAGGTTAGTGCGAATAAGATCAATGTCTTCAACAACACTTAGTCCGTTGATGAGTGCCCTCCCAGCAGTTGGTGTATAGAGGCCAGTGAGCATGGATATCGTGGTGGTCTTTCCGGCTCCATTGTGTCCAAGTAGTGCCGTGATCTGTCCTTTGAACATTTTTAATGATAAATTGTCAACAGCCAACTTTTTGTCCTTTAAACTCTGGGAGAGAAAGAGGAGGAGGAGGGAAAAAGGAGGGGGAGGGAAAGAAAAAGAGACAAAAATGAAAACAGATTCTTTCATGATTCTCAAGTGATTGTCGTACCCTCCTGTTGTAGATTTTGGTTAGTTTATCTATCGATATTCCAATGGAGAGATCACTGGGTTCAGCTTCATGAGACGCAGAGTCCTTACCAGCTGTATTTGAAAGAGCCTCAATTTCATCATCCTACGAGTTAATAAATAACACACACACACACACTTGTAATCACGATACTTTTAGTGGTGAGGATTTCCTGTTTGGGCACCAATAGGAGGGAAGGAATGGGAAATAAAGTGGCTTTGGAACACCATAGGTGCCAGGTTTGACAGCATCAATATACCTTTAGCAAAGAGAGAGGGAACAAGAGCAAATTATTAATTCCCTAAAACATTCCCTATCATACCAGTAAAGCAGCATGTATATGATGATATCAGCAGTGAGGATGAGTATCACATAGCCCATGTGAAACGTGTCATCCAAAGAGACTTTAGTCGCAAAATTTGAGAATGTTAGTCCTTCTTGACGGAGCTCCAAGGCAGTGAGGACATTAGCTGCCAATCCAATGCAAGTATTAGGAATGAAGCAGAGGCCAATCTTAGTACCTCTGGAGGAAACAGAACAAAGAGTTTTTAGTATTAGAATATTGTTATAATCCCTTACAGGTCAATTATTTGATAATTAATAAAAAAGTAAGGCATATAAAACAAAAACCAAGCAATGAATCCAGCAAAAAGACCAATCCTTGCTGAAGAGAACCAGGCACTAAATAGAAAAACAAGACATTATAATAATGTACTACTTATCACTATAAAAAGTACTTAGTATATTACATGTACATACAATAATACCAAGATGCCACTGCTGTATATTCATTACCTAACAAAGAAGCAGAAAGCGATCCCAGCCATCATGTACATAAAGAAGAACACAAATATCAGGAACGCATCACTCTCTGGGAAGACACGTCCATACTACAACCAAATGAAGGCAGTCATTTACTTGTGTCAAGTCACTGCTACTCTCTTACTTTTAAGAGTATGCTCATTATAATGATGACAGGAAGATAGAAGAGGATCTGTTTCAGATACCAGGTGGTCCACAGTATCCAGTTACTGAGTCCCATCATTTTCATAGTCTCGCGAATGCGTGTCTCCTTCTCAAGGACCAGCTCCTACGGGTCGTTAAGTGAGTGGGAGTAGGTGTACAAGACGACTTACTTTGACAAAAAACCCAGCGGAAGTAATGAGAGCAAGAATGAGAAATAGAGGAAGAATGAATGAGACAGTCAAGAGAAAGAAATCTTGTTGGTAAGAAGGATAGGGGAATTGCTGAGGAGGGAGGGAGGGAGAGAGAGATTAGGTTGTTGTGTGTCATGGTCAAACTTACCCTGACATTAACTTCTACTGGCAGTTCTGACCCAGTCTTGTACATGTATATAGCATCATTGATCAACTTCTCAATGTGCATGAACCCATTGCTGAAATATGGACTGAATAAAAGAGAAAAGACGGAAAGAAAGGAAAAGATAAGCATTTAAATTATAAGTCCTGCCCACATTAATGATGTACTGTTGCATACTTTGGGGAGACAGTAGCTCCAAGGATCTGAAAGTTATTAGTAGTGTCCTGGGTAAGGAAAGAGTTGTTCTGATGGAACCTCAGAGTATAAGCTATATCATTGCTAACAAGATCATCAAAATAGATACCTAAAATGAAAGTATTTACCAAATGTGCCCATAAAGCCATAACATGTAGAGTAGAATAAACAACAAAGAGATGTTATTGGTTTACATTACATGTACGTGTGAGTTCCTGTTGCTATTATGTACCTATTGGTCCATGCATATAGCACCCCCGTTGAAACTGAGGTGTACCAGAATCAGCAGCTTGATTAATCATCTCAACCATCTGTGCTTCACTTGATGCTGGAATCAAGTCACCCAAAGAAGAACTTATTAGCATTCGCAAGTTAGTAGCTACCTCTCGAGCTAAGAGAGAGAGAATTGTTATTATTTGTCAGTATAAAGATATTCAAAGCCTCTCATAGGGTGTGTGAGTGTGTTGATCATGCAAGTGTATAGTTGGAGTGGAATAGCTTACTAGCACTGTTGTTAGGAGAATAATATACTGTGAATGGTGAAGGAAAGATTTCTAAATTATCTGAATCAAATGTCCTGAAACACTCATCACTAGGCTGTAAGGCATTCAACCCCAACCTGTAGAGAGAAGAGAATGTAACCAATAAACATGTAAGTGTAATATTATCAATACAGTGGGGCCCCACTAATAGGGACACTCAATGAAGACAATGGTGTCAAATAAAGCAATTATAAAGTAGCTAATAATTTTATTAAAGTTGTAATTCCCCAGTGGTGACTATTGCATCAGATGGAGCAATGAATGAATATCATAAGTTCTGGTCTGGTGCCTGTATTGCATCAAAAGGTGCAATGAATGAATATGATAAAGTTCTTAGTCTGGTGCCTGTAGTCTTGTGCCTGTGTTATGTACATTATATTATGTATAATGTAATTATAACATAGACAGTGCAATCAAAGGTCAACCACAACTGCTTCATGTACAACAATCCATGCATTTATAATTCAATCAGGGGACTATTTTAAGACCATGTGACAGTCTCATATGGTTGCCTATAATAAATGTGCATGTACATAGTCTATCATAACAGCTAAAATTCCTTGCCACATGTAATTGCAATTCCATTTACCAGTGATAATTATATGATAAACCAAGGGAATATGTATAAACAAATCTTTATTGTTTTTTTAACGCATTGATAATAATGTCAATAGTTTTTTGTGCAGTACAAGTAAAAAAGGTTAAAGTACAATTGAAGTCTTGTTGTACATGAATGGACAATGAATGGACATAGCAAGATGATAGAGAGAGAGACTATTGTAAGAACCAACCTCAAACCGACAATGAAGACAACAGCAAGAATAGGCAGAACAATCTCAAAGCCCGTACTAATTGGACGACGAATCTAATATTAAAAAAAAGAAGAAAAAGGCAAATCAATACACAGTGTAATAATAAATTTAGGGTAGAATAAAGTTTGTTTTAATTTTCCAGTATTGTCATTATACAAACACACCCACACGTACATACACACAAAGTTGATGAAATTTGTACTTGCAGGTTTCAATTTGGCTGCAATACATTCACACTATACTATACTTCCATGCTGGTCTATAGTATGAGTACAATGTGATTTTCCTACTGTGTGCCAAAAATAACTCAAAAATACAATTTATTTATAATACATTATGGTTAAAATCAACATAATAACAAAGGTGTCAATATGTTACAGGTAACTAGGTTTTACAATGCAGTGCATAACTAGTTGATGCTGCCTTAAGATCTAGGGAGTACTCGGTTCTATACAGAAACCGAATGCCTCACCTGGAGTAAGAAGTTCTTGGCAAGTATAAGAAAGAATTGTCTGAGGGTGGTCGTGAGAGACGAGAGAAAGCGCTGACAGCAACCTCGTTTAGTCGGCACTTCCTCCATCCCGAGCCTCCTAAAAGAAAAGGCTCCTTGTTACCTCACTACTAGTTCAGAACTAAAACCAAAACTTGAACTTTTATACACTCAGCAGCGTTAGCACAATAATAAGGAGGTGTGGTCAACCATAGATTTAAATAAAATTTAATTAAGCCACACTCACAAAAACTGATTTTAAGTTAATTGGAATTCATTATTGTATCATTTTCTTTTCAGTATCAAATATGTAGCGTTTAAATTTGAGATATATCTTAACAGTTGATAGTCCGGACTCTGTAGAAGAAGCTCCTGATGGTGGAGGCTCTGTTGACCCTACATACATTGCACACATTACATATAACATGTCAATATAACTGACCTTTCCCTTTCTTTTTGTCTCCTCCAGTTTTCAAATGAAGTTTAGTTTCGTCTTTTAAACCATCTGCACGCATATATACATTAAGTATTACCAGTAAACACTGATAAACATCACTTACCTGGCATATTCAGTCTGAATTTCCCAGTAGTACCAAAAGCACCTTCAATCATACCTTCTTCGCCTAAATGAATGTCAAGGTTTTAAATTTTTGGGCAACTTTAAAATTCGTAAAAAATCTAATTTTGATTGGAATCAGCTCAAACTTGAAACATAACATAAAAACATGTATATGTATCAGAAAATATTATAAAAATGGAGAATTCTCTCCTAGTCATTTTTGCCAAAATTTGGTCTGAGACCATGTACTATAGTACAGGGACTTTGGCCTAATTTTTGAGAATTTTTAAAAATTTGTAAAAAATCTAATTTTGATCGGAATCAATTCAAACTTTCTACACAACATAAGTACATGTATATGCATCAGAAATTATTATTAAAATTCAGAATTCTCTCCTAGTCATTTTTGCCAAAATTTGGTCCGAGACCATGTACTATAGTACAGGGGCTTTGGCCAAATTTTTTAGAATTTTTAAAAATTTGTAAAAAATCTAATTTTGATTGAAATCAGCTCAAACTTGAAACACAACATAAGTACATGTATATGCATCAGAAAAAATTATAAAAATGGTGAATTTTGTCGTGGCCAATTTTCATGTACTATAACAGGGTCTTTTCTACATAATCTAATCCTAATCTATGACTGTTATGACCCCATATGTTATTCTATTTGAATGTTTAATATTATTACCAGTAGATAGAGTAACTTGAAGCCCTATGAATGACTGTATTTTCGTTTCTCTTTTAAACAGTCCCTTCCCAATAAGTGTTTTCTCATCTTGCATCTGAAAAATAATCAAAATACATTTAACAACAGAAATGCACTTACTTACCCTTTCCACCACACCTTCTCTTGATTTGATTTTAAATACTCTTAGCCTTGGGAGAATTGTCTGCTGATAGTCCTACAAAAATAACTGCAAAATAAGCAAGCATGAGATTGTCATGATTTCATTACCTTATCAGTGAAATGCTCGAGTAAATTGCCATAAAAAGCTAATCTACAAATATTGCTATGTGTAGAGGATTGTTAAGGAATTACACTGAGTTACACTGATAATCACTGCTTTTAATAAACAGACCATAAACATTACTGGTATATGGGCTCACTCGTGCAGAGTGTATAAGGTAAATAAAAGATATGAAGATCAACATCAAGTTTTGATGCAATAGCTACACAGTGAGGAGCTGCTATGACAGGTCTCTCAAACTCCACCAGAGCATACTGACCTCCTACAGAAGAAGGCTTTGATGCTGTTGCTGGACTCTGTACAGCACCATCTTCCTATAAAATAAATAACCTATTAATTGAAATACCACAAGCAATAATAGGATAATATTTTAATGTAGAATGTCTAAAATATTTTCCATTTTCACTTGATTTGATTCTAGCTCTTCTTGATAGGAATATTCTTGTCCATAGTTAAATGAAGGGCTGGCATCAGATGGTGAATCTGTTGATCCAAAGAATGTTGTTTTAGCCATTATAGTTTCATGACCAATAGTTACTACAGATTAAGTATCATGAGCAATCACAGAACAATAACTATCATACCGTGCAACTTAGAGCCAGTGAGACAAGAGAGCTTATGATAACGGACTTTAGTTACTTTAAATAGACCAGCTAAGGAGAGAGAGGAAAGGGTTTAGATTGAGATGAAACATTTTATACCAAAAATGGTAGGTAAAGCCCCAGGGCTGCAGACTAGGCACCTCTCAATTGATTTAGGATCAAACTGAGTGACACATATACCCACTCTATCACCCTATAATGATACAATATTAATATAAGAATAATATTATTCAGCTTATATAGCATCCTTTCTTACTTGAATAGCTCTCTCTACTGGCTGGTGAAACATTTGCATCGATTTGACCTTCTTAGTTAATTTCAGAGACGGGATTTCAACATTCTATAGATGAAGTTGTCATTTTGATATATTCATAGAGCCGAGCCACTCACATCATTGACATGAACTGATCCATTGAGTACAGTACCAGTCATTACTGTTCCTTGGCCTCTGATAGGGAAACAATGATCAACTGAGTATATCAGTGGTCCTTCAGCAGAACGATTGGGAACAAAAACTGATTCTGATAGAACCTGCAAATATATATATATATAGTAGCAATTATATAAAGTAGCCAATAGTACTATGCAATTTCAATAGTTTTGATATGCATACCTGTATAAGCTTTTCTATTCCAATAGGATCAACTTGACCATCAGTAGCCTACAAAATGGAGACAAACCAGCATGATACAATAACTCTGTTGTCTCTTTACATGCAGCTATACCTCACTTGGTTTAGCTGCAGCAACAGGAACTATCAGTGCTCCATTGAAACGTGTAGCCTCAAGTGTCTTACTGATCCTTTTACTGATCTATAATAACATAATAATAATGATAATAAAATAAACTTTACTGATGATTATAATTGTGCATACTTTTGATATCTGTGCATCTCTCTTTGATGACTCAAACAGGTCAATCTTGTTAAGAGCAACAATCATGTGATCACAAGTTATCTCACCAATAATCAAACACTAATATTGAAAACACATACTGTAAGGGCTAGAATAACAATAGATAGTAAGAATGATAAGTGATAGGAGTAGGTGTGTGCTGGGTATGAATAAAGGAATATAACAGCACAGTACAGCAATTCATTGGCAAAAAAAAGCAATAAAATGGCTGCAAGAGGTGAGCTCATTCAATGACTTATTCACATACTAATCTTTATTATAGGTACACAAACAATAAAGGGACTAAGACAACGTTATCATGAACTAAAAGACAAGGATTACGGCTCATGTGATGAATCAAAAGAAGAAGCAGTAAAAAGTAAAAAAAAGATCAAAAGACCACAATCAGCAATAGCCAGGCTCTATGAAACTGATGATACAGGTATTTAACCTCAATCATTAAAAATGTTAGTTATATAACTATTATGTTACAGACTTTTCTGGCCCAGAGCCACGCTCAACCACACCATCAGAAGTAGAAACAAGTTCAGAAAAACAGACGACAGACCCTGAAATTGAAATTGTTTTTGGAAATGAAGATCTTGAAAATGGTGAGAGAAATTAAACATAGATAATATTTTACATGGTTCCAGGTCAAAACCACACAACAGAAGAAGAAAAGGAAGAAGAAGAAGAGGAAGAACAAAAAGAGGAGGAAGAAGAAGAACAAGAAGAAGTAGTAGAAGATGAAGAAATTATTCACAATAAAACATTCAAGTGCTGTTTACCGTTTTGCAGTAAGAACATCACAAAAAATTGTAAGGCAACACTAGTTTTAACAATTAGTTCATTTGTTCATTTTTAATAGGCAGAAAGTGTTGTCTTGTAGGATTATCAGTAGTGTTGGTGCTTCTAATACTGGCCATTGCATTCCTTGCTGTTCTCATTACGTACCCTGAAATTACAGATAAGAGGGTCAACGATACATCAGTCTTCTCCATTCCACCACAAAGTGTCGTAGAGGTGGACTTAAAAAAATATAAAATCAGCACACTGAAAGAGCATACACTTAACATTAGCCTGATGCATAATGAGAAGGCTGATGAATACAATGGTGATATAGATCTAACCATTTGCAGATATAAAACATCTTGCTCTCCTCGATCAATAAACATACCCCAAAACGTAATGTCCTTCACAAGACAATGGTCAAAGACAACCAAACCGATTGGCACCATCACCATAAAGGAAGAGGGAGGATATGGGTATGTATCTTGGACCTGGGGCAATCTCACTCACCCTCCAAAACCAGACTGTGAACAACAAGACAACAGGAGCTATTATAATAGCACAGTTATTGATGTGATGTTAGAAATATACCAGCCACATCAAGAGACTTTCATGAACAATGAGGATCTTATAGTAATAACGTTCTGCAAAGTACACGAGGTCTCAATTAATATCAGTGAATGTCAGCCGTCTCCAATAACTCAATACACACCAATACACACTGACAATATAGAAGAAGATTCAATCGTGCTAAAATTTAGTAATATAGTTTATGAAATGTTTGACCGATCCAAACTATATGTAAATACTCTTCACCTCACTGGTACTCCAGAAGAATATCAAGGAGTTGATCTGGTAGTGACGTCCCAGTCAAACATTGAAGTACTAATACTAGTCATTGTTGGGCTGTGTCTAGCTGTACTGCTATTAGCTATCACAATTATAATAATAGTGTGTCTCTGCTGCTGCTGTAAAGAAAAAGAATGACTGCATATTAAATGTGAATATTATGAAAGATAATTTATTTTTTAATTATTAATTTATAAATAAATACAAACACAAGCAAATCTTAGAGGTCATACTTCTGTTTCACAACAGAATTTATGCTATTGCCCTATTTAAAAATTAAGCTTGTACTATCAGAGCAGAAAATAATATCTTCTCTTTGGTGCTATAATAATTATAGCCGTATATTCTATGCTGCTAAGTTGAAATAAGCTAATCTTGCAACAATCATTTGATGGAAAGTTATCTTTACAATATCAAACACTAAAATAAATTACAACTTATCAAGAAACACTACAATGACAATATAATAACTGTAGGTAGTGACAGAAGTGATAGTAAAGGTGAATAATAGTATAGCACAGCAATAGATCGTTAGAGAAAAACAGTAAAATGGCTGAAGGAAGAGGTAAGCTAATTTAATGATTTAGTCATTCCCAAACTTTATCTATACTGTAGGTACACTAACAGCAAAGGGACATGGATACCAGCAAATTTATGATGCTGGTGATTCATCAGACAGCAGCAGTTGCCTAACAAGACATTCATATTCACCTTTTAGCAAAACTCCAGTCCGAAATATTATGAGTCCTAATGAAAACCTTTTATCATCATCTCATGAAATCAGGGAAGAAGAGCTGCAGCCAGAAGGTACAATAATAGTATATAGTCTGATCATAATACTGTTACTTAAAGATAATGTACACGTTCCTGCTCCTGCTCTCAGAAGTGGTATTGTAAGACTGGAAGAAAATGAAGAGTATCCAATCAAAAGACACTGCTTCCGTGACTGCACTAAAACAATCTTTAGAAACCGTAAGTTACAACAGCGAAAGAAAAGAGTTAAATACTTTTTTACTTTAGGAAAGAAATGTGCCATTGTTCCTTTTATTTTAGCTTTCATTTTTATGGTAATCTTTATTGTGTGCATACTACGCATCACAGAAATGTATTGGTACTATTACTTTGGTGATGGTGATAATAATACTTTGTTCATTCCTGTTGGAAGTGTGGTAGATGTGAATCTTACAAGTCTAAACATCAGTACAAAGCACATAAACAAGCTCAAAGTCACAGTGCCTGATAAAAGCAGTCCTGTACGAGTTACCACAGCTCAGGAAGAGCATCAAATCTCTCTTCCATTGAACATGGATATTACTTTGAACTATGAGAACAGTAGATGTAAATCATTGCTACGTTATTGGAAGTCTCGTCACTCTCGTGAACATGTAACAGGTGACATAACAATTTTTGAAGGACAAGTAAATATAAGCTACAAATGGGGCAACATAACAAATCTCCCGGATGAAAATTGCAATGATCACAGTAGTGAAACTATTACTAGTACATTTGACATATCAAAATGTTTTGATGACAACGACCAAGGAAATGACAAAAATATTATTTGCATACAATTATGCCTAAGTGAAGGAGCTACTAAAGCTATTGTTGGTGTTAACATTACTGAAACATATGCTATACCAAACAAGACATCATACAAAAGTATCTACAATGATGATACAGACAACCAGAACTCGGTAGTTCTTCAGCTTCCAAGTCTTCTGTCAGAGCTACATAATCCATCTAAGCTATACATCAATACTCACTATAAAAATACCATTGATAGCTACAATGAATTGAATCAAACAATTAAACTGGAACTTGAGCCTCAGTCAAAGGAAAATGCTATGGAGGTAATAGAAACAGTTGCATTAGTAATAACTGCTATCCTGTCACTCCTTCTATCCCTCATGATGTTTGGAATTGGGATCCGTTGCTGCTGCTGCCATATTAAAACAGGTTTTTGTGCTTTGGGACTATTCTATGAAGAATAATAACTTAATTTGTAACTTTAGAGTTTTTGGTGTAATGCATTTAATTAGACTATTAATTAATTGGTATTATTTTGTTTTTATTTTAGTTTGGAATTTCAATTCCTACAATTATAATCACTTTAAAGTAAGTAATGAATGCAGAGGTCATATTTCTGTATCACTTAAGAATTCATGCTTTATTGTCCAACTCACAATATGCAGCCCATAATGTAGTGAATTCATTGCCACCTTATATGGATAAAATTATCCTAAAATATTGTCAAATAATTCATGATAACCATATACAGAATGAATCAAGCATCAAAAATAACAAAGATGGCTGGTAGATCCCCAAATGGTAATGGGTTTGAATAATAGCATTGATAATGTTTAGTATACTTAGATTTGCTATCATCAAGTGAGAAACAACCTCTTTGCCAAGCTAATGAGAGTTCATCAGGAAGCAGTTATTACTCAGCAATACAGCCAGCAATACAGTTTGAAAGTGATAGTTCACATTCACCTGGAACAATCTTGTTAAGAGCAACAATCATGTGATCACAAGTTATCTAAACACTAATAATGAAAACACATAACAGTAGATGGTGAGAATGATACAAGATAGGAGTACACAGCCAAGAATTATCATCTCTGATACAGGCCACTACCCAAAATCAGTGATTCAAGCCTGATGTCTATTTTGATACAGCCCTGACTGGCATCAATGTTAAACCATTTCTGTTGCTCTGGCTAAACCAAGGCTGTCCTCCAGCATGGTTGTATCATGGATGATTATCATGATTGTATCATACTAGACTCATTGCTTTGCAGGCTGCCCAAAATCCATGATACAGGAATGTATCAGCTGGTCATGATTGATATCAGTCATGATTCAAATTAAAATTCTTGGCTGTGTAGGAGTGTACTAGTTATGCATAAGGGAAGACAACACAAAACAGCAATTTATTGGCAAAGAAAAACAATAAAATGGCTGAAGGAAGAGGTGAGTTCATTTAATGACTTAAACATAAACAAAATTCTATTATAGGCAGTACACAAACAGTAAAAGGAAAAAGGTACCAAGAGCTCTCTTCTTCAGAAAAAAAATCTGATAGGGGTGAATCATCAGATGGTAGCCGTTGCTCAACACAAAACGCAGTGTCAATTAGTGGTAAATATGTTAAAAGCATTACCACTCCCAATGAAAACAGGATGGAGGATGATGATAATGATCAGGAGCAAAGTATATAATGTTATACGTGTTTATTTTTGATGTAATTATTGCTTAAAGATGATGAACACGTTCCTGCTCCTGCTACCAGAAGTAATATTGTAAGACTGGAAGAAAATGAAGAGTATCCAATCAAAAGACACTGCTTCCGTGACTGCACTAAAACAATATTTAGAAATCGTAAGTTAAAACAATGAAAGAAAATAGTTGAATACTTTTTTACTTTAGAAAAAAGATGTGCCATTGTTCCTTTTGTTTTAGCTTTCGTTTTTATGGTAATCTTTATTGTGTGCATATTACGTATCACAGAAATGTATTTGTACTACCACTTTGGTGATGGTGATAATAATACTAAGGAATTGTTTATTCCTGCTGGAAGTGTGGTAGATGTAAATCTTACAAGTCTGAACATCAATGCAAAACACATAAACAAGCTCAAAGTCACAGTGCCTGATAAAAGCAGTCCTGTACGAGTTACCACAGCTCAAGAAGACCATCAAATCTCTCTCCCATTCAACATTAATATTACTTTGAACTATGAGACCGGTAGATATAGAGCAATAACACGCTACTGGAAGTCTCGTGAACATATAACAGGTGACATAACGTTCCTTGGTTTTGAACGCCCTAGATATTTACGTAATTGCTATAAATGGGGCAACATAACAAATCCTCCATATTGCACCTGTGATGATGGCAGCGGTAGTATTAACAAAACATTTAACATATCAGCATGTTTCAGTGATGATGACAGAGGAAATGACAAACATATTATTTATATACGATTCTGTTTAGTTGAATCTGATGACGCTAATATTGTTATTAACATTACTGAAACATATGTTATACCAAACAAGATGTCATACAAAAGTATCCATAATGATGATACAGACAACCAGAACTCGGCAGTTCTTCAGTTTCCAAGTCTTCTGTCAGAGCTATGTAATCCATCAAAGCTATACGTCAATACTCACTATAAAAATACCAATGATGACTGCAGTGAAATGATTAAACTGGAACTTAAACCTGATGCTATGGAGATAATGGAAACAGTTGCATTAGTAATAACTGCTATTCTGTCACTCCTTCTATCCCTCATGATGTTTGGAATTGGGATCCGTTGCTGCTGCTGCTGCCATATTAAAACAGGTTTTTGTGCTTTGGGACTATTCTATGAAGAACCTGAGAGACAAGTCAGACAACCTCTTTGCCAATCAGATGGGAGTTCATCAGAAGGTGGTTATGGCTCAATAAGAGAGGAAACACCTGAAGATTTACTACGAAACTCATGGTCACCTGAAGGCACACCTGTCAGTAGCATCACTGCTCCAAATGAAAACAATGAAGAAGAAGAAAATGCTATACAGCAAGGTAATCAGGAGCAAAGTATAATGATGTTATACATGTTTGTTTTTTACGACTAGGGGGCGAATCCCCCAGGTCGTTCCTATGATTGATTTCACCCACGTGCGATGTTTGTATATTTTGTATGCCCACACTTACATTTCTTCTATACACCTTGTATTGAAGAAATACTGTATAGTGAAAAATCAAAAGTTTCAAAATTTCACCCAAAAATCTACCGTATAGTGGGTAATTTTCATGGCTCTTTATTTTCATGGTTTTGGGGCTTCCCACAAAATTTAAACCAACAAAATCATTGAAGTGCCATCCCCTTACAGGCTATGTAATTGTAAACTGTCAACCATGAAAATTAAACCAAGAATTGCCCCATAGGAGCAAACCATGAAATATTAGACCCATGAAAATAACCCACTATATGGTATTTTGTGGTTTTAATTTTTGTGATTTTCTGCCTTTTGGCTATGTTGAACCATATTAATTCAATTTTTGCAGATTTAATTTTCATAAATTTGGAATAAATTGTAGATTTTGAGCCACAAAAGATTTTTAGCTACATGGTAACAAAACTAATTATGCCTTAGCAACCACCTGCCCATGCTCTTTACATAAAGTGAGTATGGCTACGGCAAATGAAATGGCGGATTACACATGGGGCAAAGTTATGAGCTTTATAACAGCAAGAGAACACAGAGATACTGTCTAAATTAAGACTTCTCTAGAAGCATTGAAAGGTGGAGAGAACCTCCATAAGTCTTATAATAAGAACCCAGCTGTACATGCAAGGTGGTGAAAACAATTATAGGAATATTTTTACACTGTTACGTTTGTTGATATAATTATTGCTTAAAGATGATGAACATGTTCCTGCTCCTGCTGCCAGATGCAATATTGTAAGACTGGAAGAAAATGAAGAATATCCAATCAAAGACACTGTTTCCGTGACTGCACTAAAAAAATATTTAGGAACCGTAAGTTACAACAATTAAAGAAAATAGTTGAATACTTTCTAATTTAGGAAAAAAATGTGCCATTGTTCCTTTTATTTTAGCTTTGGTTTTTATGGTAATCTTCATTGTGTGCATATTACGTATCACAGAAATGTATTGGTACTATCACTTTGGTGACAATACTGAGGAATTATTCATTCCTGTTGGAAGTGTGGTAGATGTGAATCTTACAAGTCTAAACATCAGTGCAAAGCATGCAAACAAGCTCAAAGTCACAGTGCCTGATAAAAGCAGTCCTGTACGAGTTACCACAGCTCGTGAAGACCATCAAATCTCTTTCCCATTGAACATTAACTTTATTTTGAACTTTGAGAAGAGTTGTACAGCAATAATACGTTATTGGAAGTCTCATAAACATATATCAGGTGACATAATACTTACTCTGGATTATCAAACCCCTGGTGTACATATTTGCTATCAGTGGGGCAGCATAACAAATCCTCCATCATATGGCACATGTTGTGATGATTGTATTCATATAGATAACACGAATACACTTAACATATCAAATTATTTCAATGATGATGATAGAGGAAATGACAAACATATTATTTATATACAATTCTGTTTAGATATGTTGAGAAGAGAATTTGATCAAGCTACCATTTTTATTAACATTACTGAAACATATGCTATACCAAACAAGACATCATACAAAAGTATTTATAATGATGATACAGACAACCAGAACTCGGCAGTTCTTCAGTTTCAGAGTCTTCTTTTAGGGCCCTCCAAACCATTATTATACGTCAATACTCACTATAGAAATACCAATGATGACTGCAGTGAAATGATTAAACTGGAAATCCAGCCTGATGTGGAGATAATAGAAACAGTTGCATTAGTAATAACTGCTATCCTGTCACTCCTTCTATCCCTCATGATGTTTGGAATTGGGATCCGTTGCTGCTGCTGCCATATTAAAACAGGTTTTTGTGCTTTAGGACTATTCTATGAAGAACAATAAGAATTTTTGGTCTAATTACATTATTGAGTGATTGTATCAAACTCTTGATTGTATTTAATGCTATTATTATGCACTCTTGCTTTTAAACTGTTTGAATTGCTACAATTATAATGATTTTGAATTTTTTAAGTATCAGCATACACTGTGCAAATACAAATCAATGGAACCATGCAACAGCAGGTATAATGCTTTTAAAAACATCACAAAAATAATAAACAAAAAGTATGAAATATGAATAACGTTAATTTATAGTAACAGGAACTATGCTTTAGTCCATGAATAAATAACAGAACTATATATGGGTGAGAATATAGTCATGTGAATTAATGCATGGCTACATAAACTTGAAGGTAGAATTAAAAGCCTCACAATGGCAGAGGCATGAATGCAGTCATAATTTATTTCTGTTACAAAGCAGTTCTGTTTAAATAAATTCATGATATGCAGCTTACAATGCAGTGTATAGTTACAACTACCTAATATGGATATGAGTCAACTACTAAATATCACACCCCAATATCTATTCAAAGGCTAAAGGTGGAATTAAGGCCTAATGGCAAATCTAACATCAAATGAGTCATCAAGCAATGACACTGAACTTAGTGAGAGAGACTATTTAATAAGAGGAAGAGGTCGGGGAATGCGAAGTAATGGAGGACGAAGAGCAGCTGGATTTGGGAGAAGTCATGCTTATGAGAGAAGCCTTGGAAGAGGTCGGGGAATAGGAGGCAATGAAGCACAAAGAGCAGCTGGATTTAGGAGAGGTCATTCTTATGAGAGAACCCATGGAAGAGAAAGTATATCACCAGGTTAAAAAAACAGACGTACTGACATTAAACTTCACCTCACCAGCAGTAAAAGTTATCATTTGCTGGACTTTTACATATAAAATATTAGACAAAAATGTCTCTTTAATATAACAGCCATATCTGCACTTAAAATATATTATCACAAACAATGTCAAAAATTCATAACATAAATAGAATGATAGCCAAGCATAAAAAGAAAAAGAACAAAAATGGCAAGTAGCTCTAATTTTGCTATTGATAGCATTAATAATTATGTACATAATATACTTACATAGATTTTGGCCCAAGAGAAAGACTACTCGAGGAACAGTCTGAAAGCGACAACGGCCCAATACAAAAGTCACCAACTCAGTTGCCTAGAATCACACCTGTCAGGAACATTATCTCTCCAAAAGTTCCCAATTATGATAAAAATGAAGATGATGAGACACAAAGTATGCAACGTATAATACATGCTTATTTTTGATATAATTATTGCTTAAAGATGACAGACAGAATCCTACTCCTACTGCCAGATGTAATAATGTAAGGCTCAAAGAAAATGAATATCCAATCAGAAGACACTGTTTCCATGACTGCACTAAAAAAATCTTTAGAAATAGTAAGTTACAACAATAAAAGAAAATAGCCATCTAATTAAATACTTTTTACTTTAGGAAAGAAATGTGCCATTATTCCTTTAGTTTTAGCTTTCGTTTTTATGGTAATCTTTATTGTGTGCATATTACGTATCACAGAAATGTATTGGTACTATCACTTTGGTGATGGTGATAATAATACTAAGGAATTGTTCATTCCTGTTGAAAGTGTGGTAGATGTGGATCTTACAAGTCTAAACATTAGTACAATACACGATAACAAACTCAATGTCACTATTTTCAATAAAAGCAGCCTTGTACGAATTGCCATAGGTCATGATGGTCAACAAATTTCTCTGCCATTGAAGACTAATATTACTTTGGGGAAAGGTCAAAGTAAATCAATACTACGCTACTGGAAGTCTCATGACAATGTAGCAGGTACTATAAAACTTCTAAATTATGAACACCATATAACTATTGGCTATAAATGGGGAAACATGACACATCCACCGCATGGAAATTGCAGTGATCACAGTAATGAATTGAGTGGTACCAGTAATATATTTGACATATCAAAATGTTTCCTTGACAGTGACAGAGGAAACAACCAAAATATCATACACATGCACATCTGCCATAATGAAAAAGAAGAAGTAGATGTTGAAACAATTCAAACAGCTATCATTGATATTGATATTACTGAATCGTATGTCCTGCCAAACAAAGAGTCATACAAAAGTATCTATAATGATGATACAGTCAATCAGAACTCAGCAGTTCTTCAGTTTCCAAGTCTACTGTCAGAGCTACAACATCCATCCAGTGTGTACATCAATACTTTCTACCCAAACACCAATGGTGAAGACGACAATGAAATGAATTTGAATGAAGTAATTAAACTGGACCTTAAGCCTCAAGCAAGTGAAGATGATATGGAGATAATAGAAACAGTTGCATTAGTAATAACTGCTATCCTGTCACTCCTTCTATCCCTCATGATGTTTGGAATTGGGATCCGTTGCTGCTGCTGCCATATTAAAACAGGTTTTTATGCTTTGGGACTATTCTATGAAGAACAATAACTTAACTTGTAGTCTTAGAGTTTTTGGAGTAATGCATTTAATTAGACTATTAATTAATTGGGATTATTTTGTAGTCTTAGTTTGTTTTTATTTTAGTTTGGAATTCAATTCCTACAATTATAATCACTTTAAAGTATGTACTGAATGCAGAGGTCATATTTCTGTATGACTAAAGAATTCATGCTTTATTGTCCAACTCACAATATACAGCCCATTATGCAGTGGATTCATTGCCACCTTATATGGATAAAATTAATCATCTTAAAATATTGTCAAATAATTCATGATAACCATGTACAGAATGAATCAAGCATCAAAAATAACAAAGATGGCTAGTAGATCCCCCAATGGTAATGGGTTTAAATAATAGCATCCATAATGTTTAATGTACCTAGAATTGCTGTCATCAAGTGAGAAACAACCTCTTTGCCAAGCTAATGGGAGTTCATCAGGAAGCAGTTATTACTCAGCAATACAACCAGCAATACAATCTCAAAGTGATAGTTCACATTCACCTGGAACATCAGTATCACCTGGGGGATCATCACGATCTGGCGGTTCATCTATCATCAGCAACCGTTCACATAATTCTCAACAAAGTAAGATATAATTATTGCTAAAAGATGCTCTGTACACCATAGGACTAGGAAATGGAGAATATCCAATCAGAAGACACTGTTTCCGTGACTGTAGTGAAAAAATCTTTAGAAATAGTAAGTTACAAAAAAGAAAGAAAATAGCTTAATATTTCATTCCTTAGGAAAAAAATGTGTGATTATTTCTTTCACTTTAGCTTTCATTTTTATGGCAATCTTTATTGTGTGCATATTGCGCATCACAGAAATGTACTATCAGTTTGGTGAAGGTGACAACAATACAAAGGAATTGTTCATTCCTGTAGAAAGTGTGGTAGAGGTGAACTTTACAAGTTTAAACATTAGTACAAAACATGCAAACAAGCTCAATGTCACTGCTCTTAATAAAAACAGCCTTATACAAGTTAGTATGGACCACGCTGGTCATCGAATTCCTCTTCTACTGAACACTAATATTACTTTGGAGAAAGGTCAAAGCAAATCATTGCTGCGTTATTGAAAGTCTTGTGAACATATAACAGGTAGGATTACACTTTTGAATGATGAACACCCTATAACTATTGGCTATAAATGGGGTAACATAACAGATCCTCCATATGGTAACTGCTATGATCACAGTAGTGAATTGAATAGTACCAGCAATACATTTAGCATATCAAAATGTTTTGATGACGATGACAGAGGAAATGTCATACACATACACTTCTGCTATGATGAAAGAGACGATGCTGAAGCAATCTCAAAAGCTATCATTGCTATTAACATTACTGAATCATATGTTCTGCCAAACAAGAAATCATATAAATATATCTACAACAATGATATAAACAACCAGAACTCGGCAGTTCTGAAGTTTCCAAGTCTTCTGTCAGAGCTACGTAATCCATCCAAAATGTACATCAATACTTTCTACCCAAATACCAATGATGAAGACTACAATGAAATGATTAAACTGACAATCCAGCCTCAGTCAAGTGAAGATGATATGGAGATAATAGAAACAGTTGCATTAGTAATAACTGCTATCCTGTCACTCCTTCTATCCCTCATGATGTTTGGAATTGGGATCCGCTGCTGCTGCCCATATTAATTTAAAACAGAATTTTGTGCTTTGAAACTATTCTATGAAGAACAATTTTAACTTTGAACTTTAGAGTTTTTGGTTTAATGCATAGACTATTAATTAATTGGTAATTTGTACTTGTATTTCTATTTTTGTTTGGAATTTGAACAACTATATATAATCACTTTTAAGTAAGTAATGAATGCAGAGGTCATATTTCTGTATCACTAAAAAAATTGTGCTTTATTGTCTAACTCCCAATATGCAGCCCATGATGTAGTGGATTCATTGCCACCTTATATGGATGTGAGTAAATTTATAAATAACACCCTCAGCATATAATTATGCAAAAGAGTAAGAATGCCAAACAATAGTTCATGATGACTGATGACTATATATGGAATGACAGCAAAGCATAAGCAACAAGGATGGGAAACAAAGAGAGTAGATCTGCTGCTACTAGAGGTAATCAATTAGTTTGAATAATATCGATTGACAATGTTTAATAAACTTAGATTTTTTCTCATCAATTGATCCTGAGAGACAAGCCAGACAACCTCTTTGCCAATCAGATGGGAATTCATCAGAAGGCAGTTATAGTTCAGTAAAGGAGGAAACGCCCGAAGATTTACTACGAAACTCATGGTCACCTGAAGGCACACCTGTCAGTAGCATCACTGCTTTAAATGAAAACAATGAAGAAGAAAATGACGATGATGATCAGGAGCAAAGTATATAATGTTATACCTGTTTATTTTTGATGTAATTATTGCTTAAAGATGACGAACACGTTCCTGCTCCTGCTGCCAGATGTAATATTGTAAGACTGGAAGAAAATGAAGAGTATCCAATCAAAAGGCACTGTTTCCGTGACTGCACTAAAAAATTTTTTAGAAATCGTAAGTTACAACAATAAAAGAAAATAACTAAATGCATCATTCTTTAGGAAAGAAATGTGCAATGGTTCCTTTAACTTTAGCTTTCATTTTTATGGGAATCTTTATTGTGTGCATATTACGCATCACAGAAATGTGTATTCAGCTTCATGAAGATGATGGTAGTTATACACTGAATCTGTCCATTCCTGTTGAAAGTGTGGTAGATGTGGATCTTATAAGTTTAATGAATAATCATACAATGCACCCAAACAAGATCAAAGTCACAGTGCCTGATGCAAGTAGCCTCGTACGAGTTGCCATAGCTGATAATGATAATCAACAAGTTGCCATGGCTGATGAAGGTGATCAAATTTCTTTCCCATTGAACATTAATATTACTTTGGAGAAAGGTCAAAATAAATCAATACTACGCTATTGGAATTTGAATTCTGGTCAAAAACCAGAAGGCAATATAACACTTTATCATGAACATGCACACAATGTAACCTACGGATACAAATGGGGCAGTATAAAAGATCCTCCTCCATATGGCAACTGTTATGATCATAAGAGTGATTTGAGTAGCACTAGTAGTATAATTGACATACCAACACAATTCGAAGACAGTGAAAAAAAAGATAAAAATATCATACACATACACTTCTGCTATGACAGTAAAGAAGATACAGGAGTGAATTCACCAGCTATTATTGGTATTAATGTTACCGAACATTATGTCAAGCCCAAGAATGTGTCGTATAAATATATCTGCACTGATGATACAGACAATCACAACTCAGCAGTTCTTCCATATCAAAGTCTTAAGTTAGGGCGCTACAATCCATCCAATCCACAATTATATGTCAATACTCACTATAGAAATACCGATGATGACTGCAGTGAAATGATTAAACTGAAAATTGAGCCTGATTCAAGTAAAGATGCTATGGAGATAATAGAAATAGTTGCATTAGTAATAACTGCTATCCTATCACTCCTTCTATCCCTCATGATGTTTGGAATTGGGATCCGCTGCTGCTGCTGCCATATTAAAACAGGTTTTTGTGCTTTGGGACTATTCTATGAAGAACAATAACATTACTTGGTCCAATGCATTAATTGTACTTAATTGTTGCACTCCTGCTTTTATTATTGCTTGCAATTTTTAATTGCTACAATTTCAGTAAAAATTTTTAAAAAGTAGAGCTGTGCACTATATGCATCACCAGTTTATATAGGAGCTAATGGAGCATGAAGCAAGCAATAGACATTACAGTTATAAAATGATACCAAAGATGGTAAGTTGAATACAGATAATATTGATTTATAGCAATGACAGTATGCTTTAGTCCATGAATAATAATAATAGTCATGTGAATGACTATATAAACTTGAAGGTTAGGGGGTGGAATTAAAAAGCCCTGACAATGGCTGAAGTCACTGAACTAAACGAGAAAGAACCTTTGATAGGTCAAAACAATGGAAGAGGAAGAGGTCGGGGGATACTAAGAGGACAAAGAGCAGCTGGATTTGGGAGAGGCCATGCTTATGAGAGACGCCTTGGAAGAGGAAGTAGATCACCTGGCCAGGGAAATGGAGATTCTGCTGAAAGTGATCTAAGTGAAAATAGCTCAAGAGCTAGCTCTATGAAATCTGAAAAGTCAGAGTGTCCTACTGTTCAAGATCTTGATGCTGAAATACAGAATATTGTACCTGAGCCAAGGGGTCCTTACTTAGAGCCAAATGAGGGACTGCATCAGAGACCGGTTCACGAATATGAAGGTATTATTATATGTCCATTATACTAATGAGACTTTTAAATCCTAATCACAGAGGTACCACCACAGCCGCCACCACCACCACCACCACATGCGCCACCACCACCACCACCACCACGGAGACCGCCACCACCCCCACGGAGACAACAACCACAACCGGTGAGACATAATGCAGTAAGGCTAATAGTGGATAATGAAGAAATCATGTATCCATTTAAACGAGGCTGTTGCTTGGACTGTTGCACAAGGAAACTATCAAACAACAGTAAGTCTTTTATGACCGTAATTACAAAAAATGACACATTTACTCTACATAGGAAAGAAATGCTCAGCTGTTGCTTTCTTCTTTGCTATACTGTTCTTAGCAGGGTCAATAGCATGCTTAGTGCTTGTTACTAAGTATCCTGAAGTACTAACAGACACTACCGAAAACATCACATTGCACATTCCACCAAAAAGTGCAGTAAAGCTCAGTCTTACTGACTACAACATCAGTACCATAAAGACAGACCAGCTCACCATTGCTGCTGCAAGCAATGCAGGAAAAGAACACAAAGGTTTGGTAACAATTGCTGCGACTCACAACAGAAAGGAATGCACTGATGCGGACAAGATAACAATAAAAAAGTCTTACGAGTATGATAAAACTGAAGAAAAATCCTTCCTACGCTACTGGCCATCATCAAGTCACATATCAGTAAAGATTTCCATCCATCACAATAGTTCAAATCATGATCACCACATAACAGTTTGGAAATGGGGTACTTTAAGTAATCCCCCACCTGATGTTAGCTGTGAAGCAATAAAACCTGGAGCATCAATTATAAATGGAGGAAGCACCAATGAAAGGAAGATTAATGAAAGCATCTTCTTTGACAGCAAACCAAAGAAGAATCACATGATCAAAATAACATTCTGCAATAAAAATCCCAACATAACAACGACAGCTAATATAGAGATAAAAGAATGCGTTGCTTTGCCTAACAGAGCACTCTGCAAGTATATTTATATTGATGATACTATCAGTGAGAAGCCTAATCCGGTTGAAGTGCAGTTTCAGGGTTTCTTCTCAGAAATGCTAAAGCACTCGATGCTATACATTGATACACGTCACATGAGCAGCTCAAATAATGAAGCTGATAACGAAATCCAGCTAGAGCTCCAAAATCAAACAAGCAGTAACCCTCTGAAAGAAATAGTTATAGCAATAACTGTTATATTGTTTATTGCATCCATTTTATTTTTCTCACTAGGATGCTTCTGCATTTGCTGCTGCAGAAGGAAAGAATTCTGTGGTTGTGGAGTGTATTATCAAAACAAAAGAGTTTGAGAATTGAGAGTAGTCACTAGAGTACATGTACTTTTTACTGTTAATTGTTTGTATTATGCTGCCTTAATGTTGTTTTTAATCATTAATAATTAATTAACTTCCTGTATTAAAATAATCACCACAGCAACATCCATCAAAACTATAGGACAATACTCACTACCAGGATACCATTGATAGCTACAATGAATTGAATAGAGCAATTAAACTGGAAATCCAGCTTGATTCCAGTAAAGATGCTATGGAGATAACAGAAACAATTGCATTAGTAAAAATATACAACTGTTACTGCTATCCTGTCACTCCTTTTATCCCTCATGGTGTTTGGAATTGGGATCCGCTGCTGCTGCTGCCATATTAAAACAGGTTTTTGTGCTTTGGGACTATTCTATGAAGAACAATAACATTACTTGGTCCAATGCATTAATTGTACTTAATTGCTGCACCCCTCAGTGCTTTTATTATTGCTTGCATTTTTTAATTGCTACAATTTAAATCTTTAGTAAAAATTTTTAAAAATGCAGAGCTGTCCATTGTGCAACACCAGTACTAATGGAGCATGAAGCAAGCAATAGACATTACAGTTATAAAATGATATCAAAGATGGTAAGTTGAATACAAAAAATATTGAATTATAGTAATGACAATATGCTTCAGTCCATGAATAATAAAACCAAGAGTACTCTTGATAATAGTCATGTGAATGACTATATAAACTTGAAGGTTAGGGGGTGGAATTTAAAAACCCTGACAATGGCTGAACTAATAGAGAAAGAACCTTTGATAGGCCAAAAGAAAAAAAAAGATCATGCTAATCAGAGACGCCTTCGAAGAAGAAGTAGATCACCTGGTTGGGGAAATGGAGATGCTGCTGAAAGCGATCTAAGTGAAAATAGCTCAAGAGCTAGCTCTATGAAATCTGGAAAGTCAGAGTGTCCTACAGTTCAAGATCTTGATGCTGAAATACAAAATGGGCCTGAGCCAAGGGATCCTGACTTAGTACCAAATGATAAAATACTTCACCAATATCAAGGTATTGCTATAAAATTATGTCCATGAGACTTTTAAATCCTAATCATAGAAGTACCACCACAACAAAGACCACCAGCAGTAAGGCTAATAGTGGATAATGAAGAAATCATGTATCCATTTAAACGAGGCTGTTGCTTGGACTGTTGCACAAGGAAACTATCAAACAACAGTAAGTCTCTTATGACCGTAATCACATAAAAATGACACGTTTACTCTACATAGGAAAGAAATGCTCGGCTGTTGCTTTCTTCTTTGCTATACTGTTCTTAGCAGGGTCAATAGCATGCTTAGTGCTTGTTACTAAGTACCCTGAAGTACTAACAGACACTACTGAAAACATCACATTGCACATTCCACTGAAAAGTGCCATAAAGCTCAATCTTACTGACTACAACATCAGTACCATAAAGAGAGACAAGCTTAAAATTGCTGTTGCAAACACTACAAAAAAAGAACACAAAGGTTTGATAACAATTGCTACAACTCACAACAGAGAGGAATGCACTGATGAAAATGAGATAACAATGACTTACAAGTATAAGAAAGGCTATAAAGACTTCTTACGCTACTGGCCATCATCAAGTCATGTATCAGTAACAATATCCATCCGTGACAATGATGATAACCACATCATAGCTTGGAAATGGGGCACTTTAAGTAATCCTCCACCACTTGACCTTAAATGTGAAGCACTAAACACGCATGATAAATCTACAAAGACAGAGATCAACCAAAGTATCTTCTTTAATAACAAACCAAGGGATATGAATTATATCAGAGTAATACTCTGCAATAAAGCTGACACAGAAACAATTGCTAATATCGAGATAAAAGAATGCATTGCTTTGCCTAATGATCAGTTGTACAAGTATATCTATATTGATGATACTAAAGAGCCTAAGCCAGTTGAAGTGCAATTTCAGGGTTTCTTCTCAGAAATGCTAAAGCACTCGATGCTATACATTGATACACGTCACATGAGCAGCTCAAATAATGAAGCTGATAAGGAAATCCAGCTAGAGCTCCAAAATCAAACAAGCAGTAACCCTCTGAAAGAAATAGTTATAGCAATAACTGTTATATTGTTTATTGCATCCATTTTATTTTTCTTACTAGGATGCTTCTGTCTTTGCTGTTGCAGAAGGAAAGAATTCTGTGGTTGTGGAGTGTATTATCAAAACAAAAGAGATTGAGAATTGAGAGTACATGTACTTCTATAGCTGTTAACTAGTATTAATGCTGATTGTAATAGTTTTTTAACAACAATTAATTAATTAACTTCCTGTATTAAAATAATCACCATAGCAACAGTAGCAATGGCGGATAAAGATGGCTGACACAAAGGAAGGTAAGGAAAAGGATGGTTTGAAGTATCAAATGATGATACTAAGCGTGTATTCTGTCATTTACAGATCGTAAGAGTCTCAAGCAGCCCCTGGTATCAAGTCACAGCAGGCAAAAGAGTCCAGAAGATAGAGAAACAACCCCTTCTTTACGTAAAGACAATTCTCTTTGTTTTGGACGTAAGATAATGACAATAATAGATTCCTTGAACTGTTAATTTTCTAATACTAAACTGTATGTGTTCCTACTAATTACAAATACATTCCAACCTATATAATTACTCGTGTTTATTCTTTATGTATTTGTAGGTATAAATTTTGTGATATTGTGCCTGTTTCTACTATTGGTGATACTGCTAGCCAGTATAATAGCGATATTTTTACATCCACACACTAATAATAATAATAATAATAATCAAAATAATGCAACATTAGAGGAGATTTAACTACATGTACCTATAAAGTGTTTTAATTTCATATTTTAATTCCTTTTCTTTTTTGTTTGAATTAAAAATTGCATAAATCAGACAAGACCTTATCGCATTACGTGTCACACAAAGAGAAAATGAAGAAGAAATTCCTGAAGTCCTGATGGTACACGCTATTTCCTTACACAACAGCAACAGAATGGGCTTCACAGTTCACATACATGCGTACAGAATGATTCAAAAACACCATTACTTTTTATTATCCATCATGCATGTACAATATAATGCATGAACTAACCTCTGCAGTTTGGGTTTGGATTCCTTTAATAGCGTCAACCACTAGTATCATGAGGTCAATTATTTGAGCACCTAAAACAAAAATACCATTTATAATGCTCGAAAATCTAATTACACGTACCACCGATGATCGTCCTAATGAGTGATGCATGTCCTGGACAATCAACCAACGTAAACTGAACTGAATCATATCCAGAATCTATATGAGAGAAGTGAATCTATGATGGAGATTTAGTGCTCACAAAAATTTCACTATTTTTATTACATTTTCTCCTAATCATAAATAGATCTATAATATTATACATGATCTTGAGTTGTGTGTTAATTTTGAGCTGATTCCAACCAAAATTGTATTTTTACAAATTTTTTTAAATTTCTCAAAAATCAAGCTAAAGTCCCTGTACTATAGTACATGGTCTTGGGTCAAATTTTGCCAAAAATGACTAGGAAAGAATTCTCAATTTTTATAATTTTTTCTAATACATATACATGTTCTTATGTTATGTTTCAAGTTTGAGCTGTTTCCGATCAAAATTGAATTTTTTACAAATTTTTAAAGGTGCTCAAAAATCTGGCAAAAAGTCCCTGTACGATTTCTGCAGAGCTATCTCAGAAGCTCATCTTACCCTAACCTAACCTATTCATTTTATCTTATTATTTTTCTCTCACTTATTTCCGTTATTATTATTTCTTTTTTTAACCTACTATTTATCCCTGTGTTATATCTATTTTGTTTAAAAAAAAATGTTTATTTAAGGGCTCAGTTCCCTCCTACACTGTACTATAGTACAGGGTGTTTGGCCAAATTTCGCCAAAAATGAAAAGGAGAGAATTTTCTTTTTTTATAATTTTTTCTGATACATATAAATATTCCTATGTTGTGTAGAAAGTTTGAGGTGATTCCGATCAAAATAGAATTTTTTAGAAAATTTTAAAGTTGAACAAATCTGGATATACTCAGCTGACAATTACCTTTTAGGTGTTCAGGGATTGGAATTGAGAAAGAGGAAAAGCCTAATAAATAAAAAAGAAAACTATAACAATAATAATTATACAGACGTATTAAATTAGTATGCACACCATATATGGTCTTAGTTTATTTTTCCTAGCCTATTAATAATTTTCATTTTTTCACATTGTTTTTATTACATTGAACAACATCAACAAACAACAGTCAGTCAGTGATTGTACACTAAAATCATTAACGACGAGACTAACCTAAATCAAGAGTGATCCCTCTCTCTTGACTTTGTGGGTGTTTATCAAAAGCAGCTGTCGATGCTACTGAACTTAGTGCCTTTGCTAAATGTACATAATTATAATTTTATAGGACAGTTCTGCATTGCTAAATTTAAAACTTACCCAATGATGTTTTTCCACTGTCCACATGACCTAGTACTCCAATGTTAAAATTTAAAACTTTAGATCTTTCAGGGGAGCCTTTAGCAGCCATAATAAGCCACACCTTTAATAAGTAGCCATTTTTAATTACATTATTTTTGCTTCCACGTGGTTTCCGCCTATCTCCGAACATTTTTTGGATTTTCTCTCTATTGTGACGACTCGTATATTTTTGTCAATTTATCGTGTCATTGTTAAGTGTTCTTTTACTCAAGTCTAGTGTTTCTGTTCTGTTCTCAGTTAGTTTCTTATTCCGGCGATGGTTGATAGACTGGGTAAGTAAAGCACTCGTTTCCTTCTTCCCCCTACTCTGCTTCAGAGAAGGAGGCCTTTGTCGAGCTATTTTCTTTATAAATGGAGTCCCTCAAGAGGAGTATGTATGAGTGCTAATGTGCTATAACCCTACACGTTGCAGCCTCGTGTGTATATATATCACCTTCTGTAGTCTAGAGGGATGACTTATCTGTTTTGTAATTATTAGTAAAATGTGACTGTGGGGCTTGAATGAGAAAGAGCATGTATAAGTGCCCATATAGTACATGTACATCAATACAGGATTAATTTTGTATTTTAATAATGACGATTGTTGCTATATCCATTTGTCCTTCGCTCCCTCTCTACTAGTGCACAGTGAGGCTAATCACAGGAGAATAGCAATCGTGGAGCAGTGTTTTGGTAGTAATGGTCAGGTAGGTCCATACACATGTACCATGTAAATACATACAAGTACTTGTGCTGCTTACATTTCTTGCATTCTTTCATTGCACAGTCTTTAATTTTTTTCACTCCCTCATTTTTACTATGCTGACTATCATTCCTTTAGTTCTTTAGCCCATCACTTTCATAACCTTATCATCTTTTGTGTCCCATTTTGTCCCACTTAAGTTTTTCTCTTTTTAATGTTGTTTTCTCCCACCAGCTGTCTTTGTTGTTTTTATGTCAATTCACTCCCAAGCTATGCTTATATGTGTACATTTAGAATGCATTTAGAGGCTCTTTGTCATAGTTTCAAGATAGTTTATTTGCCTTATTATCATTCCACACTAACTTAATGTGTCATTATCAGTAGTACTAACTACTAAGTACACTAGAATGTGGTGATGATGGTTTTATTGATATGATAATTACAGTCTGAGGGATACAGTGAATTTACACTAGTCTGATCCATATATCCTATATTGTTATGTCTGTTATTCCTTCTATTTGTTTGTACTGTTTATTTCTTGAAAAGAGAAAGGATGCACACAGACCATTGTATGCAAGCACAAAGACTCGACCCAATTTAGACTCATACCAGCACTGTATGATATCAATGCATTCCATTCTAGTTGTACCCGTACATGTATGTACGATGATGTACATGTAGTTTGATTGAATTTTGTCCTTTCTAGGCATATTACATATTATGGTAATCGTTTGTATTAAAGGTCATTTTATCACTTGTTACATCATGTACTGGTCGCTTAACATCATTTTGACATTATTTCTTTCTCTCATAGTCCCTCACTAAAACCGGTAGAGTTCTTGTTGGTGAGGGAGTTTTAACGAAAATGTGTAGAAAGAAAGCAAAACCGAGACAAGTAAGTGGAGCGGAGAAGAAGAAGACATTTAATGCAACATCTTTTGTTTAGTTCTTTTTATTCAACGATATTCTGGTGTATGGAAATATCGTCATAGACAAGAGAAAGGTAAGATCATAAGTTGTATTATTGCAGAGGGTGGATGGGGATGTTCCTGTCATTAGTGTTTGTTATTGAGTATGCTGATTCCTTTAATTTATAGTATAACAAACAACATATTGTCCCGCTAGAAGATGTTAAAATCCAGTCACTTGAAAATGATGGACGTAAGCTCCCTTCTCTCTCTCTCCCCCCTCTCTCTCCCCCCTCTCTCTCTCCCCCTCTCTCTCCCCCCTCTCTCTCTCTCCCCCCAACTTATCATCCATTACCTGACTTGGAGTAAATATAGTGTATCCTAATTAGGATCATGACACTCAGTGTCAGCCTGTCAATACAAGACACACGTTGTTGCTCATATTTGTTCACCAAAGCAATGCCGTATATGCTCAGTGTGTGTGTGAGTGATTGTAGGATCGTGTGTGTATATAGTCTGTTTACATTCCATTGATAATGGAGGATTCATTTAGTACATAGTGTCTTCCTGTATTTATGGCAGTTATAATGAGATTTGTGAGAGCAGCCTCTGTTATAATTTTAGTATATTTGATTATGATGGTCCCAATAGATGCCATACTTTATAATTGGCTTCATTCCTACTTGCACTGTGTCACATTAACTGCTCTCTCTCCCTCCCTCCTTCTCTCTCCCCCTCTCTCTCTCCCTCCCTCCCTCTCTCCTTGTGTAGCATGGAAGAATGGATGGCAGGTCATTAGTCCCAAGAAATCCTTTGCAGTGTATGCAGCATCACCAACAGAGAAATCAGAATGGATGGCACACATTAATAAATGCATAGCTGACCTCCTTGCCAACAGTAAGACTTTAACACTATTCATGTAATACTATTAGGTGTAAATGTTGTCTACATGTACTGTCTGCTGTAATTATTGTTTATACTTTTGGGTAATACAATCTGTTGTTTTTTGGGTGAAACTCCTTTAATTTGTAGCTACAGGTGTTCTGTAATGCGTGTGTGGAATGCTTTTATTGATTGGTCTCAATAGAGTGGATAATTATCTTTTGGTCAAGCCTCAATAACTTGTTATAATACCATTCATCGTTAGCCTATTACCGCATTCATTTTCTGTACATTTCCTAGTGACAGTACCCTGTGTTTAATTTTTAATTTACAAATACTATCTGTCAGTTTTATATCATATAACTCACTCTAATCATTTATTGTAGGTAACAAGAGACCGGCAACAGAGCACGCTGCTGTTTGGGTCCCTGACAGTGAAGCACAGACTTGTATGCATTGCCTCAAAGTCAAGTTTACTCCAATACAAAGAAGGGTAAGATCCTCCATCTTCTCATGTACTTCTCTCTTTTAAGTCTCTTCTATACTGTATGCATCCTAGCTGGGTTTGGGGCAAGAAAAACTGGAATAACTTTTTATAGGAATGTGAAATAAGGATAAAACTTTCACAGGTTCTTAGTTGCCAAAATCCATCAAAATCTGTGAAATGTTGGGTCTGTCAGCCAGGCCTGGGGTCAATTACAATTAAATGTAATCTATTACTATTACTATTACTTGAAAATTTTAACTATTATATTACTATTACTATTACAGCCTTTTTTCAAAGTAATCTATTACTATTACTATTACAACAAAGCATATTAAGGCCTTTTCACACTGGCCAAAGTAATGCGCATTGATGCGCATTAATCGTGTTCACACTAGAGTGGTTTTCAATTAATGCGCATTGATGCGCATTACTTGTGCCAGTGTGAAAAGGCCTTGTATCAACAAAGCGCATCAAAGCGCTTTGAAAACTGTGCCAGTGTGAAAAGGCCTTTACTATTACAATTACTATTACAATACGCCATAGATTTTTATAGGTTACTAATAAAAATAATCTACTTTTGAAGTTAATCTAAGCCATTTTATAGTTTCTAATTAAGAATGCTTTGTTATATTTATGATAAAAAGTCTCAGTACTGAGCAATAGTTCCTGGCTAACGTGCTATTTTCATATTGTTACTTATTAGTGTAACACTACAAGTAATAGCTATGTAATATTGAGATCAGACTTGGGGTCAATTACAATTGTAATTGTAATTTAAGGGTCAATTACAATTACAATTACATAATTGTAATTGTAATTGACATGTATTTCAAGCTATGGACTGTAATTGTAATTGTAATTGATAATAATAATGATAAATTACATCACCTGATGAGGCACGTTTACACCAAAGGAGATAACTAAACCATAGACTTTTATACATGCATACCCAAAGGAGATAACTAAACCATAGACTTTTATACACGCATACCCAATGCTTGCTCACCCAGCTACTGTTTATTTAGCCATTCATGCATCATCAGCAACTGTGGAAAGGATATTTAGTATGGGAGGAAAAGTTTTTAGGCCAGAGCGGTGCCATCTCAGTAATAACCTATTTGAGTCATTAATGTTTATACATTGTAACTATGATTTAAAACTGTAATTATATTGTAATTAAATTAAAATGTAATTGTAATTGTAATTGAGTTGAGGGACTTGAAATGTAATTGTAATTGTAATTGAGGCTATGTGGAACAAATGTAAGTATATAAAAGTGTAATTGTAATTGGAAATTTGTAATTGACCCCAAGTCTGATTGAGATTACATATTACTTTGACCATTATTACTATTACTATTACTATTACTTCCTGTTACCAAAGATTCTATTACTATTACTATTACTATTACTTGGTGCCCTGTAATCATTACTATTACAATTACTATTACATATTACTATTACCCCAGGCCTGCTGTCAGCCTTTGGGAACCCTGAGAACCGGGTTCTCCCTATAACCCAATGGCATATCAAAGCTAACTGCAATGGTGTTTTGGTCTGGTGCCCCAAACTGATAATTCTTTTTAAAAGCTAACAGAGCTAGATCTTCTGATAAGGATGGCCTTAATTAAGAAGACTGGGTGACTCCTGTGGCTATGGTACTGCTTATCAGTAACAGCAGGACTGTGAAACAACACAGCCGCCATGCTTTTATGAATATCATTATTTTATGCATCATTGGCATTAAATTCCACGCAGCTGCTTCCACTTCCTCCTAAACTCAGTTGGGATATATATACATCTTTCTCTTTATAATTATAATTATCTCTTTCTCCAGCATCATTGTAGGAAATGCGGTGCTGTAGTTTGTGGTGGATGCTCTAACAAGAAGTTCATCTTGTCATACCAGTCTGACAAACCCGTTAGGGTCTGCATCACCTGCTATGAAGTACTCAGTAACTCTGTACCCGATAAAGACAAGTAAGTATATTAAGCGTATACCATTTATGATATTTATGCTTCAACTTCCTTTCTATGTTTTATTATGATTTAACTCTTGGGGTTTGTTTATTTTTTATCTATTTTTTGTTTAGATCATCTATGATAAGACCCGACTATGAGGTAAGCTTAAATCAAACAACGATAACAATATTAAGCATACTGTATAACGCTTTAATTTGGCGGAGTTTTATTTTGGCAATCGGCGGTTTGCAAGCAGAATCGCCAATATAAAAACCGCCAATCATTAATGTGCATGCTCAGTAATGCATGTGTACACAAAATTGCTAAATTAAAAACTGCCAATTACAATTTTAAAGCAAAATCGCCAAAATAAAGCACTATATGGTAACATACATCCATCTATGTGTACATAGTATGTATTTATAGATGTATACTAATAGTGCAACTAATGCCTGTTTTATTATTATTAATAGTCTGCAAGTGCATCAGTGTGGAATAGTGATGAGCAGTTGAATGATGATGATACGGCTAGTGGTGGCAGTGCTGATGGAGGAGTAAGTGCAAGAGGAGGAATGGGCACCAGTGATCCTATTATAACACCACAACCTCGCTATGGATCCTCCGATGAAGAAGAAGATGATATTGAACTCCCTCCTGGTTCATTGCCAGAGGTATAGGCAGTCCATTATCATGCATAGTAATTGTAATTGTAGTATTGTAAGTGTATTATATATTGTTGAGTGTATAAATAGTTTAATGCAATGTTTGAATCTGGGCTTAGTTGTGATTTTGATTTTACTCTCTCTTTTTTATTTCTTAGTCTCATCCTCAGTTTTATGATTTTGGAACTACTGAAGTATTGATCAGTTGAATGGAAGGGAGAAGGAGATGCACATGAGGGTCGCATGATTGTCATATAAACCATTTTATTATTATTTTGAATAATGCATGACCTCTTTTATGTTTTCATTTTTTGTTATTACAGTTTGTGGATTAAACTAGATTTATTGATAATATTAATACACATGTAATTAATCTCATAATCGTTGCGTGGGAGTGGAACCAGCTCACGTGCATGGTACTCTTCCTACACGTTCACACTCGTGCTCGTACTCGCAGTTCGCAAGAAAACTTTAAGAAGAACACTTGACTGCTAGTCAGCACTAAAAAACAAGTGTCTTTTAGCCTTAGGCTAATTTATTTACAGTCTCAGACAATCGCTCTCACTTCCTGCCTGTTTCTTCTTGTGTCATTATACTAGTCTGGGACACCTTGAAAGATTGAGCTAGTAGATACAAAGAGAAAAGAAGACCAACAAGATGGATCTGTTACCTGCCTTAGAACCTTGCCCTTCCATTGACTTTGAAGATCTCTATGCAGCTCAGCCAGGAGCCTCAGGAGCCCCAAGGTCGGTCGAGTCAAGTGATCTAGAAGAAGAAACCTCCGCTGAGACTTGTACCAGTATAGTTCACTCTCAGAGCCCCTCTTCAAGTGGTCTAGGAGGAGAAACTTTCATTAATATTTTTACCACTATAGTTCACTCTTTGATGTGCCACATACAAGGAAGCCTGGAGACCAATGAGTTTGCTCAAAGAGCAATAGGTATGTATTGATGCTTTGGGTAATGCTCTGTTATACAGAAGTGTCCTTTATGGAGAGGTTATTTTTATACAGTAAAGCTAGGTTTACATTTGACAAAACGGTGAAAAGTGCGTGGGCGATTTGACCTTTTGACGCAAAAACGCTTTGAAGTTGACGCATAATTGGTCAAATTTTAATTTTGCATTGATTTGCATTGCATTTTGTGTCGAGTGTAAACCTAGCTTAAGGAATGTAATGGGTGCTGTCTGTGAAATGGAGGTATACGCTATAGAGAGTGTCCATTAAGAGAGGCTATACTGTATGCATCTACATACAGGGGCGTATCTAAGGGTGGGCCTGGGTGGGCCTGTGCCCGATCAGCTCAGCAGACCAAAAATTTTTTTTCTTTTGTATATTAGTCCTTTTAAAAATATTGCTCACTTTATTATGATAGCAATGAGACAAGACTAGCATAGCTAATAGTTTTAGCCAGTGTAAATATAATGATGACATGGTAGAGACTTCCATAGTTCCATTTGGGCAATTGGGCTGCCATTTTTTAAAGTAATAACTACTACTAACCAATCAGTTATTAGACTATTCACATTAATTATTAAAGTAATCGAGTTGAAAATGGCTAAGAAACTCTGCTGAGTCTGTTTGAATGTCTTCTCAAGGCTAGTACTACTACTAATGAAGAAAATATAAGCACTGAAGTGCACATCTTAGCTTAATTAAAGTAATAATCGTAGTATTTAATTGACCACGCCCATCATGAATATTAATTAGCTCTGGAAATTTTTCGCAGCGCGCTTCGCGCACCACATATTTTTTCTCCATGCCCAACCAACTCTCAGAGCTTAGATACGCCCCTGTCTACATATTTATTTATTTATTTGAATGTAGAGTCGTTGGTTTTAAAAATAAAAGACAAAAGTGACGAATTGGAATCATTAGTGACAGCCATTACCACTGGTGGGACTAAACCATCAATATGTGTCACAATACCAAGAACTCTTGATGGAAGACTTCAAGTAATAGCAATATTAATATTAATTATTATTATTAATTAATAGGTCTCTGGTCGTAAAGGCTATCCTCATGTGATGTATGCTAAGATTTGGCGTTGGCCTGATCTACACAAAGATGAGTTGAGATGTATCGAGTTATGTCAGTACGCCTTTGATCTCAATCGGGAAAGTGTCTGTGTGAACCCGTACCACTATGAAAGGGTTGTATCTCAAGGTGGGAGAGTAAATAACAATAGTTACTTTTAAATGTTTAAAAACATCACTTACCTGTCCCCATACATTAGAGTGTATTAATAATATGATTGAGAGTGTTTAGGACAATGGGTTTTGTTTTAAGAGTTATTTAGAGACTTGGAATTAGTAACCAACTGCGGCTAACACTCCGAGGTCTGGCTATCGACAAGAGTTGGGTGTAGTGTCCTCTCTTAAGCTAAATGTCATAATATTTAATCTCCCTCTCTTTCTCTCTTGTAGGTCCAAGTTCTTGTGATATTGTTGGTTCTAATGTTGTTCATCACAAGCGTAAGTTATTACTAATGAATTAGTTAATTAATTACTGATTTATTAATAGCCCCTCCGCCTTTATTACTACATGTAAATCAGGAAGCAATGGAGGAATCACCTGGTAATTATATAATAAATAAATAAATAATAATAATAATGAATAATTATTTTATTTTATTCTGTTATTAATTTCTTTTTTGTCTGCTTAATGTCTTTTTCAGTGTTATTCCATTGCTGTTTTTTTGTGTGTTGTTAATCTTTCTGTTTTGTTCCCTTCCCTGTTGTTGTTGCCTCTGTTTATAATAATAATAATAATAGTAATATTATTATTATTATTATTATTGTCAGGAGTTGGCGGATATTTCAATACACAAGGCATGATGGCAGCTGCTGCCAGTCAGCAACAGGAATACATGGAAATTCAACCATCTTGTGTCCAGGCTTTAAGTAATTGATATTCATTATTTATTAATTAATTATTCATGGGGGTTAGGTGGGTGGGGTTTGCCTGGGGCTTCCCCGTACAATGCAATGACCAATCAGATTGATCCAGCACTCCAAATGAACCAACTTCTGCAGTATTGTAAGAAATTAAATTAATATTAATATTAATATTATTATTATTTAGATAATCCTGGTAATTATGTCCCTCCAGTAATTCGAATTCCACAAGCTGTTGCTCCTCCCCTTGCCCCACCCACTATTAATTCTGTTACTACCTGCACTTTGTCACCACTACCTCATACCACAAGTAAATACAATTATTATTGTGTGGGTATATGCTATGATATTATATTAGTGAGCATCATTATTATTATTATTATTTTAGATAGTCCTAGTAATTATGTCCCTCCAGTAATTCCACAAGCTGTGGCTCCTCCCCTTGCCCCACCCACTATTAATCCTGTTACTACCTGCACTTCATCACCACTACCTCATACCACAAGTAAATACAATTATTGTGTGGGTATGCTATGATATTATGTCTCATTTTAATGTCAAATTTAATTAGCCCCCCCCCCCCAATACCCCTAGGGCCCTATTAGTTCACACAATTAGACAATCAAACTATTATTTCCCCTTTCCTTTAGCTCCTGATTTTTGGTGTAAGATATTATATCATGAACTGGCTATTCCAGTTGGTGAGTGCTTCAAGGTCCCTGCTAATATTACCTCAGTGTCTGTGGACGGGTTTGTTGATCCTTCTGCAGTTGACAGGTTCTGTCTGGGACGTTTATCCAATGTCCACAGAACAGAACCTAGTAAAAGGGTCATATCCCATATTGAGAAAGGTTAGTACAGCTCCAGGTTGCCTTTACTGAGTCGCCTAACTCACCTTATTATTATTATTATTATTAATTACTTCATTAGGAATAGTTATTGAGGAGAAGAATGAGACTGAGGTTTGGATCAGGTGTGTGAGTCGCCACTCAGTTTTTGTTCAGTCGAATTATCTTGACTATCAAGCTGGACAAGCTCAAGGGGACGCTGTCCATAAAATATACCCCAATGCTTATATAAAGGTACACTTTAACATACCCTGTTGTATAGCTGGTTTATAATTTTAGCTGATTTTTACATAAAATGTCATCAATTTTTAATAATAATAATAATAATAATGAGTGTTCTATTATTATTGCAGGTGTTTGATTTGTCCTATTGTTATGAGGAGATGCAGAAACAAGCTCGTAAAGCTTGTCTTGCAGTGGCTAACCAAACAGCAGCAGTAAGAGGTAAGCCACTCCTTCTCCCCCTCCTCCTATCACCCTCCCCCCTCTCTCTCCTATAAAGGTGATTCCTTACAAACAGCCAATATAGATCCTGATCTGGCACGAAGTATTGGTGTTGATGACTTAAGACGACTGTGCATCTTAAGATTGAGTTTTGTAAAAGGATGGGGCTCAGACTACAAGAGGCAGACCATTAAAGAGACTCCGTGTTGGATTGAGGTTCATTTCAACCGTGCTCTTCAGCTATTGGACTCTGTCCTAACCCAACTACCCTCAGAGTTCAAAATACAGGACTCTGTCAAGCTATAAAGTACTTAGTAACTCTGTAACCGTTAAAGACAAGTAAGTATATTCAAAGCGTACCTTTTAATATTAAGCATGATCATTATTGCTTCAACTTCCTTTCTAACTTTTATTTATTTTTTATCTATTTTTTTTGTTTAGATCATTTATGTTAAGACCCAATTATCACACCATCATAACAATATTAGTATTATACATACATGTATGCATAATGTGCAATTCTATTATAACTGTATACTGATTATCAATATTTACATTCATACTAATGCCTGTTTGGATCCTCCAATCAAGAAGATGATATTGAACTCTCTCCTGATTCATTGCCAGAGGTATAGGCAATTCATTATTGTGCATAGTAGTTGTAATTGTAGTATTGTATCATATATTGCTGAGTGTATAGATGTTGGAATGTGGACTTAGTTGTACTTGATTTTGTATTACTCTCTTTTATTTCTTAGTCTCATCTTCAGCTTTATGATTTTGGACCTACTTAACTATTGATCAGTTGAGTGGAAGGAGATGCACATGATTATCATAATTATAAACCATTTTTTTATTATTTTGAATAATAATGCAAGGCCTCTTTTTTGTTATTACATTTGATTATTATTTTATTAACTATCCTATGGTTGCGTGGGAGGAGTACAGCTAGCTCACGTGCTACTTTCTTGTCAGCACTCAGCACTAAAAAAAGTAAAAAAAAACAGTATATATCTTTTCCAGGCAAGGTAAATACTGAAATGCTTGGCTGAAGTAATTGCATCAGGCCTATTTCCTTCATTTTAGGTCATGTCATCTGTCACTTTAAATACTGGTGCTAGCATTCCGGCATTTGGACTGGGGTTGGTTTATTTTTATTTATTTAATAGTTAATGAATTGAATTACTGATTAAATAACCTTAACAACAAGTATCAAAACAAATATTTTTTTTCTTATCCATTCTTATTTGATGTACAGTACATGGCAGTCACCTAAAGGAGCAGTGGGGAAAGCAGTAGAGATAGCCATAAGAGCTGGCTATCGTCACATTGATTGTGCTCACCTCTATGAGAACGAAGACGAGGTTGGTGAGGTTCTTCAGAAGCTCTTTAAGGAAGGAGTTGTAAAGAGGGAAGATCTCTATATTACGTCTAAACTTTCGTAAGAGAGAACCTAAAGGTCTAGAGGATTAGTTGTATCCTTGCAGGTGTTTTCTCATGTCAAACAAAGAGGATGTGACAGAGTCTTTGACAGATACTCTCACTAAGCTACAGTTGGACTATCTTGATTTATATTTGGTGAGCAGTAGCAATGACATTCCAAAGGCATCTTTCTTTTATGCAGATCCATTGTCCATTTGCTGCCAAGAAGGGAACACCCTTTATGAAACTTCAAGAGGGCATCATTGGTTATTTTCCTGATATGATTGCTAGTGTGTGGGAGGTTAGTAGTTCATATTATTATGAAATGAATTGTACGTAGACCATGGAAGGGTTTGTTGCAAAAGGATTAACAAAGGCTATTGGCATTTCAAACTTTTCAATTACCAAAACAGAGAATTTGTTGAAGACAGCAAAAATTGTACCAGCAGTAAATCAGGGTACATGAATGTGCATCAGATCTCATGATGATATACTTATTTGATTTATAGTGGAGTGTCATGCTTACCTACAGCAGACTAAACTTCAGCAATACTGCAAGTCCAAAGGTATTATTATTATAATGACCTGTTGTTTCATTGTAATGTTAATATTAGGGATTGCTTTTGAGGCATATTCCCCTCTTGGTTCTCCTGCTCGGTTTAATGTTCAACCTGGGGATCCTGTTGTCATGGAGGATCCAGCTGTCAAAGAGATTGCATCAAAGCATGGAGCATCACCTGCTCAAGTATACGATAGTTGTACACATGTACCTTTCTATCATATTGTTATAGGTGTGCATAGCCTTTTTGCTTCAATCGGGTTTGGTTGTTATACCAAAGTCAGTGACTGAGTCACGTATTATTGAGAACCTTAAAGCCACAGAACTAGTGCTGACTGATGAGGAAATGAAGAGTCTGAGAGCTATTGACAAGAACTGCCGTCTCCTAAGCTTCCAATGGTTTGCACCAGATAAGACCGTGGATCAGATTTGGGACGCATCAGAAGATGAAGCTTTTGTTTTGCAATAACTTAGTCAATAAACATTTTAGTAGATGTAGACTCATGCAGTAGTAGATCTAGTCTAGCTAGCTATATTTTTTTCTGAATTCCAAATCAGCCCCTCCCATTAAAGCTTTTAGCTTGGGTGTGGTTCAAATCTTAAAATGGAACAGGTATATTCAGGCTTTGTTCAAGCACAGACATGCATCTTCTATTCCTCTTTTCTCATAGGCAAGTATCATTCTGAACAATGGGACTAGCATTCCTCCCTTTGGATTAGGGTAAGAAAGAATAGAAGCCAAAATGCCAACTGCTGGCATGTTTTAGTGACTAGATCTCTATGTTTCTGCATGCATGTTAATTTGCATGTAGGACTTGGCTGGCTAAGGAAGGAGTTGGTAATGCAGTAGAAGTAGCAATAAGAGCTGGTTACCGTCATCTTGACTGTGCTGACAGATACAACAATGAAGGTGAGATAGGGATGACACTGCAGAAACTTTTTAAGGAAGGATTGGTGAAGAGAGAAGAGCTTTACATTACTTCAAAATTATCGTACGTCATTGGCATAATTTTAATAATTTATAACAATATTTTATAGTTGTCTCATGATGGCGTGCAAGGAGGATGTATTGGAGAGCTTTTACAATGTTCTCAAGGACCTTCAATTGGACTATCTTGACCTTTTTCTGGTCAGTATGTATTCTTTATCTATGATATATTTTACGTACTTTCATTTTTTTAGATACATGTACCATTTGCACTGAAAAAAGGTGTTCTAAGTTTAGCAACTTGTGACAAAAGTGATATAATTGGTTATGACCCCACTATCATAGCTAACGTTTGGACTGTAAGTTAATAAGTGCACAATTCTGTGATTGTGCATATTTTTCAGGTTTTGGAGGATTTAGTAAGCAAAGGGCTAACAAGATCCATTGGAGTATCAAACTTTTCCATCACAAAGATGGAAAATTTACTAAAAACTGCTACAATAATTCCTGCTGTGAATCAAGGTATAGTTAATATAAGTATCAATAGTAATTCATGATCCTATAAGTATAGTTGAGTGCCATATTTATCTTCAGCAACCTAAGCTCCAACAATACTGTAAAAATAAAGGTAATAATGTATTAAAGAATGTTAATGTTAGTTTCTAATGCATACTTTAGGGATAGTGCTAGAGGCATATGCTCCTCTTGGTTCTCCAGGACGCTCATCAAAGCCTCCAGATGAGCCTGTTGTTTTGGAAGATGCAACTGTCAAGGAGATAGCATCAAAGCATGGAGCAAATCCAGCTCAAGTAAGAAAAATAAAGAAATGTAATAAGTATCTCTTGTAGGTGTGTATAGCATTTTTGCTTCAATTGGGTTTGGTTGTTATACCAAAGTCAGTGACTGAGTCACGTATTATTGAGAACCTTAAAGCAACAGAACTAGTGCTGACTGATGAGGAAATGAAGAGTCTGAAAGCTATTGACAAGAACTTCCGTCTCCTAAGCTTTCAATGGTTTGCACCAGATAAGACCTTGGATCAAATTTGGGACACGTCAGAAGATGAAGCTTTTGTTTTGCAATAACTTTTTATCTCGCTTTTTATAAAAATATTTTTGAAGCAGCCCCTCCCACTAATTAGGTGCGGCTTAAAATCTACAACACAAGAGCAAAATGGCCCAAGTAAGATTCGGATAGAATGTACAATAAAGCAGTCCGCAATCTGCATTTCTTATAGGCAAGAATCATTCTGAACAATGGTACTAATATTCCTGCCTTTGGATTAGGGTAAATAAATTTCCTTACTCAGTACAACTCCTTTTTTCAAATTTTATGTACAATAATGTCTATTGTATAGTACTTGGCAGGCAAAAGAAGGAGTTGGTAATGCATTAGAAGTAGCAATAAGAGCTGGTTACCGTCATCTTGACTGTGCTGACAGATACAACAACGAAAGTGACATAGGGACGACACTGCAGAAACTTTTTAAGGAAGGATTGGTGAAGAGAGAAGAGCTTTACATTACTTCAAAATTATCGTACGTCATTGGCATAATTTTAATTATTTATAACAATATTTTATAGCTGTCTCATGATGGCTTGCAAGGAGGATGTATTGGAGAGCTTTGACAATGTTCTCAAGGACCTTCAATTGGACTATCTTGACCTTTTTCTGGTCAGTAGTATAGTCTAAAAATAGATATTATTTTATGTCCTTTTTGCTTGTAGATACATGTACCATTTGCAGTGAAGAAAGGTGTTACAAGTATAGCAAAATGCGATAAAAGTGACATAATTGGTTATGATCCAACATTGATATCAAATATTTGGACTGTAAGTTAATAGAACCAACTCTGTTTGGTATAATTATGCAGCATGATTTATAGACTTTGGAGGAGTTAGTGGGCAAAGGATTGTTAAAGAGTATTGGAGTATCAAACTTTTCCATCACAAAAATAGAAAATTTATTAAAGACTGCCAAAATAGTCCCTGCTGTGAACCAAGGTATTGATAACATAGATGTGCATTATAATAATAATTGTTGCGTAATTTCATAGTTGAGTGTCACATTTATCTTCAGCAGCCTAAACTACAGCAATACTGCAAGTCTAAAGGTACTACCAAATTGCTACAATACTGAATTAGTGAATTTGTTAGGGATAGTAGTAGAAGCTTATGCTCCTCTTGGCTCCCCAAAACGTTTTGGTATATCTCCAGATGAACCTGTTGTAATGGAGGATCCTATTGTCAAACAAATTGCAGCAAAACATGGAGCAACTCCAGCTCAAGTAAATGCAGTATTTATCCTTGCACAAAAAGCTATCTCCCTGTAGGTGTGTATAGCCTTTTTGCTTCAATTGGGTTTGGTTGTTATACCAAAGTCAGTGACTGAGTCACGTATTATTGAGAACCTTAAAGCAACAGAACTAGTGCTGACTGATGGGGAAATGAAGAGTCTGAGAGCTATTGACAAGAACTGCCGTCTCTTTACTTTTAAGGTTTTTGATCCAAGCAAGACCCTGGATGATATTTGGGATATACCAAATGATGAAGCCTTTGTTTTGCAATAGCTCTGATGCAAACTAAAACTGGGTGTGGCTCACCTTGAGTAGATGGTCTACCGTATTGTTTGTAATTTTATAGTTCAGTAAATTTAGATTTTATTTTGACATGCTCAAGAAGAAGTCCGAAGAAGAGTAGGCTTTTATTCTTTTTTGAGGCTGAAAATGGCAGACACTGACAACTCTTCTTCAATAGACTGTACCAATATTCCCTGGCCGTTCATAAATACCTCCAACACGTCACGTCTCAGCGAGATATTCCAACAATGCCTTGAATCAAATGAAGATTGTTACGACCCGTCTCTCTGTTCACATGACTCGTCCATGGCAGCAGACGGCAAGATACTGGGACTAGCCTTTGGACTAACGATAGGAGCTGGTCTAGCTACCACGTTGGGAGCCCTCATCCCTTTCCTGCCGTTCGTGAGACGGAAAAACACCACCATACTATCCATTTGTCTAGCACTGGCTGGGGGTGTCATGCTTTTTGTTTCCTTTACCGAAATACTCCGTAAATCGAGAGACTACCTCTGCTGTGTGACAGAGCAGCACGCAGACCTTGTCAGTTATTCCTGTTTCTTTTTTGGCATATTAATCACTTGCGTTCTTGACCTCATTGTCTATGCTCTTGAAAAGATCGACTGTGGATTCCCATTTTGTAAGAGAGATGATAACAGCAGGAAGGCTGTTTCTTGTCCGCCGTGTCCCTGCATTTTCTTTAGGGAGGGAAGACGGAGAGAGTCACAGTCCAGTGGTAATCACGGCGACGTTCCTCTTGAGGAACATCCCTCGCCTCAAGCAAATGGTGGTCCTCATTATCAAGGAGGAGGAGGAGGAGCCAGTGATGGTGAACAAAATGGTCAATTGAATACTGATTCCCCAGTTCTACTGAATCACAACGACCTCTCTATCCCTGACAATGATGTCGTCATGCAGACTGAGAGGATGTAAGTGGAATGTGCAAGATTAATTGGAGAGGAATGAGAGATGAAGCCTTCATTGTCATACAAGTGTCTTTATGAGATACAGAGCTACATTGTACATATACATGTATACACATAGCATTTTATTCCTTTGCCTATTGCTAATTATGTGCTGTACCTCCATAGTAAGTGTAGCATGTACACGTACATGCTTGTCACTTTGTCATTAATATGCATCTGTTATATGTACGACTACATGATGGACATAATCTTAATAATTTTCATCTTTATCACAGGTCCATATCAGCAGGTTCAAACACAGTCTCTACCACTACTAATAATTTAGGTGATGCGTCTATCCAGGACCTGCTCTCCAATACCAGCATACATCGTATGCACACTGTAGCAGAGTCAGCCTCTACTAACATGGAGGCGGTCAGCATATCCATCAATAATGAGAATTATGATGGATTTTCACTCAACCCTTCTCTACGTACTCAGTCACTGCCCAATGGAGACGTTCATTCGAGAATCTCGGCTCCTTCGATGCAGAGGAGAACCTCTTATGAAGAAATGGTGGAGCAGGTAGATGAAATAATATGTACATTGTTGTTGTATGTACTATTTTTTAATGTTTCTTTCTCTTTATAGCAAGAGATACAAGGTATTGACGGAATGGATCAGTTCAGAGAGGTAACAAATCAACTGACTGATGTAGAGAAGTTAAGGAGAATGGGATTATTAACTGGTCTAGCAATTGCATTGCATAACTTCCCCGAGGGACTGGCTACGTTTGTGGCTACACTCTCTGATCCTTCTTTTGGTAAGTACAATTGCTGCATCCAATGGTTAATGAGTCCATTACAGCACTAATCAGCACAGTACTCTATTATCAATGCACAGTCCAATATAGAACAGATGGCATCCTTTTCTTCTTTTTATTTTAGGAGGTGCACTGGCTATTGCTATTGCTCTTCACAACATACCTGAAGGTATATGTGTTGCAATGCCTGTTTATTATGCCACTGGTAGTAAACTAAAGGCTTTCTTTTGGTCATTTCTCTCTGGAATATCAGAGCCATTAGGTAAGGAAAAATTGCTCAAAAATTGTACTATAGTAATACTTTATCAAAAATTGCAAGGAGAGAGAATTCTTCATTTTCATTGTTGTACTTATGTAGAAGTTTTGATCTGACTCTTTTTGTATAGGTGCTCTATTGGGTTGGGCTGTATTACAGCAAATATTTGGGCCACTGGTGTATGGGATTGCATTTGGTATTATAGCAGGAATGATGGTTTATATATCACTCAAAGAAATCATACCCACAGCTCACAAGTTTGACAAGACCAATGGCGTATTAGTAGCAGTTTTCCTTGTAATTGGAATGATAGTGATGGCGTTGAGTTTAGTATTACTGGCTTACTGAGATTAATTATGAACAAATGCTCTTATTTATTTATCAACAATACCACTCAGGCTGTTACAGTACATGTATACATTTCTGATGCTGTTTGACTTTCCTTTATTATTATTATTATTAACACATTTGCTAAAACTAATAATATAATACATGAAATTTTGACTTCTCAATCAATTAATATTTTCCTCACGCTGTAATAATGATAGATTCACATCAATTGCTTTTCTTGCGATAGCAAAGAGGAAAAAGTTGCTCTCTGCTATGAGTTATAAAAACAAGTATTGAATATGACACTACTGATACTACTATTAGAGAGATTGCTATCCAGAATGAGACATCTATGGGAGCTAATAGTGGCACTCCAACTCCAGCAGTATATCCAATCCCAAGGGACATTCGAATAGCAGTGAAAGCTGGTACTTTATTCTTAGGAAACAATATTCCAACTAGTGCTATAAATGAAGACAAAAGTTAAGCATTATGATCACAAAACTACATAAAATTTGACATACTTGGAGGAATATTAAACCACATTCCTTCACTCAATCCAAGAATGAGTAGAGGGAGGAATGGAACCAAGTAACTTGGCCTTCTTTCCCAAAACAATAGGAACAAAGTGGTCCCCAGCATCACAGCAGAGAAAAAGTATACCATAAGAAATGGAGGAACGTATCGAAACAAACGACCAGTTACAACAGCAGACAATGCACTACAAATACCATAACCCATAGTCATGAGACCAACCCAATGAACACCAATGCAGTCAGAAATAAGGAACTAAAGACATGGATTGTACACAAACTGTAATAATGTATGAATATGGCTTACTTTAAGGACTATCCCAAGTATGGATGCTGTTAGGAAGGCTGGTAGTGGCATCATTAGTACTAGCAGACACATCTTCCACTCTGTGAACATCTTCAATGTACTCACCACTGGATCCTTAATGTAAAATTTAAGAGCATTACCTCTCCTTGGTTTTGTACCAGGATGATCAATGAATAGAAAAGCTATTGCTATGGCTGCAATATTAATCAAGACAAAAGATGACATGAGAATATAGACATAGGTTTGATCCAAATTTGCAGCATCTGTGTTGTTGCAGATTGGTTCTAATGAGGTGTCAATGATATCCTTTCCAGCACTAATGCGTTCACTAAACAGAATTGCAGTAGTGGCCAGGTTCCCAGGTATATAGGACAACTTGAAGAACATTGTTATGATTCCATTATAGAAAGCAATCAAATGATCCGTTTTCTCATTAAGAGCTGGAGCATACTTTATTGCCATGTTAGTTACATGAATGCTATTTCCAGCATGCATGATACATTGTGCTATTCCTCCACACACTGCAGCAGGCACTAACGTGTACCATTGAGGATAAAAATTAGCTACAGCATATGCCAATGAGAAAAAGTATGCTAATATTATTGAATATTTTGTTCCTAAGAAGTTGATCACAGAGGACGTAAAGAGACCAAAGACAATGAAAACTACATTGTAAACAATTAAATGGCCATATCCTAGTCCCTCTGCCTCGTTCAGACTGCTTTGTAGGCTAATCAAAGCAATGAGTGCACTAAATGTGAGTGTGAAAGATACTCCAGCTCCTATGACATTCTTGTAAGCTCTACCTTTGGGTTTGAGAGTACAACACTGACAGGTTTCTGATTCCTTTTCTAATACTGAGGGCCTTCTTGTTCCTATTGAGTCTTGTAGAACAAATTCCTTTAATTCTTGTGGAGACAACTGCTCAGTCTGTAAGTCGTTTACAATCAAACTGTTATTAGTTGATGAATTGACTTGCTCCATCTCGACCTCCATCTCTATATATGGCATGGCAGTCTGTAACGCCCATTTCCATCAGATAAAATTAATTATTTCTGCAATAACTATTTTATCACAATTACAAAAGAGATGCATTACAGATTAATTGCTTTTCTTGCGATAGCAAAGAGGAAAAAGTTGCTCTCTGCTATGAGTTATAAAAACAAGTATTGAATATGATACTACTGATACTACTATTAGAGAGTTTGCTATCCAGAATGAGACAGCTATGGGAGCTAATAGTGGCACTGCAAATCCAGCAGTATATCCAACTCCAAGGGACATTCGAATAACAGTGAAAGCTGGTACTTTATTCTTAGGAAACAATATTCCAACTAGTGCTATGAATGAAGACAAAAGTTAAGCATGATGATCACAACTACATAAAATTTGACATACTTGGAGGAATATTAAACCACATCCCTTCACACAGTCCAAGAATGAGTAGAGGGAGGAATGGAACCAAGTAACTTGGCCTTCTTTCCCAAAACAATAGAAACAAAGTGGTCCCCAGCATCACAGCAGAGAAAAAGTATACCATAAGAAATGGAGGAACGTATCGAAACAAACGACCAGTTACAACAGCAGACAATGCACTACAAATACCATAACCCATAGTCATGAGACCAACCCAATGAACACCAATGCAGTCAGAAATAAGGAACTAAAGACATGGATTGTACACAAACTGTAATAATGTATGAGTAAGATGGCCTACTTTAAGGACTATCCCAAGTATGGATACTGTTAGGAAGGCTGGTAGTGGCATCATTAGTACTAGCAGACACATTTTCCAATCCTTAAACACCTTCAATGTACTCACCACTGGATCCTTAATGTAAAATTTAAGAGCACTACCTCTCCTTGGTTTTGTACCAGGATGATCAATGAATAGAAAAGCTATTGCTATGGCTGCAATATTAATCAAGACAAAAGATGACATGAGAATATAGACATAGGTTTGATCCAAATTTGCAGCATCTGTGTTGTTGCAGATCGGTTCTAATGAGGTGTCGATGATATCCTTTCCAGCACTAGTGCGTTCACTAAACAGAATTGCAGTAGTGGCCAGGTTCCCGGGTATATAGGACAACTTGAAGAACATTGTTATGATTCCGTTATAGAAAGCAATCAAATGATCTGTTTTCTCATTAAGAGCTGGAGCATACTTTATTGCCATGTTAGTTACATGAATGCTGTTTCCAGCATGCATGATAGAATCTGCTAGTCCTCCACACACTGCAGCAGGAACCAATGTGTACCATTGAGGATAAAAATTAGCTACAGCATATGCCAATGAGAAAAAGTATGCTAATATTATTGAATATTTTGTTCCTAAGAAGTTGATCACAGAGGACATAAAGAGACCAAAGACAATGAAAACTACATTGTAAACAATTAAATGGCCATATCCTAGTCCCTCTGCCTCGTTCAGACTGCTTTGTAGACTAATCAGAGCAATGAGTGCACTAAATGTGAGTGTGAAAGATACTCCAGCTCCTATGACATTCTTGTAAGCTCTACCTTTGGGTTTGAGAGTACAGCACTGACAGGTTTCTGATTCCTTTTCTAATACTGAGGGCCTTCTTGTTCCTATTGAGTCTTGTAGAACAAATTCCTTTAATTCTTGTGGAGACAACTGCTCAGTTTGTCTTTGTAAGTTGTTTAAACTGTATACACTGTTACTGATGGATGGAGGCTCCATCTCTGGCTCTTGTATGCGATCATAGATCTTTATCTGACCAGCAACGCTCCACCCAAATAGATCTGTTGTCACGCCTATTTTTCATAACTAAAAAAATTTTTTTTATTCATTGTTTATAAAAATGAACAAGTTCCTCTGTAATGCTTGACAATGTTTCAATGCATTCAGCTGCATCCCTTTCTACATTTAATAATTCTAATCGTCTCAGTTTGATCGAGCCACACTTCTTCCACTGTTCATACATAGTAGTGGCCAATTGCTTGTCAATATTGAGTGAAAGTGATAAATCAAAATACGGGAGCCTTGCCGGCGAGAGAGTGTAAAAGATTGCCTCAAGTATTTGTACAGCTGCATTATAAGAGAGTTGAGTGTCTCTCAATTTGAAGCTTTGCAGATAACTGAGAACGCAGGATAGAGCACTCACAAGGAGGTAGATTGACTCCTTATCTTCTGCATTAATGCTGAGAGAGAGATGCCAGAGTTTACATGTGACGGCACAAATCAGCGAGCCCACATCCTCTGCATTGACTTCAGTCACGTCGTGCGAGAGAGAAGCAAAATCCGATTTAATATAAAGGAGGTTAGCAAACGAATGGAGAGTGTTATCGTCAGTGTCCTCTAGTGTAATCGCTCTTACAGGAAACCTGAGTGGAAGACAAGAGAAAAGATTTGAAGAGAAGGAGCATTTTTTTAGCTTTAGAGCTTTCTTTTTTTGCTCTGCATGTACTGTAAGTGGCTCTGGTAGTGGATCAAAGTTAGGACAACTGAGACTTAGTATCAAACTGACTGGGTAGGGGGAAGAAAAGAACTGGCGAAGTAGTAATAGCACGACGTCAAATTCAGTCCTTTCGTATGAGTTGGAGTCCAGACCGAGCTCCTTAAAAACTGGCCTATACAACAGGGCAGCTATGCATTGAGTGAAACTATTGCCTTTAAGCACACTGTTGTTGTCAGTTTTTTCCTCGGGTAGTACCTCTGTTTTAAGAATGGCCTTTTCCAAGTCTTGGTGATGCTCTAAAACGTTCACTACTAGCTCTTGATGCTCTGGTTTTGTTATGTTAATGGTCATTTCCAGCTGCTTTAGACTGGTGCATTTCAAGAGGTACGGACAGACAACTTCAAAGTGACTAGTTATCAAGGCGACTTTGACTGGACACTCGTTATTAATGAAAACTATATCTAAGATCTTCTCCAGGTGCCCCTTATTTGTATCCTCCTCTCCAATGTCGTAGCACTGCTCTATATAAATGGATTCAACAAAATACAGCAACATGGACAATAGCTCGAGCGTGTAAGGATCCTGGAGATAGTGCTGCCAAATTGCTTTAAAGTTTCGATACGAAACGATTACATGTCTGAGTGGGACTTGACATGCCGTTGCCAAAACCTCAATGAATGTTTTAGCGAATGGTTCCTCATCTTGCAAGTTGCTGTAGCGTAGCGGAACAAGACAAGAACACTTGAGTTGTGGGTGCAACAACCCACAAACACTGTGACTGCTTTTAGGAGACAGCGCCCCACTAAAACACTGATAGATATCTATAGCATTGTAATAACTGTACAGATTAGTGTCACTACTGCAACTGTATATGCCATATAGGAGGGAAAACAAGCGATCCTGCTTGAGGGAGAATGCCATTATAAAGTATGCCTCTTTCCATGTGCAGTAGAGCTCCTTCTCTTTCCTTAGTGTGTCAGGCGTCTCGTAGCTAGAGTCTAACTTGGCCGTCTCTTGAACTCTCTCTTTATACAAGGTCTCCCATACTTCATCGACGGAAATATCAGCAATGAGAGGAGTTCTCTCTAGTAGGCAGACATCAACTGCTGGTAGGAGGAGGAGGAGCTGGAGGCGCATAGAAAGGGGAAGCCACGAGAGCATGATGGTCGGTATATCGAACAAGTTACCTACAACATAGAGCATACATTGTGCGAGGAGTGGCGCTGGACTGCTGCTGCTTGTACTGATGCTAGAGCCTGCTTCTAGGCAGCCATCACTCATTCTGATTCTCGAACTCCACCCTGAATTAATTAACGCACCTCCCATTTTCATAATTAGATCTAGACTATAAAATTTTAATGTTAATGCGTGGGAGAAAAGCTACACTACAGCATGCAAGGTACTGCAGTTACAGCAAAAATGGTACAGGAATAGTAAAAAGATGCAGCGTATGCAGCCAAAATAGTTAGGGGTGCAGCGTATGCAGCAAAAATGGTTAGCTTAATGTTTACTTGACATACAGCTCATAAAAGTGTACAGGAGTATCTTCATTGATTGTGCTTTCTTCAGAACAAATCCTCAGCTCAATATAATCATTAGTCTTATCGCTACCATAGTCTCTATGAAACCATGGGAGACCAGGAGCAGAGCAGCAAGGGCCTTCAAGAGAGCCGCATCCTTGACCATCCCATAGTGGATCAGATGTGTACAAAATTTCTGCATAGTTTTGATTAGAGTTACCAGATTCACAAAAGTAGTCATTTCCAACAAAACTAGGCACTGAAACAGTGCTTCCAGTGTTGCATGGACAATTATAAGTGTCTTCAAAATAGCTATCTCCAAGCCCAGCCATCAGAGTCCAAACATGTTGACGAGGAGATCCACGTGTGATGCTTATACCATCCATGTAATAAGAGTTGATACTAGTTTCTTGTTGAGCATTAAAACGTATGTGAAGTGCATCAGGTGATCCATACTGATATCCTAATACTCTACCACATATTTGAGAATAATCAAGCCCATTTGATGGAAATTGAACTGATGCACAGCTACCTGACCCAACATAGGCTGAACCTGAAAATGGTCTTCCGCAAACTCTAACACCTCCAGATTGATAGAACCTAAGTTCAGAAGGGCATTGCTCAGTTGGATCAGACATATTAAGGTATGCCAGTCTTGTCCATCCTCCTCCTGAACCGCAAAGCTCTTCCATATGACAATAGACATGGCGGTATCCATTACCATCAGGGCTTGCAAATAAGTATACACCAGATGAACTTTCAGGCAATATCTCTTGTACTTCTTTGCATGAGGTTGCTGAAAGTATTTTAATCTGATTTAGGGTTTCATTGAATATTTTTGCATGGGAATCACTACTGCTGGTGAGGCTTATGACATAGTTTAGAATGTCATCAACCTTTTGTTGAATATCGTCATTTTCATTTTGAGATGTGACATAAGCTGTGCTGGAGCTAACTGTGCTGCAATTGCAATTCAGTTCATGGTTAGGCCTTTCACAGTTGTTTTGAAGATTTTGTACAAGCAACAGCAAGATGAAGACAAACAAAATTGCGAGTAACAGTATGACCAACATCTGAGAAACAAAAACCATTGCCTTCCATTTAAGTTTCTTCTTTAACTTAGTTGTATAATCTGATGGAGATTGTACATCAAATGACGTTTGATAGATACTTTCTTGATGATCAACATTATCTGGCTTCTCAGTCATTTCCATGTTCAGTGCAAGCAAATTACACACCGTCAAATATTGGAGAATTATTATTTTATAAACCAAAAAGCAGCCTTTGAATGTAAGTCATAGCTCAAGGTTAATGAAATTCATATAGATTTCCTTGTTCTCATTTCGGGTGGTCTATATGCTACTAAGCATTATTGGTAAAAATCAAAGTAATTAAAATTATTTATGGATTATAGTAATCTGCATGTTAACAGTTTTTAAACTTGTTTTCAGCCTAACAACTATAATACGGCAATACAGCAATAATGGTGTATTAGAGAAAATATACATTATGCATACATAACAAGAATATAGTTAGCTTAATGCCTACTTGACATACAGCTCATAAAAGTGTACAGGAGTATCTTCATTGTTGGTGCTTTCTTCAGAACAAATCCTCAGCTCAATATAATCATTAGTCTTATTGCTACCATAGTCTCTATAAAACCATGGGAGACCAGGAGCAGAGCAGCAAGGGCCTTCAAGAGTGCCGCATCCTTGACCATCCCACAGTGGATCAGATGTGTACAAAATTTGAGTATAGTTTGGATTAGAGTTACCAGATTCACAAAAGTAGTGATTTCCAACAAAACTGGGCACTGAAACAGTGCTTCCAGTGTTGCATGGACAATTATAAGTTTCATTAAAATAGCTATCTCCAAGTCCAGCCATTAGAGTCCAAACATGTTGACGAGGAGATCCACGTGTGATGCTTATACCATCCATGTAATAAGAGTTGATATTAGTTTCTTTTGAAGCATTAAAACGTATGTGAAGTCCATCGGGTGATCCATACTGATATCCTAATACTCTACCACATATTTGAGAATAATGAAGTCCATTTGATGGAAATTTAACTGATGCACAGCTACCTGACCCAAAATAGGCTGAACCTGAAAATGGTCTTCCGCAAACTCTAACACCTCCAGACTGATAAAACCTAAGTTCAGAAGGGCATTGCTCAAATGGATCGGACATATTAAGGTATGCCAGCCTTGTCCATCCTTCTTCTAAACCGCAAAGTTCTTCCATATGACAATAGACATGGCGGTATCCATTACCATCAGGGCTTGCAAATAAGTATACACCTGATGAACTTTCAGGTAATATCTCTTGTACTTCTTTGCACGAGGTTGCTGAAAGTATTTTAATCTGATTTAGGGTTTTGTTAAATATCTTTGCATTGACATCACTACTGCTGGTGAGGCTTATGACATAGTTTAGAATTTCGTCAACCTTTTGTTGAATATCCTGATTTGGGGACATTGTGCTGGAGCTAGCTGTGCTGCTGTTTGAATTATTGTCCCTTTGAAAATTTTGCATAAACAGCATCAAGATAAAGATAAACAAAATTGCTTGTAGCATTATTATCAGCACCTGGGAAACAAAGAGCATTGCTGTCCATTTCTTTTTTAGCTTAGCCTTAGGTGAAGGTTGAATCGCATCAAATGGTGTTTGGTAGATATTTTGAGCTGCATTTTTAGTACTAGCTTGAAGGTCCATGTATTCTGGCTGTTCCATGTCGCTCTGTTTAGTGAATACGACAATTGTATTGCACACTATCAATTTATACTGATGCAAAATTTGTAATCAAACATAAGGTAGTCAAACAAAAAATAGAGAATAAAAAATAAACACGACCATATTTGGATAATACCGATTTGTTGAAAACAGTTTATTTTGGCAGGTATCAAAAGTCATGATTGCTTAAGAATATATTTTTTGTGTAAGAAAACAATAATAATGGTGTTTATACGTGCAATAAACATCATAATGATTATACAGTGAATCAGTGATCAGTATCTAACACCCACGCAGTTTAGGCGTGGCTGGAAGGGTGGAGCTAAATTTGACAGCATCTTTAAAATTCAAAATAAGCAATGTCCAACAGTTCTGAGTCCATTTCTCTTTCCTCACAGGAAAACCAGCAGAGCCTGTATACTACCAGCACGGATCCATCCTCTACTGCTACTCCAGTTACTGATGACGACTGCAACATGCTGACATACGAGGACACCATTGGGTCATCGGGTGGAGCTACTCCGGTACCACGGATACAGCAGGGCTCAGGGTCGAATGGATCACAGAGTAATATAGATTCAAATGATATAGATGCTCTGTCAACTCCAAAGGATGGATCTTCCAGTGTAGATTGGAACAAAAGCGGTGGCAGCAGCAGGCGAGTTAGTGAAGGAGATGGAAGTCTTTGCTCTGCTAATGTTACCAGTCTCAGCAGTGGAGCAGGAGTCACTGAGGATGAAATGACATCGAGTGAAGAAGAAACAGAAGATGATAACGAAGGTACAAATTATACTGGTATTTTGTGATAGTATGATTCATTAAAGTAATCTTTATGACAACTAAATTTTAAAATTACTTAAATATCAGGTCTAAGCATCAAAGTCCCTGTACTATAGTACGCAAAAATGGCTAGAAGAGAATTCTCCATTTTTTATAACTTTTTCTGATACATATACATGTACTTATGTTGCGTAGAAAGTTTCAGGTGATTCTGATCAAAATTGGATTTTTAATGAATTTTTCAAGTTGCTCAAAAATCGAGTCAAAGTCCCTGTACTATAGTACATGGTCACGGGCCAAATTTTGGCAAAAATGGCTAGAAAAGAATTTTCCATTTTTATGATTTTTTCTAATACATATACATGTGCTTATGTTGCGTAGAAAGTTTCAGGTGATTCCGATCAAAATTGGATTTTTTACGAATTTTTCAAGTTGCTCAAAAATTGAGTCAAAGTCCCTGTACTATAGTACATGGTCACGGGCCAAATTTTGGCAAAAAGGGCTAGGAAAGAATTTTCCATTTTTATGATTTTTTTCTGATACATATACATGTACTTATGTTGTGTATCAAGTTTGAGCTGATTCCGATCAAAATTGGATTTTTTACAAATTTTTCAAGGTGCTCCAAAATCGAGCCAAAGTCCCTGTACTATAGTACATGGTCACAGGCCAAATTTTGAAAAAAATGGCTAAAAAAGAATTTCCCATTTTTATGATATTTTCTGATACATATACATGTACTTATGTTGCGTAGAAAGTTTCAGGTGATTCCAATCAAAGTTGGATTTTTTACGAATTTTTTAAGTTGCTCAAAAATTGGGCTGAAGTCTCTGTACTAGGGTATTTAGGGGAAAATGATGAGAATTCTTCATTTTATTAATAAACACATTTTCAAGCATACTGTACATGTCTACGTATGCTTTCATGTGATTCTTGTTGTCCTACAGACTACTCATCATCATGCAGCAACAGCACAGCAGTTCCAAGGAGGCACACTACTGCTCATGAACCCAGTGCAATCAAACCAGCAGCAGCCTTTATAACTGAGCCTCCTCTTGAGGGACAGGACTCGCTACAACTCTTAGATCAACAGGTTCTTTGCCAAAGAGTTGAGAATGGAGACATTGATGCAGTCAAGCACAATCTAATTCAGAGCGGATTTAAAATAGAATCATCATGTGACCAGTACAAGAGGACATTGCTTCATATAGCATCCTCTCTTGGTCATTTGGAGATTGTCAAGTTCTTACTAATGTCTGGCAGCCCTGTTGATGTGAGTTCAGTGAAGGGACAGACTCCTCTAATGGAGGCTTGCATTGGAGGCCATCATAAGATAGTCCAATTACTGATACCTGAAGTGGGGGACCTGGATCATGTTGATGAGGAGGGAAGGTCTGCTGCCCACTATTGTGCACTTCATGGTGAAGTAAAGTGTCTGAGCGTATTATGCGATCATGGTATGTAGTCTAAACTATAATAGCAGGAACAATTAGCACTGTAGTTATTTTTAAATCCTACACTATGCAGGTATTGATATTTGTCTGGAGGACACCATGAACAGGAATTGTGTTCATTATGCTGCCATGAAGAATCACTCTGGTGTCATTCAGTGTCTAATGGAGAGAGGAGCCGAACTAGAGACAGTAGATAATAAAGGACAGACCCCAGCACATTACGCAGTCAAATACAATAGTTTGGCCTGCTTGGAGATGCTATTGCACAGTGCAGTTGATGTTACCCAAGGTAATGTAGCAATGAAATGAATCAATGTGCATGTACATCTATGTGTAGGTGATATTAGTGGGACTAAACCAGCTCATGTTGCTGCTTACTATGATAGACTGGACTGTCTGAAATTACTACTGAGGAAAGGAAAAGTCAAATGCTCTGACACTGATCACAAAGGAAGGAATGCACTACACAAGGTGCTTAACTGATGATTGACAGTTCACTTAAATGTTATTCCTTATCCTAGGCAGCTCAAGGGAATGCCACTAATTGCCTCCATTGGATGCTAAGCACTGGAAGAATGGACCCTACTTCACTTGATTGTAAATTTATAATTAGTTCTCACTGCATGATAGATTATGTTGTGCACTTTAGTTGCAGGTAACTCAGGACTCCATTACTCTGCAATGGAAGGACAATCGGAAGCATATCACTGCCTATTGAGACATGATGCTGATGAGTCTTGGTTGAATAATGAAGGGCTCACTCCTATTGACTTGGCAAGGAGACATGGGAAGTCATTGCATATCATGAAAGCAAGTTAGGATCAATTGCACTTACTATTACTATTACTGTTAAGAAAGAATTGTATGGTACATAATTATATCATATGGGAATTTTTTTCCATTCTTTAATTTTCACAGAATCCGTGACAATCAAAAACCAATTGGTTCCATTGTCACTATATATGCATGTGTACATGTAAATCCAGGACTTTGGCCTGATTTTTAAGCAAGTTTAAAAATATTTTGCTAAAATCCCTGTACTGTGGACTTTGGCCCTGTACTATAGGGTTGAATAATGAAAGGCTGTGGCAAGAAGACATAGGAAGCCATTGCATATGATTGTATGATGCATAGTTACATTCTGTATATTGTTTGTAGTCGATGGAATGATAAAGTGCCCATTGTGCGACAAGGAGGAGAGTTTCAAAGAGAAGCCATACCAAACGCAAGTCAAGAAAAAGATTGAGGCAGAACATACGACTCTATTCACTGCTAATAAGCTTAGTATTAAGTATGAATACATGTATAATGTGTATGATGAGATACATGGCGTTATGATTGTTTGTCTTGTAGTAAAAAGAAACAAAGACAACAGAGATCAGCTCATTCAAAGACTTTAGAATTAAGTGGACCTTCAACTTCTCCAACTCCAAGACATTTACTGGCAGCAAAATATTATGGACCTCCTTATAAATAATTGACATGTATCAACGATAATCAATTATTGTTCTGTAACAACACTAATTATTATAACTCTTTGAATTATCTTCTTTTTTGGCAAAAGACTACTCAGTATTTTCATTAATAATAAAATTATTTTCAAAAACTATTCCTAAAACAAAATCTTTCTATGATAATTAGCTAACAAAAATCTATCAAGAAATCAACAATAATAATTATCAATAATAGTCAATTATTATTATAATCAGTACATCCTGCGACCAGCAGAATGAGGATGACTAGGAACTACGTCATGAGACAGTGGGCTATTTTCTCTAGCAGTACTACTGATACTAGGTCTCTGATCGTACTCAGGACCACTTGTTTTTGAAGAAGTAGCAGATAAAAGCCTTAGCTCAGTTCCAGTGTAATTTATCTCATCTGTATTGGATTGATTAGAATAAATCTCGTAGTTAATAAAAGCAGGCTTGACTCGTACCCTATTTGTAGGGGATATGTTACGTTTGCTAAAATGATGGCAGACGCAGGCTCCAATGAGACCCACTATTAGACCAATGATGACGATGAACCCCAATAAGCTCATCACTATAGCAAGTATGAGTACTGGAGATGATGGCTCTGTTGCTTCTGTTGGCAACGGTGGAATGGGGTAATCAGGATCTTGTACAACAGAGACGAGGCGGAGTGCTTGATTGTTGAATGTGAATGAGAGCGAAGAGAGAGAGCCAATATTACTATTAAAATCATGAAGTGCACGAAGGTCTGTGCTAGTAACAAAGAGCCCAGCTCTGATGCTTCCCTCTCTCACAGTTCCATTGTACACAAATACAGAGGAAGAAGAGGCTTGAACGCGAGCTGTCAGCTCTTGAATAAATTCTGCTTCCCTTCCAGTCACTAGCGAGTACTCATTACTGTATGTTATGATGTATCTCGTGAGGGGATAGTCATGGACAGTAATGACTCTACTGTCAAGTGATGGAGGCAGCTCTTCAGAAGGAGACTGAGGGTCTGTGCTAGTCATGAACCGGATTACATAAGAGCCAGCAGAGTGTATGTGGATGCCTGAAAATGTAGCAACTCCATTAGTGATTCTAGCATTAGGAAGGACCTGCTCCACTGTCCCTTTTGTTTGTGAAACAATTGATGCAGACATGAGCCAATCTCTTCCCCTCCATCCTAGGTTCATAGCTACAGTATTAATGCTTAAATCAAGTACCTGAACACTGACATTGTGTGGTAGTGGGAATGTAGTGTTAGCTATAGAAGGAGGCTGTGTGGCTACATTGAGATAAAGGCTTCTCCTTCCAATAAATATTGAGCTACTGCTGGTCGCTGTGTAGCTGACAATTGATGGATAAGTTATATTAAATCCAATCTCATAGCTACCTTGATGACTGAATATGAGGTCGTTGAAAAAAGCCTGACCATTGCCTATCGAAGAGGAATTATTAATCAAAAATGTAACTGAGTTTGGAGACACAATGAATGCAGTTAGTATCCATGGGAATGAAGCTACACCCAGAGTAGGGATAATACTCCCAGATGTATCATACATTACAACTTCAATAGTTTCCAATGGAACACCTTCAGTGCCGCGGGTTGGCAATGAGACTACTGCTAATCTGTTTGGGATGAGTAATGTCACACTTTGGCTGGTATTTTCTTTCATTTGCTCCTCCTCAAGTTGCTTCTCAGCAAATGTCGTGAGATTAGCAGTCCCTGGGTCACCAGGTTGTGGTCCTCCTGTCCCGTTGGTAGCTCTACTCCCACCGGTAGGATCAACAACTATTGGAATCGGCTCTGTCACATCTGCACTATAAATAGTAATACCAAGGCTCTTTGATAGCTGTCCTGTCTGTACAGAAATACCAACTGACTCTGATATGCTAAGTAAAGAGTTATAAGTCATATTGTCATTGGGTGTGGGACCAGCACTCGTGACATTAACAGTCTCATTAGATGGAGGATTCCCTATCTCTATATTAATCAGTGTCCCAGTACCTGTTTGTCTCTTCTTGCGTGTACCACTTTCAGAAACAACGTTAACAATACGTATTCTACTCTGTGGTATGTTAAAGAGGAGTCTTAAGTTTCGTACCAGGTTCTCTTCAAAGAACTCATCCACAGTGAGGGGTGGTGTATGAAGGCCTAGCTGCATGACCATTGTAGTGATAACAGTGACTGGTGAATCACCTTTTACTACTATGTATAACTTCTTCTCTCCACTATCATAATAATTACTACCGGAAGGATCAGTTTGACTAGGTATAAAACTGCTTCCCCGTCCACTGTAACGAAGGTTACCATTCAACATGTAGCCATTGGTTGGGATCATGTAATTATTTCTAACGTACACGTCAAGTCTCTGAGGATTATTGTATATATAAGCAATGAGGAGGGACTGTGAGTCTGATGCATTGAGAAGAATGAAGTTTGTTTTCTGTGGATTAGTGCTGGTCAGTCCAATAGTGTAGTTGATCCCAGTGGACACTATTGCATAAAATGTTGATATCCTTTCTTGACAGGTATAGCCGCCACACCAGCCTTGATCCTGAGGGCCGTTAATGAGATCGATGTATCCAGAAGAACCTACACCAACAGGAGAGAGCCGACGTACCTCAGTATCAGCATCAAGGCTCTCAATGACTAACATCATGTGATCAATACCGGCACACAGGTAGCCATTCCAATCTGAGTGCCATTGACAGTCCCCATCATTACCACGGTATATTCCTTTTTTAGGGTATAGGACATCAGGATCTATTTTATTACCACTTGCTAGGCCGAGCATTGCATATGGGATCCTGTAATCACCTAAACCCCGTCTACTGTCCCCATCCCATTCATATTCCGACTTTGAGATGACAGAGCTCAAACCTTGCCTTCCAAGGAAGACCCCATCAGTGTCTCTTATTAGAATCTTTTTCAAACCGTCACAGTCCATATCGACACAGTCTGATGGATTAACGCTGCCAAGTTGTGGCTTGTGAATGTACAGTTTTGAAGCATTGGATCCAGAGTAAAATAAAGTTCCCTTGAGCGACAAAGGATGTTGACAATCTTCAGATAATTGTTGAGTTATGATGGCTGCCTCAGTCCTTCCACCACAGCGAGTGGAAAAGTTATAAAACAGTACATTGATCAGTTGAGTGTGTCCATTGATTGCTGGATACGTAGAAATACTCTTCCATGCAAACTTGGGAAAATGTCCTTGATCCGATACAAATGAAGGGATTATGACTCCTACATGTGCCCCAGTGGCCGACTGTATACCAGAGTGTGAAGTATGGTGATAAGCAATGATTGGCTTGTGGCTATACTCTGTACAATTGACATGGTCAAATGTAGATATTATACAAGTGTCCCTTATGGTTACGCTTTTATTGCTAACTTGATGAGAGAGTGAAGCTGGGCCCATTACTACAGCAAACACGGCAGCATAGTTATTGATAAGGAGAGACTCTGATATGAGTAGTCCGGAGAGAGAGTAGGAGAAGAAGCCATAATGATAACAACTGTAGACTTTGAACTTGTAAAAAGCAGAGCAGTGACTCTGACCATCCTCATATCCCATGTGTATGCCATGAAGTGTAGAGTGAGCCACATTGTCTCTCCATATTAGGGCAGTGTCACATTTCTCTCCGTTGGTGTGATAGCCTGCCTTTGCACCCCCTGCTGCTGCATTGCCAATAAGAACGATATCACTTGCTTTTGATAACTCATAATTTGCCGTCCATTCAGGATTGAATGGCTCATTGGGTACCCTATAAGTACCAGGGAATGCTGCCACCACTGCTAGATTGTTAATAATCTCATGACCAGATCCTGATACATAGAGGGATGGGCCTACAGTTCTATGCAGTACATTGTTAGAAATGGTCATGTCATGAGTATCAATTACTCCAATGCCGGTGCTGTAGTCTTTATGAAAACTGCAGTTCTTCACATAAGAGCCATCATTTACTACAGGGCCAATACCTAGAAACGCTAGGGAATATCTAGGATCATATTCATCGTAGAATCCTTCCTGGCCACAGCCTTTAAACTCAACGCCGGATATCTTAGCAGACCCAATGAACTGCTGTCCTAGTGTACTATTGAAATAGCCACTGACCAGCACACGACAGCCATATGACTCCACATCTGATGTGTGTTGACTGGAGTTAGGATGGACCCCAAATATCTTTATGTTACGAGACAACAGGCCTACTTCAGCACTGCATGCATGTGGACACTCGCCATTACCTGTACTACTGCCCCCAATGTGATCATAAGCTAACAGAGGATCTATTGTAACCGTCAGCCTGTCATTACTGATGCTTGTGATTGTCAGCTCTTCAGCTTGAGTTGCTTCAAAAGATGTCGAAGCTATCACAATCTCATCTCCAGGCAGCCAATCTACCGGTGTCTTTAAGACCAGTGTCCTATCTCCAGCTCTTGCCTCCTTTGCTAGATGTGTCCACAGTATGAGACGCTCTTGTCCATGGAGTCCAAGGTATCCAAAGACCCCAAAAGCCTTAGCACCAAGAACTGGTCCGAAATTAGGTAGACGATACTCAGGGGATGAGAGGGTCCCGTGGAGTATTATAACGAGCTGATGCATGAATGGCGAGTCCTCAGATCCAGCGACTAACTGCCCACCATCAATCAGTATCAGATTAGTCTCTAGGACATGGTCCATGTCATCCATAAACTCTAACCCACCACACACACTGAGCCTGTTGATAAAAGGAAGGGGCACATCTACCAGCACATAAAGACTGCATGGTATGTACACATCAGAGCCATTCAATGGCAGGGCCCCGTTAGGCCATATTGAACTATTAGACCAAGCATAGGTGGTGTTTGGACGACCCATAGTGATGTTAATGGGAGGCGGTGGAGTGGGCACTATACAGTTTTCATAGAAACAGTGATAGGACGAGAAGGTGACCTTTACGTCAGACAAACAGAATGGGTTAGAGCCATTAACGTAATAGGTGAGTAATGTCTCATTCTCTTCAGTATACCAGTCACCTAACACTGATACGCCAGGGGCTGGGAGGGCCGGACTCACGGTCCTCATTTCATTGTTTATGTTTGCAATATCAACACTTTGACTAAAATTATGTTCGATCCACAAGTAATCAGAATAATTGAGTGCAGAGTACAAAGAAGCATACGATAAATTAGTGAAGCGCTCTCCGCCAGCCCATGCAAGCTTATATGTGACTTTGGTGGGTAGGATTGCCATATGACCAGGACCAAATACTAGCCTTTTCTTAACAAAACCTAACGTAATCCTACCATATGGACTAGTGAGGTTCATATCCCTGTACTTGAGTGAAGATGGTCTTGGATTTATCAATGCAAACCTCACAAAGTTAACAGTTTGATCACAGACTGATCCAGGGACTAGCCCAAACGATGAATTTGGATGATTTTGACAATGATTCAAGGGTAAGGCGTTTGAGGTAGGGAGTAGAGCCCCACCACGGATACCAGTCAGGGTCCCGTCCATATCACGGAACAACTGCTCATGCTCCCACTTCCAAAAGGCAACGTTGGGACTAGAGTCAAAAATGAGTTTCTCAAAACGAGTCTCAAAGCCTCCCTGCTTGTTCCTGCAGTGAGAGCAAGCCCTCAGGGCATAGCAACCACTCTCATTGAAATTAACAAAGGTGACGTTTGATACCGTCAGATAATTAGAGGATGGAGTCTTAATACCGGCACCAGTACAGACCTCAACTCCATTAACAAGTCCAGCATGATCTATATCCCTCAGTTGAGAGTGAGCGATGATTAAAACATCTTCTATGAGAGCCCCATTCTTGCCCCAAGCAGACTCAACGTGAGTATATTCAACGCCTGCAATTGTATTGTCTAGCATTACACTGTGCTTTAACTGGACAGCACCGACTTCAGAAAACTCTACACCACGGACGTTACGCCAGGCCAGAAACTCTTCAAAAACAGCAGGAGTGACGTCTCTACAGGTGCTGGCTCTTACTGGATAATAACTAGGGAATATCCAAATGCCATACCAGCCAAATGAATGAGCTGTGTTGTTATAGAACGGTCCCATTGGTCCATGGACAGGCTCTACACTTGTAGTAAAGGATGGCCCTGTTGGATTCGGTGGTAGTCGATACCAGAAACCAAAATGAGTTCCACCAGCAGCAGCGTTGTGACGGAAAGTATTGTTAGGATTGACTGACCAGAAACAAGCTGGAGTAATGTCAACGTTAAGGAGACTGCTTGATGCCTTAACAAACACTGCTAGATTGTATTGGATGATATTACCAATCTCTATGCCATCCTCTAAGAAATAAGCATGTCCCTTTATATTATAAGCAACGTTCTTTTCAACCAGTAGGTAATCAACGGCATGGATAGTGACAGCTCTATTAAACGTATTGTGTATGCCACAGCCTCTCACGTAGGAGCCACTTACATTTCCATTGAGATGGAAATGAATGGGATAGCGTCCGAGTCTAAAGGCTTGTCCTGCATGCGTCACTTCAACATATTCTATTCTTCCAATTATACTGTCTCGTGGTCCTTTGTGTAGCATTATCTGTGATCCAAACTCATCTCCTATTGCTTCACTGCCAAAGCGACCACCAAAGCAAGTCTGTACTTCAAACTGACCGGGTTTGAATTCCTCGTCACAACTACCAAACTCTACATCCCATTCTTCATTCCTGTTGCCTCGTACAACAACGTTCCTGGTTAGATACCCAACCTCAGCGCAAGTCTCAATAGTCTTTCCGTGGATGACTTGAACGAGTGAGATATGAGTATAGTTGAGAGGAGGAGAGACTGTGATTGAGTGCCCATCACTGCTGATTCCTTCTATCACTAACTCCTCGTTCTCTCTTTGACTGTAACTGGTTGATGCTATTATTACTTTGCCACCAATCTCCCAGTCGGAGACATTGTGTTTTACAGTAAGTACATTATCTCCAGGTCTTACTGTATTGGTTATGCACGTCCATGTATCTCTGATGGGTTTACCGTGAAGATCTAGAGTTCCATTACGAACCGCTAGTGTTTTGGCTCCAAACAATGGTAGTTCGGTTGATAGTCTGTGGCCATACATCACTATCTGTGCTGTATGCTTATAATAAGACTCTTCTGTTCCTACTTCCAGTTTACCACCATCAGTGATGAGTATATTCTCACTGTGGAGCTCTATTCCATTCGATTCATCATCGAAAATAAGTTCACCACCTTGTATTAGCACTATCTTAAGGACTGGTGTACGTATATCTAAGACTAGTCTCTGTCCTGATGGAACTATAACAAAATCTCCTTCAATTGGTAGGGGGCCCCCACCCCAAGTGTAAGGTGAGCTCCACAAATCAACATAATAAAACTCAGAGTTGGATACTGCAAATCCCTTGCCTTCTATGTAGACCATAACACTGGCTTTTACTGTGTACCCACTGGCTCCAGTCTCACATACAATATAAGTATCAGTATATTCCCTGACACTGCACTCGGTTTCAGCAATAGAGACATTAATACTACCACTACCTGTGAACCCAGTGCCATTAATATATACCAGAGAACCACCTGCCGTTCCGCCACGAGTTCGGTTTATTGAAATAACAATAGGAGTGAGGTCTCTTTTAAGAGCATAGTACATCATTGCAGTGGAGCTGGCACTGGTGATTAATACACTGCAGTTAAGAGTATTGACTGATTCCAAGAGTAAGTGTGAGAGTGATGGAACGATGCAACTGATGCTATTCAGTGTGGGTTGATCATTGCTATAGAAGCAAGACTCATTGCAAATGGTGATAAAGGTTGCAGTAGGATCAAAGCCCACTCCACTCAGTGTAAGTGTATTGTATCCAGCAAAACTGCCCTCGTCAGGACTGATGCTATCAACTTTAAGATCATAATGAAATGATATGGCACCATCAGCACTTCCTAGTGATGGGACAGACACTTCAACATCATAATCACCAACAAAGTTAGGACCTAAGATACAGGAAATGGCAGTGTCATTCCCAGAGGTAATATTGCATGGAATCCCCCCAATGGAGACTGAAGCATTGCTTGATAGTAACTGTCCATCTATGACAACAATGTCTCCTACTTGGCCAGAAGGAGGAGAGATGCTGATAAGATTAGGAGTGCTTGATGAACTGTACTGAAATGCAACAGAAGCTTGAACCGATCTCTTTGATCTCTTAGTCCCTTGAGAGGTTGACCCAATTATGGATACTACCAAATCAAATGTTCCTTCTTGATTTAAGTCAGGGGTAAGACACTGTATTGTAGTATAATTGCTAGTTACTACAGCACACTCCTTGCTATTGATTGATACATGATTATGAGTGGATTTAGTACTGAATCCAAAACCAGAAACAGTCACAAGTGTTCCTCCTCTTTTACTACCTCTGTCAGGAGAAACAGAACGAATAATCAAGGTACTTGTTATAATTGTTTTGTTAACAAACTGTGCATATCCATACTCACGAACAAATACGCTGATGTCATAATCATTAGCTTCCATTGGATGAACAAGACAAGTGATGGTGTCAGGATCAACAAGAGTCACATTAAGGCAATGAGATCTACCTATGATAACAAGAGAACGATTACTCAGCAGCTTTCCAGTTATTGTAATAACAGTGACATCAGTAACGCTAAGATTCACTGGATGAACACTCAGTATGATTGGTGTCTTCTCCTTCGTGTATTGATAGGTACAGCCTCCCTCAATGCCACACAGTGCTTCTTTTCTTGGTCCATATGTAATGTTGAAACTCTCTGTTACATTAGTTACATTATCACTGGTACCATTTAATGATGGCACAACTACTTTCATTGCATTATAAAGAATGCTTCTAATCCTGCATCTTCTATTGCCAAGATACACTCTGAGATGGGAAGTATTTAAAAAAGATGCACCACTAATTATCACAGTGTTTCCAAGAATAGACCCACTACTTGGAGCAATGCTAGTGATAATGGGCTTGATTTTAAGGGCAGAGGGCTCTTTCATGTCTACATTAATGGCAGCATATCCTTTGTTATTAACACGAAGTTTCAAAGGTAAAGGAACAAATGGAGGAGGTTGACTTGATGAATTTAACCGGCAGACTATCAGATCATCGTCATTATAACTGATGTCACATTTATGGGAACCGAAACGAGCTCTCACACCATCACCAGCTAATCCTGTTCCATTGATAGTGATATTTGAATAAACTGTCACATTTTCCGTGTCTATGCTATAGATAATTGGAGTCTCACAGACACTGTATATAAATACAGGGGCATCATCATTCTTCATAGAGTATTCAACATTGCAACTTTCATTCATAGCCTGGCTACTCTCATCACCAGTCAAGTTATAGAGTGCCTCAATTCCACTATCGTTCAATACTACTCTGAAGCTTTTAGCTATGGATTCCAATGGCCTCACTATGATACTACCAGTCATGAAACATGCAAGGCAAACATCACTCACATCAGTGCTATAATTGAAGATGCCAGACTCAGTGAATGTGATGGTAAAGTTTCCGTTAATGCTGGAAAGGCTTTTAAAGCCACCTGGTTCATTTTGATGAACTTCAAATTCTCTTGGATTTATTAGAATTGAGCCAGTCCATTGCCACTATGTAACAAAAAATATAAAACATGAGATTACCATACACAATTGTGGGGTAAAGTATTTTAGTCTAACTATTTTCTGAGTTAGCTAACTCTGGGCCTATTATTAAACATCTTCAGACTTACTGTAACTCTATCACCAACAGATATTGTCAGGACTGATGGACTCCAAGCAAAATATGGCCCAAGAACTATAAAAAAACAATTAATTTAAAACAACCCCTAACTGCCTTACTTGGATCAGTTCCATTATTTTCAATGATGTGATGTTTCCTAACTGATACAGTTGTGCAATTAATCTCAGTATCATTGTAAGACATTTTACGACAGAATGGATCTCCTTCTTCATCGATGACAGTTACATTTCCAACAAAACCTGATCCTTTAATAGTCAGATCAGTCCCACCAAACAGAGAGCCATAACTTGGAGCAATACTCAACACATCAAATACAAAAGTGAAAGAAATAGTGATAATGTTCGTGTGGTTTGCCAGGAGATCATCATTAAGTAGCTCTAAAAGCGTCCTTGAGTTCTTTATGATTTCATCAGGCTGATCAACAAGAGAATGATTTAATGCTCTACCAAATGTACTGACACTAATTATATCAAGATCATACAAGCCAGGACTAGTAGGATTTGTATAGCATGACATCTGTGTACTAGAAACTGATATAGGGGTGAAATTAGTTTTGCCTGTTGAGACAATCAAATCATCAGCAGCTACCAATCTCATTGCAAGTATAAGGAGCATGGCTCCACCATTAGCAGGGCTACTATTTGGTACAACCATGTGTATTTGAGCAGTTGAGGCTGTGCTATACAGATATCCATTAGGTACAATTGTTGTTACTCCATTGATGAGGATAGTAATATTGACGCTGCCTGGCTTGTGTGCTTGAGTTAAACAAGATAGACTTGTCAGGTTAGAGGAGACAGGAAGGCATGGGTATTCACCAAAGAGAACATAAAAAGTCTCAGATAATAAAGACGAGTTGTCTTCGGGTTCAGGAAATCCTAAACCTGAGAGAGTGACAAGGTTACTTCCACCAATACTCCCTTCATTAGGCTGTACAGAATCAACTCTTAGCAAATACTGGAATGTAACATTGTTAGTTAGTGCATATCCAATATCGCCAAGTAAAACATTGACATCATAGACCCCAGCTACACCAGGCTCAGGTATACAAACAATAGTGGTGCTATTAATTGACTGTATGTCACATGATTGGGTACCAATAGTAACAGTGACATCGGTTGAATATCTGGGGAAATCAGTTCCACTTATGGTGATGGGGCTACTGTCTTGATTGCCAGTGGTAGGATGTACAGAAAATAAACTCGAGATGCTATCATTAGTGAAAGTGAAACTACAGTTCTCGTTCAAACATGATGATAGGATATTATTGATAGTTACCTGAACCTATAATGATAATAAAATAATAATTATTATAATACTAAATAAATTTTAGAATAAAATAACTATGCCAAATTATTACGTGCTGACCTGTGGTTCAGTATGTGGTACTCTGAGCATGTCGGCTCTCAATGGTCTAATCCAGACTCCCCCATCAACCAAAGGAATGACAAGGACACTGACATTGTTTCCAATCAAATTCCTTCCATTGACACTCATTAACGGCCTGTCCCCTCCTCTCTCAGTCCAACTGATGCTCCAAGAAGGTCTAGCACAGTTACCTGATGAACTCACTTCAAAAGGTCCTTCTTTAGGAAGATATTTGTCTAGTAGAGCTTTGAGTTGAGTGGCATTATAGTCAGCTTGAATGTTCCTAATAGTAGTCCCTTCAAAATGTACATCAAAACTTCCAGTGACTGGTGGAGTTCCAGACAAAAGTCTATCGACTGCTATTGTGTGATTAGGAGATCCTCCTAAGAGTGTCATGTTATGCCCACAGTCAAGCACATTAAACTGTACAATGAATGATGATTTGTATATGTAACACGAGAATGGGTTGCTCTCATTCCTGCAGTATAGTGAAGGCCAGTCTTGAGTCACTTTAGTTACGTCAACGCTTTTGACAAATACACCATTTGGTCTTACTGCCAGCTTCAACTGGTTCATCACTTTAAAAAAGATAACGATAAAAATAATAATAATAATAATTTGTTTCTGTTACTTTTTGGCTTTCCTGATGATATAAAGAAGTTGTCAACCCAAAAATCAATCAAAGTTTTATCAAAGCATATCTGGGTCACATAATAATTCCTTGACTGCTGCTCAACCAATTCATTCAACCTCTGATACAGATCAGTGCACTGACATTTCCATTCGCCACCAAAAGAGCAGTTAATAATGTGTGCACTGCTGGTCAATGGGATATTGTAATGAACTTGTTTTGAATCAATGAGAAGAACCACTTTAAATCTGGAATAAGGAACAGGGCCACTATAAGCAAAACATACCTAAAAATATAACATAAATATAATATAGAGTTTTTAGTCCGTTTGGTTTCTGGCATGAGCGCTGAACTTGATTTATTTGATTAATGTCACTAAATTTAGCCACACAAGCAACTTTTAAAAATTCATAAAAAATTCAAATCCAATCGGAATCACTTCAAACTTTCTACGCAACATAAGAACATGTATATGCATCAGAATGAATTATAAAAATCAAGAATTCTCTACTTTTCATTTTTGGCAAAATTTGGCCAAAATCCCTGTACTATAGTACAGGGACTTTGGTTCGATTTTTGAGGAACTTCAAAAATTCATAAAAAATCTAAATTGTATCGGAATCAGCTCAAACTTTCAACACAACATTAGAACATGTATATGCATCAGAATGAATTATAAAAATCAAGAATTCTCTACTTTTCATTTTTGGCAAAATTTGACAGGGACTTTGGTCTGATTTTTGAAGAACTTAAAAATTCATTAAAAATTCAAATTGTATTGGAATTAGCTCAAACTTTCTACACAACATAAGAACATGTATATGCATCAGAATAAATTATAAAAATTAAGAATTCTCTACTTTTCATTTTTGGCAAAATTTGGCCAAAATCCCTGTACTATTATAGTATAGTACAGGGACTTTGGTCTGATTTTTTAAGAACTTCAAAAACTCATAAAAAATCCAAATTGTATTGCAAAGTCCAGCAATACTTATAGTCACTTACATATTTCCATCCAAATCTTGAAAGAATCAAGTTCCCAAGGGCTTTGTTTGTTCTCTCATCTCTCGTGTAACCTTTTCTCCATATTATGAAAGGGTTCTTTATGCTGTAGCGCCCACAATAAGGCTCTTTTCTGCTATCAAGCACTCCAGTAAAAGAATACCGAGTTATACCACGAACATCGTAAGTGTCATTAATGAAAACATCCATTGCATCTGATGTGTGACATGTAGTGGTGAATATGTTCACTAGCTCCATTGACAGATTGCTAGCGTTGGTATTAATAGAGAGGGGTCCGGTCATTCTTGAGCTATTGAAGAAAGACAAAGTGAAATTGGCTGGAGGGAACCAAGCTTTTTGTAATAGTCTAGTTGAAGCATTGGTGTAATTGAGGACCTTAATTAATGGGAGGTTTTCGAAGCTAGAGACTATTATGATGACAACCTTCATGCTATCATTAGTTACATTCAGCCTAACAGACACTTTCCCTATCTTCTTGACGGTTTCTAAATCGTTTAGTGATTGTTCGATTGTTGTTGCATTATCGTCAGATGATAGCTCTTGTGTCAGGCTCCCGTTAAACGAGAGAAGATATGCAAACCATTCCCCAGTTGTGTTGAATTGAAGCAACTGAATGGCTGGTTTAATGGCAAACCTTATGAGCTATAATAATCAAAAAATAATGGTAACAAAAATAGTTATATTCATAGCCTGACCTGGGTTTCTTTGACAATGGTTGAATTGATGAATATCTCCTGTTCCTCATAGTCTACCACTCCAATGTCAGAATTCCAAGATAAGTTGTGGACTTTTGCACCAAAGCCAATCTTCCAGTTACCTCCACCTTGCTCATGTAAGGCCTCAATATAATACGACTTTCCTACATAATTAAAGAATTGCATTACTTACATGATCAGTGATGGTGATTGTTTATACCTACCAGCTTTTAAGTATATCGGATCAGATATCTGTGATGGGAAAGTATTCCAATTTCTAGAAAACCTCTTTACAAATGCTATTGGTTTCTTAGCTTCAGAAGAAGCATTAGGACTGATGTATAATCTTGCTGAGTCGTCCGCAATTAAACTGAATGAATACTTGCTATCCAGTGGAGGTACAAAGAAAGCTATCAGTCGTTGATTAAACCAAATATGTTCTCCATATTTAGATGCATCCTCCTGTGAGAGTAGAGCAATTTCTTCTATAGAACAGTTTGATAAATTCATGTAGCAACCAACTGGTCTCTTTTCAATTATATCAAGATCTCTAGTATAGCCTTTTAGCCAAACTTCTCTTAAAAGACCACGTGAGCCTAAAATAATAGAATATCATTACACATTCTGATCCAATTCCATGTCCTCATGCCAAAAAGAAAGCATAGTAAGTATAAAAAAGGAACTTTTTTGCAAATCTTTAAGTAAATTTACAACAAAAGTGATACCTTCATATAGCATCGAATCTGTTGGAGCTTTTCCCGTGATACACTCAATTGCATTACTTGTATAATTGATCACTTTACAAGGTATACCTGTAAAAAGATAGTATCTAATACAATACACTTTATTACTATAGTGTGCAAGCTAATCCATTATTCTTTTTGTTACAATTAACCTGAGATAGATGCTTGTACATCCAGAGGACTGTTTGGATAGAAATTCCTACCATATATCGTAATATGAGTACCACCACTAGGACTGCCAAAGTTTGGCTCAACTCCAGTTATATCTACAAAAAAACATTAAACATTCCTCTCTCTCTCTCCCTCTATTTCTCTTTCACCAGAATGTGTTTGAAATAGATATCGTCTCAGTCTATTATCAATTGAATATTTTTCCACAGGAACAATGGAGCTATACAATGTACTCATAACAAGGATAATTTAAAATTTAAAAAAATCATACTTTCCAAATTGTGATAACACTATTGTTGCATTCATCGAGGCTAAAAAGAGGATAGCAAATCAATAAATTATTGCTATAGCATAAGATATGATATTTTACCAATTCTAGTAGAAACAGGCTGACAAGACACACTACCAAAACCATATATATCCGTACTACCACCATAACTGCAATAGAAAGAGTAAAGAGATAAAATAAAGGAGAAGAACATACGGTGATGTTTCATTCCAAGGGTCACAGAGTTCCCCAGCAACAGAGAGTCTGTCAATCATTTGATTGCTACTTTCATCATCATCAGTATCTTGAGATTCAGAGATCTTGTAGGCAAATATCTTTCCATACAGAGAGACTATCATAGGACTAACGCCTGAAATAATGAGCATCAAGTACATGAAATATAAAAGCATAATATCTCTCACATACCTGCTGGAGGGCTAACATCAGTGATGGTTGGAGTGGCCCACCAGCGATACTATAAACACACACACACGTTATAAAAGAACTCATAATAACATTAATAACCTTAAAAGTACAAGCAGATATTCTCTGAACAAGTTTACCATCGACAAACACTTGAAGCTTGAAATTAGCAGCAACAGGGTATGGGCTGTCAAAATATATAAAAACAATGTATCTTTTTTATTGTCTACTTCGTTCTGCAGACAATCTTCTCAGTTGATGAATAGTAAGGTATGACGTTGCAGGGAAATTTCCTAAAATTGTCATAGAAAACAACCTTGTTGCCTAAACTAGGATCTTTATCATTAAACTGATCAGCAGCAAAACCTGAAGACACACAACAGGAATACAAAGTAGCATGTATAGCAATAGAAAGGCATAATCAAGAGCTTACCACGACCATGAATTGTTAACAAAGTCCCACCACCAAGGCTACCATAACATGGAGTTGCCCAATAGACAACTATTAACAGGATAGTATGTGTGAGTGCTTATAACTGGTAACCTATTGTAGCTCACTTGATTGTGTGGGACTTGGTGGATCAACAGGATCAATGGGTATTACAGGTGGGTTAGTTGTGTTAGCTAAAAATAATGATTATTATTATTATTATTATCATTATAAAATTCTTAATGCACTACTTACAACACAGACTGTTAACAGTAAACTTTGCATCAGGTGGGCATCGATTTATATTGATGATGTTAGTCTTGGAAATGTACCTGTAGAGAAGAAAGCAATGTAAGTTTATTACTGTAACTTTTAAAATTCATAAAAAATTTAATTTTGATCAAAACCAGCTCAAAACTTCTACACAAAATAAAAATGTGCATATGTATCAGGAATAATTATAAAAATCAAGGATTCTCTCATAGCCATTTTTGACGAAATACCCTGTGCCATAGTTCATGGTCTTCAGGCAAAGTTAAAGCAATTTATAAAATCATAAAGAAGTTCTAGATTTAGAGAGTACTAGTGTATATTATAATTGTCCATATATGTAAAGTGAAATTGGTCTGGACTAATTTGATGATCTTGTGTTAACATGTAGAATTCTAAAAATGGTCTGGGCTAATGAAATAATTTATCACATTAATGCAAGGTGTTACAATTACTATGTTAATTTTTTGCAAGAGACATACATTATCACATGCATATCATGCAACCTGTATAGCCAATGCTCATCTCCATTCCTTACCCTGGTGAATAGAAACACGCAAATTTGATGCCTGATGTTATAGAATGACAACGATCACTATTAGTGAACAGTCTTGCACCGCATCCAAATAGGTAACTCTGAGGATTTAGTATCTGCATATATTGTAACATAGTGATTAATATGAGCCTATATGTACTTGAGCTTTCTGATACCATGAACAAGTACTATTTCCAGAAAGCCAGCATCCAAATGTTTTCCTTATTGATGAGTTAGTAATAACTGTGTCTGCCACTGAAAGAATGTACTGATTCTGACCAACCCAACTGAATGCTCCACCAACAGCTTTTAACAATACTCTCTGAGGAGTTGGACTTTTAGTGCACCCACTGGCAGCTGATTCTGCAGTAGCTCCTAGTGAGGAATCCCATACCTAATGGAAATAAATATATCAGATAAAAGAGAAACAATGCATGCATACAAAATTGCAAAATCACACACACACACACACAAAAAGGGTACCATTAGTTTCATATCAGGGATTCTCTGTGAGCGCCTAGCATCATTATGAAGGTCTAGCAAGAGCTGCTTCTGATCTCTTGCTAAGTGGGAGCAGCATAAATGGAAGAGCATTACAAGCAAGAAGAGCATAGGCCATTGATGAATGGCAGCCATTGTAAGAGACCAAGAGCAAGACTTAAAGTGTGAAGTGAGTTTATTTACAAGTCATGTTAATAATAGACCTACAAGCCCCACCTATAAGTTTTGTAAACTTACAAATTATTCAAAAAAAAATTCAGCAAAATAAAAACAAAATATTAAAGATGAAAGCAGCAAGAACATAAATATAAAACTTCATAGTCAAAAGATGCACACATGTCAATCTAATTGGTCCCATTACTTCCATATTGAGTTGAAACTGACTCTTCATACAACAGTCGTGCTGGTAAACTGTCATCATCAATGAGCGACGCCGTACTGGGATCAGCCTTTGTTGATGAGACTGGCAACAACGTGAAACTCATCTCCTGGAACTTGTGGAGAACATTGAACCTCTTCAATAGATAGTATATAAAGTATAAGCAGATGTAAATGAGAGACAAAGACACAAGGATCACTTGAGAGATGAGAATAGCTTCCTTACTAATGTAATTTGTAGAAGACAACTCAATAAAAACGTCGATAGTAGTAAGCATGGTAATTGCAGTTATATTTGCAAGTAAAAGCAAATCCACATAGTTATGCCATTTCTTTTGATAAGGGCGAACGAGACCATGCAGTATGCATATGCATAGTAAAATGATTGTAGCCTGCATATAACTGAATACAATACTGCTAGAGTACACTGCTGGAGTCAAGACAACAACACGATAAAAGAAAAACAAACCAGCAAAGCAGCGACAGTTATCCTTAAAGCAACCCTGGAATGAATCCAAGAATGGTTTCAGTTTCATTCTAAGCCTGTGAAGACAAAAAGTAAAAGAATTCCTGCGAAACTTTAGAATCCCACTGAATCGAATCAGTAAGGGCTCTAGTGTTAGGACGATAGGTGGAGGTAGAATGACTATCAGAAGACAAAGTATAGCTGGTATAGCATAAGGAAGATGATGGTAGGACATGTATTCAATATCTCCATCAAACAAAACGCGAACGCTGACTACCTTACCACCGCTTCTAATTATACTTGATGGCACTAAAATGTTAAATGTTATTCGGACACATTGAAAATAGCAGAGTATGAGAAATGCTATCAGACCATTGATGATTGAAGTTCGAATGTTTCTCCTTCCACATTTGTGACAGAGCTTAATGCAAGAGTAAAGCGAGTTGAGTCTCATTATAATAACAGTCAAAACGATAAGAGAGAAAGCGTAGATCACAGAAAAATACTTAACTAGGAACAAATCCAAAATTTTAGCATCCTTTATCAAGCAGAAGGAAAAATGATCAAACTCCAGAATATTGAGATTCAAAAAACCAGAGCCAAGCTGATAAAGTAAGAAAATGCCACGAAGCGCCTTATTGTCAGCTTTCACAACTTCAAAGGCATCAATGAACAATGTGCTCAGCACTTGTGCACAGAAAATGAAAGTGTTAACAGCTCCAGAAGTAATGTTAACATTAAGTATCAAAATGACAAGGAATATGATGGTAATTGGTAATAGTTCGCTAAGAACATACAGCAAGATACCATACTCACAATTACTGGTCTCCTTGCAAAGATAAGAGTTGGAGTGATAATAGAGAGTATGGTTAGGGTTGCATTGAGAACACAAAATACCTTCTCGTGAGTGATGACAAACGTTGTCTAGTTTTTTGGTTAAAACCGTCTCTTTTCTTCTATTGCATAAACCAACCTTACAGTTAGCTGTCATCAACTCATGAGGGAATTTTTTTAGATAGCCAGCCCACGTAGCTGACTGCAATACTGCTGAATCATTGGGACATGATATTCCTTCCAGCCTTGTGAAATCGTTTGCAGCTGAACAAACACAAGTATCATTGTTTAGAACATAGCCAGGGGAACAGTATGAGAGGTTGACATTAGTTGAGACTTGAACATTAGTGTTGGTATAGCCTTGGAAAACTAACTTGCCACTACTACCTGGTTGACCATATAATTTAATGTTATTGTCAGTGAGGATTATAAAGCCAGGATCAATGCTAATTTTACAAGCATACATAAAACCGACTGTTAATGGGAATAGCTGGCTGACGTCATTTTTGAATACGTCCCTTTGCGTCACATTAATTTTATATGGAATACCAGGGAATGGTTCCACTGCATTATCAACTGTAATAGTTTCTGTTGAACTTGCTATGCTTGACTGGTTATTAGAGAAAGACATGTTCCCAATACATTGATTAGTAAATACTAGACTAATGTTCATTATACTACATCGATACATACACTCTCTGACATTTGCCACAAATATGTCATTGGCAATGCGACTTGTGGCATGATTATCTTCAAAACTAAAAGTTATTGTTTCCGGTTTTTCTGATTTTACAAAGCATAACTCGGTATAACCAAAATATTTTGTTTCCAGTTGCATGCTGCATATGGCACCTCCAATTGAAGCTTTATTACTTTCAAAATGAAGAGAATTGTTTGGCTCAATGTTAAGGTAAGCAGTGCCAACGAGTAAAACGGCACCTCCTTTCTCACCAACATTGTTAGAAAAATTAGTGAAGGAGCCTTCGGTGAAGTTTAATACCGCATCAGATGAATAAATAGCTGTGCCATTGTTGTGATAAAATGTATTATTACCAGACAACATAACTGGAACTAATGACGTAAACAGAGTGCCAGTTTGTGAGATATCAGCTGCAGTTGCTACACTAATAGGCTCTCTTCCAGCATGATTGTCACTGAATTCACAAGATATAAAATTAAAAGCACTTCCAAAATGTTTTAGCCCATTAATCTGTCTTACATCACGATTGACATTCACAGCAGACCCACCATAAGCTTTATTCCTTAAAAAGATACAGTTATCAACTATTACAGTGTTAATGAAACTACTTTTAGAGCTCGAAGCATACATTGCCAATCCTCCACCAAATAAGGCGCTGTTATTATAAAATATAGATTGAGTTAAGAAAATTCTATTCTTATTTTCAGTGTTTTCCATTGAGGAATGAATTCTACTTTCACCTTCAGTCATATCACTGAGTCCTACATCGCTACCGCCACCACCAATAGAGGCATTATTATTGCTAAAGTTACAATGGATTACCTGAATTATATTACCATTGCCTTCAGTAACATTAATCTTTAAGCCAGCAGCCATTGGTGCTTCATTAAATGAAAAGTTGGTTCCAGTTATATTGATGCTATTATTTGAAGTTTTCCAAAGCAGTAATGACATTCCTCCTCCATGTACTTCATGATTTTTCCATTTATCACTAACGTTAACTTTAGTAATATAATTTTCTGAAAAGGTGCAATTTGATATTGTTATAACAGCATTAGAAACTTTTTCGCTCAGCTGCATGAATACTCCACCATGAATACCTGTCTCACTAGGGCTGCCATTCCTTAATATAACACAATGACTCACAGTGCCATAGCCCATTATATCATTCATTATCATAGCTCGTCCTCTGCTTTTAGTGATGGTTAAAAACGATATAGTGACGTTGGTTGAATTCTTAATGCCAATAGATGCAGCTACAGATATTAGCCTTGCATATAGCTGGCATCCACAATTTTCAATTGAAAAATTTTCCAATACTAATTGAGTGCAATTGTTGAAGACTAAGCCAACTCCTTTCTTCTTAGGTGAACATGTAATGCGAGTCTTTCCCATTCCTTGTCCAGTAATGGTGAGTCCATTGATACCAGAGAAGATAACTGTTTCACTTACAGTAAGCAAATCACTAGTGATCACCAGTGTAATAGCTCCAGTAGGCAAATTCTTTAAGTTGGTTGATACATATTCCAATGATTGACAAGCTTGAAAGTTACTTTGAGTTAGACAAGTATGGTTATTCCTGCCATTGACGCCATCAATGGAGATTGATAGAGATGCCACAGTGTAAAACAAAGATAGAAAAGCAACTGCTTCTATGAGCATATTCAAAGCTAACACAATAGCAATGAAAAAATGGATGAAAATTAATTTTTATAGTGCTTTATTTAGCAAAGGAAGTGATGTCGTGTTGCATCCTTGCAAAAAAGTTAATTAAAATGAATAAAACTAAACAAGGGCAAACAGACGTGACTTTCACTTTTGTCGCCCAAGTCTAGCTTGCTTATGCTTGCCCCAATCAATTACTGCTATAAGAATGTAAAACATTAAGGGGCTCCGTCACCTCATCCCGCCCTGATGTATGTTGTATGTGAACAAACAAAATAGACTCACCCAAATATAGGAAATAAGAGATCAAGAATTTGTCACATTTCATTTAGATCTATTTGAATAATAAACATACGATTAAGCAATAATGAACATACTCAGCTCTTGGGTTCTGCCATGTCACCCATGTGTTTACATGTGACATAGCCCATAATCTATGCATAGCCACACCCTACGTAGTCTATAATATAATGCCCTAAGTACTACAGAAAGGAGGTGGGGCTAATTTTCACTCTATAGTCTATAAACTTGGGAACAATCCTTTACAAAACACTTTAGTGAAAACACTTACTCTTTTACAAAAATGAATGGCTGTCTTTCTCTTGTCGATGAGCCCGTCTCCTATCATAAGTCTGAGGATTTGAAATTCTCTAAACACATTAAAACGTCAAAGGATAGAGAGCTCAATGGAGAGGGTGAGTCCCAGTACACCATTACTCACTGCAGCTACAGATGTGGATATACGGACGAGAGGGTCTCTGTAGAGAAACACGAGAAAGAACTCTGCCAGATGCGTCCATACAAGTGCCAGTACTGCCAATACGAGGCAACCTATCAAGACGTGACCGAGCTTCATCAGAGGACCTGCCTGAGATTCCCAGTTCAGTGTCCATACAGCTGTGGGGCTGAGATGACCCGCTATGATCTTGTCTCACACATTGAGAAAGAGTGCAGCCTAGTCCCAGGAGAGTGCGAGTTTGCATGGGCCGGCTGCAACCAGGGGCCATTGACACGCTCCGAACTCTCCTCTCATGCCCAATCGCACCACGTCCAACATCTCTCTCTCCTCACTGAGGCCTGCTCCGGCCTAGCTAGGGACAATAAGGAGCTGAGAGAGAAGCACGAGAAACTACAAAAATCCAATTCGGACCTACTCCTCGTCTGTAATCAGCTCTACTCAGTAGTGACCGGTAACCTTCCCTCCTTACCCATAAAACTGGCATTCAATGAGATGACTGAGCTGGATAAATCTGCATATTTCTATTCAAGTAGATTTGGATATAAAATGTCGGTGGAGTACCATCGATCGGCAATGATAGAATCTTCCTCTTCCTCTTTGCTGGAAAGAGATATCATGTATGATAAGTTAGAGCTAACAGTTCATAGTGGAGTCTTTGACAATCAATTGGACTGGCCTTTCAATCGAAACGTGACCATAGGCTGTGTTATAAGACACAACGATACCAGCTTCTGTCTTAAGTTAGTTCTATCTCAAACTGATTCCACCGATCCCAAGACACTGTTCCTGTCTCCAGTCCCATTGGTAGATCCAGAGGAAGACAAGGAGAGGTTCCTGGTCCATGTAGTATATACTGGAGACACTAGCCCGTGGTATTGTGAGAGTGTTGAGATACTCTCTATTGACTAACTAATAATCTCTCAAAATTATTTATTTTGTTTTTCATGCATTCATGTCTAATGTTAGACCTACAAGCTATGTACATTTTGTGTTGATGTATTTGTCAAATTCCCTGTAGACAATAATGTGTGTTCCTGCAGTTATAAATATCTAATCAAATTTCAATGGCTCATTTCAATTGTTCATGCTATGAATGTGTGGGAATGGATAGGTAAATGGCACCAATGTCCCATTGGTGTAGATTACATAAGCTATCCATAAACTCTTTGTTGGTCACACATAATTGCTTGCAGTAATCAAAGCTGCACATTTTTATATACTTTATATGAGAGTAATAACAACAGAAATATAATATTTAGAGAAAGAGAAGCGAGAGATAGGATTATTATTAAAAACACTGGAGGAGTTAGAGTAGCATTCTTGATGAGGACTTGACTATCGCTTGAAAAAATCAACCAGAGTTTTAGGCCTTGCTCCGGCAGCAAAGAAAGCAAGAGCAACAAACACAACACAAAGGAAATAACCAAAAGATAAGAAATAAGCAGGAGTATTGGCCAGGTTTATAAGAAGAGACTACAAAGAAAGAGAGAGAAAGAAATTACATGACATCACAATTACGTTTGTAAATACTACTAGACAACCATTGTGTTAGCCTCATAATGATATCACTTAAAGTAAGCCCAATAGCCCTCCCTAGTGTCTAATCACTCAAGAGATTATTATGTCTACTTGATGACTAGCATACATGTGAGCTAACACACCAGTATTATACAGTATACAGAACTAGACAGACTGATTAGATGTAGACACATGACATCACTCCTGATGATGCTCTAGTCTATAGACTATCACAGTTTACACAATGGGCCCCTACTATAGCAGACAATATTGGAATCATTACTAATGCCAGTGGGATATGGTAGACAGAAGACAACCCCAAGCTTCCTTTCTAACCAGTTAATCATACAATGTGAGAACCATAATACTCTTATTAGTCTGAATCAAAATAAAGTGCAGTTGAATCTCATATCCTTACCAGACAAGATATGAACATGTGAGAAATGGGTACAGCAAAAATATAAAGCCAGTTCTTGCTTTCTAGACCAGCAAAGAATATGACCCCCCAACAAATGTGGAGAATGATCATCACTTGAGTACTAAATGCTAAGGGAAATAATCAAATCATACAAGTCATTGGGTCAAGGAATCACAATACCTGATACTGTAACAAAGTATTGATTGCTTCTGACTGTCCCTGGGCCAGAAGCAACTGATAGGACATTAGCAAACATTACAATACCAGCTATCAGACCAAAACCTAATCCTCCAACTACAAAATGGAACTAAAAGCAATGTTACTAGCTACATATTATTACCATATGCTATCTTGTGCTTCCTTAGGTCGGACTTATCTTCACTGACAATTTCCAAGAGGTGATCTGCTTTTCTAAAAAAACAATAAAAATAATGACTAATTCCATTCCCTTAAGGTTCCAAAGTTAGTAAGAAAATCCAATTTAAAATAGTTAGGTATTTCGTAGTCTCAAGCCAAATTTTGGCAAAAATGAATAGGAGAGAATTCTTCATTTCTATAATTTTTTCTGATACATATACATGTTTTTATGTTACATTTCGAGTTTGAGCTGATTCCAATCAAATCAAAATTAGATTTTTTTACAAATTTTTAAAGTTGCTCAAAAATCGGGCCAAAGTCCAGTACATGGTCTCGGGCCAAACTTTGGCAAAAATGACTAGTAGAAAATTCTCCATTAAAAAAATTTTTGCGATACATTAACATGTTCATACAACAATTGAAAAAGAAATGCACAATCATACTTGAGCAACTTGAAATAGAGCCACCTGAAGACTTCTTGCAGTATAACTGATATTGGTAGAGTGAATGCCGGAGTGTCTTTAAGCGGTATCACAATAATCCAGACCAGCGACGCAAATAATAATGCTAGTAACCAGAAGAACGCACTAAAAACAAAACAAAAATTACCAAAGTTAAGTTACAAATGTCAGTCCATAATAATTTATGCATGAAGATCTTGTTAAAATTAATGGGTGGAGCTCCCCTTAGCAAAATTAAAAGGCATGACTTAAGCCCTATATTACTATCAAAACTCTACCCAACAGCAAATATCAGTACTTTAATAAAATTAAAAACCTAGCCAATGTTTCATTAACTTTATTTATGGTGTGCTGGCAAGATCATAGACACGTAGTACTGACAAAACCTTCTAACCGAAGGATTTCAACACTTTGACACTTACCCTAGTATCATAGTAATAATCTCGTGTGGGTGCCTTGCAACTGTGACGAAGAAAAGAGCCACGGGCGGCCCAAATGTATATATGCCATAAGCGAAAGCAGTCAGGACTGTCATTTTTATTTTTGGAGAAGCCACGCCCTCAGAATGGATCACGTGATTAATAAATGTTTAATGAAAAATGTTTTTAAATTTTCATTAAAATTATTATTTATTAAAATGGGTCATGCTACTTGTTAGCATATGTGATTTTCATGGGGTGAGTTGGAACTATTTTAAAGTCCTGGAGAGAGCTCATGGCTTCCGTTGCTTGACTCTCATTCTCATATTCCACAAATGCAATATCAGTACGTGAAGGCACCAGCCTAATCTCTTGTAGGCCAGGAAACCTATAGTAGTAATAATAATAATAATAACACCAAGTTTTATTTATCATCTTGCACTTACTGTTCAAACAGCATCTTTAGCATCACTTCAGTCGTCTCAGGTGGGAGATTACTGATAAATAAAATCTTGTTTGGAATACTTGAACCTAATAAAAGAACAACATTAATTATATAAACGCTAATAATTCCTCTCAACCTTTATTGCCTCCTCCTCCTCCTGTGCTTCCTGAAGCATTTGATCCACCAGCACTAGCTGACTGCTTTGCTTTTTTTGGACGAGCTATAAAATATCGTTGTATGTTAGTTCTTCTTTACTTAGTGGTACCTTCTTCTGATTTCTTTTTCTTCTTTTCAACGTAACTTCCATCAACTTTGGCAATGGCATCACTCTTTGTCTTTGCATAAGCTATCCTCTGGAACCACACCAAGTGGTGGGTGTCATTAGTTATAGAGAGAGAGAAAAGATGGAGAGAGCAGTGCAATGCAATAAAGATGCTACTCTCACACAAATTAATCAAAATAAAATTATTCCAAAATAATCAATCAAACACACCCATTACATTTATTAAACTAACCATCGGTTTATCATAAAAAGGGAATCCTTGCATCGATCGTAAAGCATTAGTGGCACTACCAATGTCACGAAACACAACAAAAGCTTGTCCCCTCATTTTGAGTGTCTTGAGTGCCACTATATCAAGTATGTCACCAAATTGTGAGAAAATGGCATACAGTGATTTCTTCAGTTCTGTAGACAAATAAAAAGAACCAAAATTAATAATCAACATTTTACCTTCCTTCTTGACCTTTTCATTTAAGTTGTTAATGTAAATTGTGTTGTTTGGTGGGTACTCCATTTTTAGGAAAATGAAAAAGATTACACGTGAGGGCCAGGGGGAGTTGTCCCATACAATGCGCATGCGCAAAAAAATTGTAAAAGAAAAAAAAAGAAGTCTGCGACACCGGCGATTCCTAGGCGGTCACCCATCCAAGTACTAAGCCGGCCCGACGTTGCTTAACTTCAGTGTTCAGATGGGAACTGGTGCTTTCAACGTGGTATGGCCGCAGACAGTTTTTATGAGATGATTTTTTAGTTTTAATTTTTCAAATAAAAAGTGATGATAAAATTAATATAGTAACTTCAGTACAATAATTATGTTTCATGTTTAAAAATGTGAGTTACAAGCTCTGCTAACTGTGGCAGAATTTGACTTGCAAATATAATTACTTTAAATTTACTTAAAAAGTCATTAGACGAGTCACACAAAGTCTTTTTGATAGTTTCGACAAGAAGTGTAGGTGGCACATGACAATATATAAAACCATCCAACCAAAATGCTACAACTACTAAACCTCTTGCCAAACATTTATTTAAAGAGGACTCAAAACATAATTTGAGATGATCTTCAAACTGTCCAAAGAGGCAGTGATAAACTTGTCCCCTAATGGACTTTAACTCTCCACTAGTTGTTGTCATGGCATCACCGAGGTGACACTGATCTGCTAGCGAAATCTCATTCATCATTTTATCACCACCCTTATGCAGAAAATGCATAACAGGACTGCTAGCAGTGGGGTTCACAGCATCAAAGGGTATCACTAGTCCATCACACGTAATATACTGAATGTCCCCAGTATAGACAGCAAGGTTGTAATAGCTCGATGACACAGTGTGATGGCTATCACTAGGGAGATGTTGTGTTGATGATTCACTTTCATTAAAGAGAAACTCAATTGGTGCACAATCATCAGCCCAGGCATTCACAGGACTCGAATAGCTTGTTAGACAATGCTTAGTCGCAAGCAACTGCTTTAAGGACTTTTGCTTTTCCTTAAGACTATCCTGTGCTAGTTGCAACTTCTTTTTTAGCTCAAGGCGATGTGCACCATCAGTAAATTTGACCAATAATTGTACTCTTTTGTCATTTGTGTTCAGTATAGCAGAGAGAATATCATTCGTTGACACTGACATCATGTCTTGACCATTTACTTCCAATATGCAGTCACCTGGATGAAGTCCAGCCATAAAGGCTGGTGAGCCAGCTGTGACAGATTGAACTATAGTTTGCTTTTCCTCACTCCTTCGGCCATAGCTCTACATATACAAAGTAGTATAGATAAAATAGTGTTTCCAAAGACAGCTTGTAAAACACACTGCCAATATAAACATATACTAAAAGCATTTATATTATTGCATGGATGACTACCTAATCACCTGAAACCATACAATTGGATCAGGAAATGTAATCAGCACATTTCAGCAGTGATCAATAATCTAGTCAGATATTCAGTCTACACACTGATTTAACACTCTCTCATTCCAATTGTAATTATTACCATGTAATTTGCATAGCAGACCTATTTTACAACTACATGAATACACAAATACTAATTTCTCCCACACAAGTTTGTAGTGTAACTATGCAGCATTGGATTGCAATTGGATTTACCTGCAACGTAAAACCAAACCGTGTCCAAGACATATCCAGATATACATATCTAAGCTCTCCACGGGGAGGTAAAGCATGGCATAGACCTTGCTGTCCATCTCCAGTAATGCCCTGGAGTGCTAGATTTCCTTCTGATCGAGAACGAGCCACAGACCTTATTGATTTGTTCCTTTTAAAGGAGAACCTTGTACCTGGTTTTTGAAAGTCTACATTAGCTCCTGCTTCATCATCTTTTGCAGTGACTGTTGCTTCCTCTTTTACAACTCCTTGACCACCAAACCCAATCTGTTTCTTGACATAGTGTACAGCCCCTCCTACTGTTGGGACCATGTTTGTCGTTGAAGAATAGTCCCCAGAGGGAGTCATCTGCACTGACACACTTCTCTCTTTCTTCTCCATAGCTCGCTCCGACTTGCAACAGTCAGCAGTAGATCTACATATTTTTATTGCTGTCTCCAGCCACACCTCCGAATGAGATCATTATGCACTGTGCACCATAGACCATTAGCTCAGGCTCATCATGCATTTTGTCAAGCACACCACAAACAAATATACTAAACAGAATGACAAGCTGCCAGAGACTATTAGCAGAAAGAAGAGTCTGCTATAGGAGCATCTAATGGCCACTGAAAGAATAAGCAAACAAATGGAGACTGAAACGAAAGAAAAAACAGACCTACATATACTAGTAATTGGGAGGACAGGTAGTGGTAAGTCCACACTCATTAATGGTATGCTGGATGACATCTTAGCCCAGCAATCCCATGGAGCTTCACCAACAAAACACGATACGGTTGAGCCTCATAGGCTGACTCTAGCATCAATGGAAGTGATTCTATACGACACACCAGGGTTTCTTGACAGGAGACAATCAACTGAAGTTCTTCTTTCGGAAATAAAAAAAGAAGAGCCTAGGTTTGGATTTGATTTGATCATACTGTGTCACAGAATCATTGATCGGTTCGATGAAGCAACTGCAGAGCTCGTAGGCACACTTTGCAGGCACAAACTGGGAGTGGGTGAAGGCATCACCAGGAAACCATATATAGTTGCTCTCACCTTTGCTAACTTCTTCCTTGAATTCAATGAAGTCAATGACTTAAAGTATCCCGAAGCAAAGAAAGAACTTATAATCAGAAAAATTAAAGATTTTAAAACACACTTCAATGAAGCAAGCAGAGATAAAGCACCTAACGAAAACAATGGATTCTTTGATGATATTCCGTTTATAGTAACAGGGAGAAGAGGGCAACAAGCACTGCCTAACACAAGTGACTGGATGAATGATCTCTGGAAAGCTTGCTATCAGCAATCGAGCTATGAAGCTAAACCGCTGATCAATAGTTTAACATTCCAGCTTGCATCCAATCACTACACAGCCAAGTATACCAGAATTGGACTGGGAGCTGCTCTGGGTTTGATTACAGGTACAAGCCCACTAGTGCCTGAAATAGGGTCAGCCATTAAAAGTGCCATTGAGCCAAGGAAGAGGGTATTCTTCCCGGTTAACGAGTCCTCCATTAGCGACCATAAAACTGATGAGGAAGAGTTAGGCAGACAAAAGGTGACGCAGGCTAAACCAATCCTACCATTACCATCAGTACAACCAGAACAATTATCAACTGAAATATTCAAGGAACTGGGCATACACTAACAACAACAATAAATAAATAAACATTTCACTGTATCTGTCATAGTAAACTTTAATAGCAATATCTTTCATAAACTTTAAATAGTTGATGTGTATATAAGAGGAGGAGAGCCTTGAGTGATCAGTTACACCTTAATCTTTACATGATACTCATCTCTCATCAACTTTCCTATACAACAAAAGAGTACATTATATTTACTAGATCATAAAAGGGCATTCATAATATGCAGTGCAGATTAAGATAAGAGAGGGACTGAGAGAAAGAGAGACAAAGAGTAATTGAGAACATCAACACTTTGTGCAGCAACAGGCCGTTACATGCACACCAGCCATACTTGTACCTTCTCTTTCTTTTCTTTCTTTCACATTCAGAGCATTCACAGTCTGACTGATCAGACTCTGAAGATGAGGAGCTGCTACTGCTGTCATCGCTGCTCTCACTAGAGGGCAGGCCTGTCTCTTGGGTAAGATCTACTTCATCTGCAGCCTTTGCTAGCTCAGGTCTCTCTTCCTATAACACAATGTTGTTCATGCATTAATGGCTGTTGGCATTTGAGTTTGAAACTAGGAACATAATGTTATGATGCTACTCAAAGCAGTCAATATTCATAAAGGCAATGCTACAAATATTTTAGCCGTTTGATGTTTAAAATTGCTTTTCTCAGCTTACAACTATTACTAATCCTTTATAAGGTTGCACTTTAAGATAAAATCACTACAAAAAGACACTTATAGTCATCTCCAAACTCATGAAGGCAATCCTAATACAAAGCTCACGTATTATCTATTATGACTATTATGCTGATTAATTCCTGTGTTTTTATATAAATAAGCATGGGCTAATTGCTTTGTGTCTATCAGTACTGGCTAATTAACCACAAGGACAAATCTTTAGTGATTGGAGCAAAGGTTCAATAAAAAAAATCTAATCATGCCCAATTTTAAAGGCAAAATAAAATTTAGTTAGAATACACGACGGCATACTTTTAAGGCTTGGTACCATTTCTTGGAGAGTTTGGGTCTCCCGTGAACAGTTTTATGCCACACGACAGGAAAGTTGACAGGACTACAGAAATTCTGTGTAACAGCAATGGCAGTATCAAGGTTTAGTACGACATGCCACCAACCACTGGGAACAAATACTGTCTCTCCTGGACACTGTAATATCTCAATCTATTTCAAGAAATCAAACAATCAACAATCGCTATCACTATCATATCATTGCTATTATAATCATACATGTAGCAATTCATTAATCTAGTAGTTTCAACATTATTAAACAAACAAAAAACACGACTGTCTATTAGCAATGACTCACTCCTTTGCAGTCCTTAGGCCAGCTAGGTAACTGCGTTTTAGGATAGACCATGGCAAACCATGCTATTGCTTCATCGTGCTGGTGGCCACTAATGCTAGTTGGGACCTTTAGCAACTCCTTTGGAGTATGAGGAGGAAACAATGCCCACCTAGCAAAGAATAATGTTAATCCATATATTCATACTGATGTTATGAGAGTCTGAATAAATATGCATGTCTGGTTTGGCTCTAATTACTTACAAAGTTTTGAGCACTAGTTGTGAGTGCTTTAAAAGACACTATAGGACTATAGACTTATAGAGCATACCTCTTGTATCCACTGACAAGAGCATTCCAAGCACTAGTTCCCAATGGATCAATGTGTATACCAGTACCTGATCTAGCCGGACCCATTACAAACCATCTAGCAATACAGTACAAACGTTCTCTTTGTCTTTTAATGCCCGGTTTACCTGTATGGGGGTCTCCTGGCCTCTCCAGCGTATCGAAATAAATCGTCTTGGAAATACTTTGGGATTAAATAGTCTTCTAACAACTGACACTTCTTAGGATGCTAGAGTAGAAGACAGAGAGTTTTTGTGGTATTTTCTAATGATTATATAAAATCGTTAAAGTGCCTTACCTCACCAAAAGAGCTATCAAAAATATACATAGGACTATCATCTTCGTTATTATGAATATAATGAATGTAATATTTCATTTTGAGCTTGACTGAGTAGCCACTGTTATCTTCGCCACATTTAAATCTCTGATTACGGTATTTACGATTTAACCTCTAATAAAATAACATATATAGCAGAATCCAATTAACTAATAGATAATTGAATTTTAACGCATAAACGTATACAAGCGATAGTGTAACATAACACTATCTTGACCACACCCATCACAAATATCTCACCTCAAGAGTCCATTTGTCACCTGCTGCCCAGTTCCGCTGACCGTCTACTATCACGACCGGTTGACTTGATCTCTCGTAACGCTCCGCAAAGGTCTGCTGGTCTACTTCGGTGTAGTTAATCCTAGGACAACTGTCTTTAACGGTCTCCTTGGCAAGAGAGAATGTCTTGGAGTAGTTGAACTGTTTCCATCCCGAGTCACCTTTGAGTTCTACGTACAGTGAGAGGAGGTCTGATATTAGATGCACTACCTGGTCTTCCACGGGTCTTGGCATCGTTTATTCTCTCGCTGGCTCTTTTATCTGACTCTTCCATCCTTTTCTACCTCGTTTTCCACTGCTGTTGTTAATGTTGCCACATGTAGCCCCGCCCAAAACTCACGCCCACGTGGCCAATGTAACTATCTTTGCATTAACAGAAAAAAAAGAAAAACATTTAAAATTCGAAAACAAGACGATTCAATTACAATTACGACTCAATTATTGGGTCATTTTCTTCTTTAAAATGTATTCTTTTGCTAGCAGAGCGACGTTCTTGGCTCCGATTGCACTCATTTCCATTGCACTGGCAGCCTTCTCAATCCCGTTAATGTAGAGGAGCCCGCCCTCAGCATCCAGCACAAATGGAGGACACTCCTCGGGTGGAGCATACTGAGGATAAGCCAGCCAGTCCTTTGAGACGACTCCTTCAGTTGATACGAATAATTGAGAGATTTCTGAATCTGAGAGAAAATTGTTTGAGAATACTTTGAATACTTGGGTAGGGAGATCCCTCAGTGGCTTGTTATAATTCTTTTTCACTTCTTCCTCTGAGGCTGTGGCTGGAATATCCTGAGAGCAACTATTGAAATCAACCGGTGGATCGGTCATATCGTTGGTTAGGATGGTGAGCGGATAGTCCCGCGGGTACTGATCAGCTTTAGGGTAACCAAACAGCTTGGCATTGGGTTTGCCCTTGATCCAGGTTGCCACAGTCCTGTGATATGGAGTCTTGGTCCCATCAGTGAAGATGGTCTGGGAGAAATTAGCAAATGCAATCTTTGACAAGTTTAAAGGATGAGCTATAATGACTACATCAAACTCAATCAAAGAGGTACCAGTCGAGTCGCTATACTCCACCATGTACATATTGTCATCTTCTTTTGTCACCTTTGTTACAGTGGAAACATGGTATGTGGCTTTAGATGCTTCGAGTGCTTTCTCTGGTATTTGACGATTTCCTCCAATGACAGACCAGAGGTAGCCATCTTCCATCCCAGCCAGCGAAACAAAGCCAGTGAACGCATCGACTTGATTAGTCTGTCCATAATTGCATTTCATTCCAGCGCATACTAGATCATCAACAAGTTCAGCATTCCATCCGAGAGTGTTCTTGAAATAATCATCAGCACTTACCTGTTGTGAAAGAATTAAAATAAAAGCAGATGAGTTATAGATGTGGATATGTGCAAAAAATATTAAACCATTCAGGGTTCCCACAAAGCATGTTAAGTGAGCTTAACAGCATGAGCTTCATGAGCTGACAAATAAGCATCGCATTAGGTTATAATAGCCTTTGGACCAACTTTTAAAATTCGTAAAAAAATCCAACTCTGATCGTAATCAATTCAAACTTTCTACACATCATAAAAACATGTATATGTATCAGAGAAAATTATAAAAATGGAAAATTCTCTCCTAGTCATTTTTGCCAAAATTTGGCCCAAGACCATGTACTATAGTACAGGGACTTTGGCCTGATTTTAAAGCACTTTTAAAAATTCATAAAAAATCCAATTTTGATTGGAATCAATTTAAACTTTCTACATAACTTACAAATATGTATATGCATTGATAAAAATTGTAAAAATAGAGGATTCTCTCCTAGTGATTTTTGACAAAATAGCCTATACTATTCTTAGTAATGCTACTATAATTATTACTAAATAGTACAGGTTGTTTTGTCAAATTTTGGAGCAACTTTATAAATTCATAAAGAATTCTATGATGCTAAGCAATGTCAAAAAAACTATGTGAAACCCTGAAACCATTGCTAAAATACTATAATTTGCTCATGCTAAATGAAGTGAGTGTTGAACTTACAGTAATTTCATTACAAAATTTTTCCCCACCCATAGCTCTCAGCATGTCAGGCACCGTCTTGAAGGACTTTCCTTTTTCCTGTAGCTTGTAAATATTTGAAAAGCCTTTCAACTCTGAGTGAATTGAGCGTGACATCCGGAACAAGCTCAGTCCGTATTTCCAGAGAAGTTTCAGGTTATTGAGGATGCCAGAGAAACCAAGATGGAGGACAAATCTTTGACCATTGTATATAGCAAGAGGCGAGCTTGGAATTTTAGACGAGTTGAATTCTTTCAGACCTATAAAGATCAGAAAATTATTATTTAATTTAGAGATCTAGATATAAGCTCAGCGGCAATTAATATTATCGATTTCCCTACCAAATTTTTTCCTGAATTCTACCATATGTTTATTGCTGGTATGTATAACTGCTCCACCACTTTCATAAATGTTCCCCTGGAATTCAATCACAGCACATCTACCACCTACAACCTGACTGTCGTTGAATACGTGGATCTCCACATTGTCCCCACAGAGCTCTCTCAGGAAATAAGCGGATGAACAGCCTCCAATTCCACCACCAATGATACCAACTTTAACATTAGGGAAATCTTCAGGGGGAGAGGTTGTTTCTGGCTCTGAAAAGTATTTTCCAATAAATGGAATCCAACCGAAAAGAAACGAGGCAGCCATGTCATAGATATTAGAGCCACGCCTACCAACAAACCACTCCCATAATCACCGCGCCCGGGCCCGGCCGTACTTTTGGAGTCGCTTAGCTCTTTCTATCAAAGTCGAGATCGAGGTCGAGATCAAAGTCTGCTGTTTGAGCTGCAGTAGCTGTTAACAAGAAAGAAAGACATCTAGATCTATTAAATTCCTATCCTCCTTGGAAAAATACTATCACAATTCATAAAAGACAGAGAGCGACTGAATCATGAAACTACTCTTTATCTCCCTTCTCGTTATTTTCTCAGTAAGATAATATCTCGGATTATTCTCAATTATTACATGATGTATTCTCTATTGTTTGTATCAGTGCGTTATAATTATTATGTAAGCCTGATGCCGTTATGTAGGCCAGATATTAGTATAATTATTGTGGTTTCCTGTTCTACTAAAGCAAGCATTGATTACTCTTACCATATTTGTCAAAACAGTGATGGTATTATTAGTACTACTCACTCTAATGTAGTTTACTATAGTTCATTACCACTATTTCATAGGTCGTTAAAGCAGAATGGACACTATCAGTACGTCTTATTAGCTATTCTAAGCAATACAGTTTAGTATTAGTCCAAGGAACTAGTCTGGAATACTGCTGTTGCAATTGCAATGGACTGCCCAATTGCTGTGATCAAATAGCTACCATAATAAATCCCAGGTGTGGTAATAATTGTGGGATTCGTCTCTCTGTGTGTGGAAGGCAAGGAAGTGGACCATCAATGTGTAGTAATACCACATCATCCATTTCACTTGGCCATAATGCTACCTTTGAGGAGAACAGAGCTTATGGAGGTCTACAAAACCCAATTCAAATAATGTTTGGAAACTTAAGCTCTGAAGTGAGTCACATGCAGTATACACTATCTATGGTCATTCTGTTATAGAATATTATCCTTGAGATGTCTGTCATGAATGAAGATGAACGTATTTCAAGTCTTGGAAGTTTCTCGGTATCAATTCCTCCACAGTTAACCACCTCATACTCTAACAAAATGACATCCAATACTCACAATAATGAATTTCTGTCTGCAAGTATCACCTATGACTACAGATTGACTTGCTCACCAGAATCTGCTTGCCCTAACAGTAGTCCTAGTCCTAGTCCTAGCAACAGCCCTAATGGTATTGGCAGTATCTTAGTGAAGAGTAAGTACTAGTAAAATGCAACTGAATTAAAATATTTATTCTTTACAGGTTCAGTCTGGCTACTGATACTAATCACACTGTTGATAAGTGTTGCTGCAGTGCATTGATGATTAACTATTTTTTTGATTTTGCTGAAATAATTATGTTGCTACTTTTTTGAAAAATGATTCCTTTTTGCTTTTTAGATTATGTTTATTACAGTTATTATTATACATTATACCATTCAGTTGTTATTATTTTCGTTATTCCACTGAGCCACCCTTTAAAAGGGAGCATTCACTGTTTCAGTTCTAATAGCATAGAGAAATAATGGAAGGAAAGCTTCTTATTAGTACTTGTCTTCTACTTATACCTTCTTCGGTAAGATTCATCATGTTACTAACTTATGGATCACAAAATGTTAACTTTCTATAGTAGATAATGCTTAATCTATTCAATAGGTTTCTACAGCCGATTGGACACTATCACTTCGTCTTGTTAGTTACTATAAAGACTACAGCATTGTTCCTGATACCACAGGAACGGAGTATTGCTGTTGTATATGTGTCAACCAATCATGCTGTCAGGAAAAAGCAAATTGTGTCAATCCTACTTGCGTCAATAATAAAATTTATGATTGCCCATTTTCTCTTTCTTTCTGTGCGATACAAGGAAGCAGTTCAGTTTGCAGAGACACTTCATTCTTTAACATTCTTAATTCAACGACTTTTGGAGGAACTGTTGGTGATCTGACAAATCCAATTCACCTAATAATGCCAGGAAACTTAGGCGCCAAAGTAAGCAATCAAGACTCAATTGCATGTAATGTTTCCTTTATAATAGAATATTGTCCTTACTGTGTCTATCATTCACAATAATAATGGAACAAATGTGACAGTGGGGAATTTTTCAAATTCAATTCCTCCACTGCCAAATGACTCTTTTTCTGTAAATACAACACAAACAACTAGCGATGACCAGTATTTGTCTGCAAGTATAATGTATGAATACAGATTGTTGAATTGCTCTGCTTATGACTGCCTTACTCTGGAGACTGCTGCTAGCTCCATTCCTGCTACAAGTGCTAGCATTATTACTGGTACTCCCATTCCAATTAGTGCTAGTAGTACTAATGGAGGTACTACTACCGTTTCTATTACCAGTGTCAGTGCTAGTGGAGGTATGACTACTAGTGTGAGTAATACTAATGGCGGTAGTAGTACTATCACTAGTGTTAGGGCTAGTAGTACTATCACTAGTGTTAGGGCTAGTAGTACTAATGGAGGCAGTGTTCCTGCTAGTGTTCAACCCACTACCTGTTCTACTGGCTCTCCTACACCTACATGTACTAACAGTAATAGTGGTGGTCAAATACAAAGTAAGCGACTGCTCCAATAATAAAAAATATTTTATCCTTAACAGGTTCAAAATGGATACTATTACTGATCACACTGATGATGATGAGTGCTGCTGTAGTGTATCAATGAAGATTATTCCTAACTGTGTGCCAAGCTTTGAATAATTACACCATAAAAAGTAAAAACATTCCTTTATCTTATAGATGAGTGCACATAGCTATTTTTGTAAACTAATGTTTCACTAATAAATTGTTTTATAAATCTCTTAATAGCATAATATCAAAATGATATATTAGCAATAGACAAATAGTTTTTACCAGAAAAGTAACACATGTACAAAGTGTCATAGGATGTTTACTGTTATTGTACAATTCCTGTATCAACAGTAGTAACCCATACACATGCATGTAAACCCGACAAGCAGGTAGCATACGTACATTATATATAGCATCTATTCTAAAGCAACCACCAGGCAAAAACCCAAAAATTGCTACAATGTAATGCTTAATTATTGTTAGCACTGGAATATTTTCAAAAAACAGTGGTCCTCCAAAAATTAGCTGCAATTTTGGAAGGAAACTCTCAGTTGAGGCTCTTGAAGTACAAGAGTCTTTAAATGCAATGAATGTGCAAAGAGAGATTTAGTCTTAGCTGGACGCTTACTGACTTCAATGGGATCATACTATCATTAATAATAAAGACAAATTAATAATTAGTGTGGTCACACAATTGAACTGATAAAGAGAAACAGAAGAGGGAGCAATGATAAACATGGAAGACATTACTTACCAATACACTAAAAGCAGTAATTATGTAAAATAAACAAACAGAAAAGCTACACATCATAATAATAATAATAATAATTAAGTAATAAAGCATGATCAATACTCAGTGCAGTGAAAATTGGTGAAATAATAATATAAATAATGCTTTAATGCGTATCTCAGTTAGTAATAATAATAATAATAATAATAATAATAATATCAAATTTTGCTTTCTGGTATAGAGTGGTATTATAATTTGCTGTAGAGATAATAAGAACCGAATGTGATGGGCTAACTACAGATCAGTGCTTTCATCAAATCCAGATAAGGCACTCTCTAACTTTCCTGTTATCTGTAACAATGATAAGAGGAATGAAGATAAAATGCATGTAGAAATAAAAGGTGTAGGCATGTAGAAATAAACCAAAATCAAAGTCCAAGGGATGTAGTGTGTGGGTGAATCATGAAAGAACATCAAAGGGTATAAAAAACAGTACATCAATAGTGCATGGAGTGGGATGTGTACATACACGTTACCTCTTTATAGAAGTTGATCTGTGCCTGGAGCATTGCTTTCATCATTTCACGGAAATCCACGACTCTCTCTCTCTGGAAATGATATACCTCTGCTAGTACTATGGAGGAGACTTTCTCGGAGCGAGCGGTAATGTCACTTGCCTCCATAAACTAAAAGAAAGAGAGAGAGAGAGAGAGGAGGTGAAGGGACAAAAAAGAGGTCACATGTGTATATATACAGGCACTTGTTAGTTTTAGGAACATACACACACACGACCTTTAACTCTTCCAACTTACGTCAATCCGTCCTTCCTCTTTCATTCTTTCGCAGTCCCTGACTTTACTCGCTGCGCCTTTGTGGATGTCATGAACGTCGGGAAACTCTTGAATGAGCCCAAGATACTCCTTTAGCACATCCATAGCAGGCAGCATGTCATATTTAGGCTACACAAGACAAGATGAAGCATTATTCACAATGTAAAGGAGTGTAGGACACTCACTTGATTATTGTAAAGATCTCCTATTTGCTTGTACATGTCAGCAGTGTAGTTGATGGCCCTTGTTAATGGCATTGAGTCTAAAAGAGATGTTATTAAGTGTATTATTATTATTATTTAATTATTAGCGCATGCTTTACAAGTGATGTTAGGCTTACATTCTTTATTCACCATCTCAAAGCAATGGCCCAGTCCTGTGATTACAGCTGCCATTCTGTGATGCTCAGCCATAAAAGCTAAAAAAAAATATGAAAAGCAATAGATCACAATAGGCAATGACGATAATACATGTACATTATAGCTATAACTTTATAACTTACGTCCAGACATTTTATTGCAGTGGTCAATGAACTTTGCCTTCATCTTGGTAAGGCTCTCCTCCATTGACTGGAGGAAGATGGAAAAATGCTCGACAGTCTTTTCTCTGTTTAAAAAATAACAAAAACAGACAGTGAAACATAAACTTTGTTAATAGCTTACGCTTCCGATATTTCACTAGTCATTGTGTGCTCAAGAGTCAAGTAGAGGGCACCATTGGTCACTTCATCTTTCTCTGCTTTTCTCTTACCAGCTTTCCATTCCTTTAAGATACAGAAAATAAATAAAGAATAAATGGTATGTTTGTGATAGTCTACCTTTTCATCAGGGCAGGCAAGGAAGTGATGAAATACGTCAGAGCGAGATATGACAGGATGCCTTGCAATCCTGTTTGTCCACATTTGCAACTTTTCTCTTCTCTTCTCCACAAAGTCTTCTCCATAACGACCTACATGTACATGTATAAAGACGAGACATAAAAGACCTGTTCTTTCTCTCTTTCTCTCTCTCTCTTACCGTAATATTGCTTGTCAGGAAGTGGTGGGACGCTGAAAAAAGCAAACTTAATGGCGAGTCTCTCATGAAGCCAGTCGTAATGCTTGTATCTCCTGCTAACAGGACGATCGCCATTCTAAAATAAAGTATATATTTCATGACATACATGTAGGTTTTAAAAGCAGTCCAAGTTTTAATACAAAAAAATTATTATCAAATTACTCCAAGCTATTTTTAATTCATCAATAAAGTAGCTTCACTTACTGATGTGGTTATTTCATAAGCAATGAATGACTTGATTCCCTTGAACTTGCTCTTCTTCTGAGGATTAGATACATTGACACTATAAGGATTAGGGTTCGGCTCCCACATAGGCGAACCGTCTTCTGATTGCTAAGAGAGGAAAAAAGAAGAAATGTATACATGTACATGTGTAAAAACATGTACATGTACATGTATATACATAGAAACTAGGTAAATGCTTACAACAACTTTGACAGTCTGGTCTGTGATGGCTCTCCTCACAGATACACTACCCAAAATAAATCCTTCGGTACCAGTTTTAACGAATGGAGAAAATCTAGAAAATAATAATTAATAATAATAAATTAAATTTATAACAATAGTAACAATTCTTTAAAAGGAGGTATATATATTTCCTAACCTGTTTATGTTTTTCTTGACAGTTCCGTGTCTCCCGGCGATTGATCCACTTTGTTGTCCTGGTGAGACTGACCTCTGACCTCCACTTGATGCCTGATCATTAGTAGCTACAGAGACAATGAAATAATTATGTGACACATAAAGTAAGCTCATGGACATGTGCATGTACACAGAAAAAATTATTAAAATGAAGAATACACTCTGAGCCATTTTCGACAAAAAAACCTAGCACAGGGGCTTCGGCCTGATTTTGGAGCAACTTTAAAAATTCGTAAAAAATCCAATTTTTATCGGAATCAATTTAAACTTTCTATACAACATAAAAACATGTATATGTATCAGGAAAAATTATAAAAATGGACAATTCTCTCATAGTCATTTTTGCTGAAATTTGGCTCGAGACCATGTACTATATATAGTACAGGGATTTTGGCCCATTTTTAAGCAACTTTAAAAATTTGTAAAAAAATTGAAATTTAATTGGAATCACCTGAAACTTTCTATGCAACATAAGTTCATGTATATGTATCAGAAAAAATCATAAAAATGGGAAAATCTTTCTTAGTCATTTTTGCCAAAATTTGGCCCGTGACCATGTACTATAGTACAGGGACTTTGGCCTGATTTTTGAGGAACTTAAAAAATTCGTGAAAAATCCAAATTTGATTGGAACCAGTTCAAACTTTCTACGCAACATAAGTACTTGTATATGTATCAGAAAAACTTATAAAAATAGAGAATTCTCTCAAAGTCACTTTTGACAAAATATGGTGCATAGTACAGGGTATCATTCATAGTACTTGTAATTATATTTAAGATGTGCATGTACCTTCAGTTTCTACACTGTTGCCAACTGCTTTACTCCTCACTGATTCTTCTGGATCATTGTCATCCCAATCATCTTCTTGCCAATCTTCATCGGGATTACCTTCATCATGGTTCATACCCATACCACCATCCTCTTCACCTTCCACCTGGAGAGAGAGAGAGAGAGAGAGAGAGAGAGAGAGAAAGCAACTTATCAAAATAACTAAAGGTTGTAAAACTATTCATAGCAACAACCGAGAACTACAATAGTTACTGTGTTGTTTATGCTAGTACACTACTCTGATGTTGTTAGGAAAGAATTATCAACATTTTCAACATTAAATACTAATTATACTGCTACTACTGCACGAGTCACTACATTGTGCTAATAGTACACTCTAGTAGTAACACTATAGCAGTAGTAATGATGATAGCAATAAAGTTATATGGGTATTGCTTTTAAATTTTATTTCTACATTAATGTTTCTTTCCCTTCTACTCCTCTCTTTGTCTCCCTCTATTGTTTAGATATGTACAGGCCACACGCCAAGCAAAAGATAAAAAGTAAACCGTGACACCCCCAGTATGACAATAATCCACAAACCAAAAACAACCAAACATGTACACATGCTCCAGCCAGCATAATAACAACAACAATACAACAATAAAAAGGAAAACACTTTACATAAAGGAACAAAGCTACATGCAAAAGAGTGCAAATTAAATCTGGAATAGTTAGATGCATGACAGACTCTCTCTAAAAGGAACTTGTTACAATAATTGATAAAGGAACAGACCTGACAGTATGACTCTGGAACTAAACCAATCTGATCTCCAATCTGGACCTCCCACCAGCCATCACCAACAGCCTAAGAAGAGAAAGACAATGAATGAATGAAATTGTAATTATAGTTCAGTAGTACAATCATCAATTCATGGCATACATAATAGACTAGTGTTAAAAGATTATTGGTAAGTTTTAGAATGGAAGTATGGAAGAGTTCAGCTAGTTTAAGTATCTTTTACCCAAACACACACAAACAAACATAAACTCATCACTGTACTATCATTACACAGCCACTCGGGACAAGTGGCACACACGCATACATGACATGTACATGTACATGTATATGTACATGTACATGTACATATACATAACTCACTTTGTTCAACACTGTCACTTTATCTCCTTCTCTGACGGAGAGTTCCCCGGACTCAGTGTCACCTTCAAAATCGTACAGTAAAAGTGCCTGGAAATAAAAAAGAAAATAAAATATAATTTGGAGAGAGTAAAGGTGTGGCGAGAAACATCAAATCTGAACAAAGAGTCAGATCAGAGCGAATGCTGGCTGATACATGCAAACATAGTCATAACACTAATAAGGATTCTATTGTCAAACAGCTACAATGTTGAGCAATGACGCATACATGTGATTCCAATTCCAAAGAAGCTAAGAATTACTTGCTACATGTATACAGCCTCCATGATGCAATATAATTATGAATTTAAAAGGTTAATACAACAACAATCACACATACAGTACAGTCATTAATAACTGATACAGTATTCTGAGGCAAGTCAAATTATGCAGTGTCATTCCTTGCTTTTCAAATTTTTGCCATATAAGGACATGTCTATCAGGTTGCTATAGGAGAGAGCTGTGTTTACATTCAGTCAAGGGGAGAGACATGCATAAGCTATAAACTAATAGGTTGTACTGAAACTATTAAAGGAATGGACCCTTCCTCCTTCCCTTTTGAACATTCCAACAACACCTCTTCCTCTCCATACACACTCCATACATCCCATGCCCCATTAATTCAATTATCGTAAAAGTTAATACTACTACTATTTAAAGCAGCTTATCATTGATTCAATATAAGGATGACAAGTCAGCAGCATAAGTCAACTTTTAAAATGTTATAATTCCAAAATGAGCTATTGTTTTATCACATACTTTGAATCATGCAAGACATGTGAACATACAAATGGTATGGAAGACTTTGCATGCAACAAAATACCTTGTACATAATAATGAATGCTGGAATTTACTCTGACAGAGATGCAATGAATGAGCAGACTGTTCATGCAAATCAATAACTAATGACTGTAGCTGCCAATGGAATTTCTCATACCAAGCACTTTAAAATAATAACACCTTATATCTAATATAACACCATCATTATTAATAGTACAATATCATTATTATTATTATTATTATTATTATTATTATTATTATTATTATTAGAAATATGTTGATGCATTCCATTGACACCATCATAACTGTGAATGTGTAACAGGGGATAAGAGGAATCCAATACACATGTACATGTACATACTGACTCACACTATCAAAATTATACCAGTATACATACTTGTGCAGATAGAGAGTGGGGGATTCATAGACAATTGATTAGTTTAGCAAAGAAAGAAAAAAGTTTTTGAGGGAAATTATAAATTGGCAACACAAAGAGACAGAGGAGGGGGAAGTGACCTACTGGTTACCTAGTAACCAATTGAACACACAAGTAATGCAACAGATAAAATCAAAACATTATGTCATTCACATACGCATACACAGGTATATCTACGATGCAAAGAAATGAAATCAAAACATCTCATACAGTCATACACATGGAGGTATACACATATATACATGCATATGTAGATGTACATAAGGTTTAGTGATTGTTCAGTTAAAGTGACACGCTTTAATTACTAACAGTGTTGTTTTCAATTCCTACGTACCTTGAAGCTTACAAAAACATTTATATACACAGAATCATAAATGATAACAGTAAGACAAATATACAGGGTGAGAGGGAGAGAGAGGGGGAGAGAGGGGGAGAGAGGGGGGGAGAGAGGGAGAGAGAAAGCTACATGTCATCTACGAACAGAAGCTAAAAACACAAAGTGAAATATGGTACACATAACACAATGGAGAAAGCTTGAAATGATGATATGATGATAACAATTACAAATGACAAAGGAACTGGTAGTTGTCTAATCAAATGCATTAAAGGATTATGATGATACCAGACAGAGGAATGCAACTAATATGGCAGGAGGGGATGATGTACAAGGAGGATTAATACAAAATGGCATAATCTTTATAATGGCATATACACAAAGATGGAGATGGACATCTAAACAGGACAGGAAAAACAAGAGAGAGAGAGAGAGAGAGAGAGAGAGAGAGAGATGCAAATAAATGCAAGCATCAGAAATTGCTTTTCTTTCAAATCCTATAATAACTGAAACCCATTCATAAGATAGCAGCTGCTCATGTTTATGATATCGAAGAGCAAAAGAAACTTAATTTTGATGTAAATCAATCCTTTTCTAATAATTATCAATAACAACTGAATCGGTGGCTTTGAGAGACGACCTAGCCTGATATTTGTTACTGAAATGTCAAGACAACCCTCGTGACAGAAAACTTTTGAATTACTGAGAGCTGTAATATACAAGCAACAATTCACAACAACAACAACAATAATAAAAGTAAAATAATAATAATAATAATAATATTAGTAAATGCTGTTCTTGAGTAGTACTAGTCCACAGTAACACAGGGCCATTATCAATATACAAGAGACATACAATACAATACAATACAATAGAGGTGAGAGAGAGAGTGGGTCTTTACAAGAAGCACTCGATTACAAAGTGTGTCCCATAGACAGAACACTAGGCACAGCAAGGTCATAACAAGAGGCAGGGGTGGACTAACAATACAGCCACCATTCAACCAGTCAAGAACAAACACACACACACACACTAATACATACACGCATTAAGGAAAAGGAATGGAGAACGACTGAGAGGAGATTTACATATAATGTATAGCATAAAAGGCAGCAAAAACATGAATGATAGCATAGAATAACACCAGCAAATTTACACAATGATACTGATTGTACTGACTTGCTGCTGCGCCATAACGAGTAGCCTTGCTATAGACCCTTATTAGTCCTGCTTCGGTCCAAGTTGTACTATCAGGATATGTGAAAGATGCTTTAATAAGCTTTGCAGACGAGGAGAGGGAGAGAGAAAGGAGAGAAGCAGCCCTCTTTGAAGAGAAGCAAAATTTTTTATCAACTTGAGTTTTAAGTGTGGGCTTGGGTGTGGTACTTGAGGGCACAAACTATGAATAATATAATTAGCAACACATTACTGCGCATGCGCATTACAAACTCCCACGAATAATATCAAACTGAACAAAATATCCTCTATGAATAAAAATTGTTAAAGTTTGTGCTTCTTCTTTTTCTTCTTTGAGTGTTTCTCAGGTGCTTCCTGCTCGCTACTGGCTGAAGTATTGTTCTTGTCGCTGTTTTGTTCTTTGGATTTTAATTTCTTCATTTTCTCAGAGAAATAATCCTGCAAACTTAGCTCACTTTTAATAGTTGGGATCAGACAGCTGACTGTTGCTTCCTATCACAATATAAAACAACCCTTGTAACTACACAATTATATATCTTGATTGCCAATAACTACAAAAAATATTTGCCAATTTTTGGATTTCTCCATGATGAGACAATTTCTATTCGGTAAAATTGCCAAAATGATAGTTGACCTTTTGCTGTTCTTGTGGCTCCTTTTCTTCTGACTCATTTTCTGATTTTGTTCTCTTTCTTTTCTTGTGTCTCTTTCCAAAGACACAGTCCATGTCATTCTCTGACTTCATTGATAGATCCTTACTCTTGAGGAACTTGTGATAACTATAAAAAGAAACTAGCTATAAGTAGACAACATAGTGTGAATTATTTATTCATTTTGACCAAGTAAAGCAACAAACATGAAATTAAAAATTCAAAACAATCAGCTAATTTAAACATACACTAGTTTCCTTGATTTTCCAGCAGCAGATACTAAATCTTTTGTATCAGATGAATTAGGAGGAGCTATAGCAAATAAAATGACAGATAAGTATTTTCATTGATCATAATTTCAATTGTCATTACTTGTAGTATTTTGTGAGTCGTTGAGTTGTGAGAGGATATCATTAAAAGAGTCCTGACATGCTATCCAATCTGAATCTCTATCTGTACCAGCACCAAAACCTAATAAGACAAAACATTTTCCCACAATGTAAGTACATGTATATTTATCAGGAAAAAAAATATTAAAATGTAGAATTCTCTTCTCTTCAATTTTGGCTCAAGGCCATATATTACGACTTTGACCCAATTTTTGAGCAACTCAAAAAATTTGTAAAAAATCCAAATTTGATTGGAATCAGCTTAAACTTGAAACATAACACAAAAATATGTATATGTATTAGAAAAAACTATATAAATGGAGAATTTTCTTCCAGTCATTTTTGCCAAAATGTGGTCCGAGACCATGTACTATAGTACAGGGATTTTGGCCTAATTTTTGAGCAACTTAAAAAATTTGTAAAAAATTCAATTTTTATTGGCATCAATTAAAAATTTCTACACGACATAAACACATGTATATGCATCAGAAAAAATATATAAATCTCTCCTGTCATTTTTGCCAAAATTTGACCCAAGACCATGTACTAATAATAGTACAAGAATTTTGGCCCCAGTTTTGATCAGAATCAGCTAAAACTTTCTACGTAACATAAGTAAATGCATCAATGTAATCCAATGATATCGTCAGTGTTATTCAAGTTGAATTACCACACATATACTGATGATATTACTTGCCAGAGTTGTCAGACTTCTTAGCTACTTTGACATGCTCCTTCTGACCATCTTCCTTAGCTCCTAAACCTTTGCCATCAGTCCAGCCCATCTGCTCCAGCAAACGGTAGCCAAGTCTTGTCTTGTCTACAAGTGAATAAGGAGAGAGGTTAGTTAGCTCTGGCTTACCATTAGACCAAAAGGTGTTTCTTGGGTCACTGCTCCATTTCTCTTTCTTTCTTCCCTCAGCTAGACAGACAACTTCATCTTTATCTGCACACATGGTTATAGGTGGAGAAACCCATTGGGCGTGGCTCATTAAAAATAATGAGCCACACCTTTGCTAGCTTCTGCATAAAATAATTTATTGGATCCAAAATAATTTATTATGCTAAAAACTAATAACTAATAATGGCAAAGCAGCAATAGCATCCAGCATAGTATAGCATGTACTGTAGCATAATAGCAAATTGTAAGGTTGTCCTCAAAAATCAGCTACTCAACAAAAGGTCCCCAGAATCCACCATACTTATTCACTGCTGCTTGGCATGCAAGGGGTGATACATGACCACGATCGGGGTTGAAATAAGTGGCTAGATATTTCTTTAGTTTCTCTTGCATCGTCTTAAGCTGCTCAGGCATTGATGAGGCGAGATTGTGTCTCTCTTCGGGATCATCTTTTATGTTGTAAAGGCACCCACTCTCACCGCATCGCTCAGTTGCTTTTATTCCTCCAGCCGGATTTGTTTGGTTGGGATACTGAGGGCCAGTCCAACCTGCTTGATCAACAGTCCCAATCAATATCTTATAGTCTCCACTGATCAATGCATTAATGCTAGCTGGAATATCTGTACGAGGGGAGGTATCAGTTTCGCCCGAGATGAACGGCCACATGTTGTAACTATCAACTGGAGGTAGCTTAGCTTTAGCAGCTTTTTCATCAGTTGGATCAACACCAGCAATAGCACAGAAGGTACCATACCAATCAGCCAAATGAACGTATCCATCAGTCTTTTGTCCCCTCATCTTCTCTGGTAGGTATCCTCCAGATACAAAAGCATTGACACGTATGCCACCTTGCCAGTCGGTTAGCTTCCCTCCTTTTAATGGATAGTTATTGGCACCTCCTCCTGCATAGATTGGGCCACCATTGTCACTGCTTGTGACATAGAGAAGGTTGTCCCACATTCCCTTTTGTTTGAGAGCAGCAACAAGATCACCTACAACATCATCAAGATAATTGACCATAGCATGATAATACTTGCGATCGCTATCATCTATGAAACTGAATTTATTCAAATAATCATCAGGGACTTGCAATGGAGTATGAGCAATGTGAGGAGCATAATACAAGAAGAGTGGTGTGTTGGGATCATGCTTACTAACAACATCCATAAGTCTCTCTTTAAACAAACCCTCTTCATACTTGTCAGGCCCAGTGCCATTAATACCATGAGCAGGATGATCAGTGTCCCATAGATCGACTATAGGAGATCCACTGCACTGTGGCCCCACTACTTCAGTGTAGTAATCATTGTCATGATGATAGTAGCCAAATGAAGTGTCAAATCCTCGTCCTTTTGGTGTGTGGTCTGGCGTTGCCATTCCAGCATCCCATTTGCCTACTTGATGTGTAGCATACCCAGCTTCTTTCATCTTCTCTGCTATACCAGTCATGTTGCGTGGAATAGCGGAGAATCCAGAGACTGGATCATTTGGATTGTAATTAGTGGGTGCAAGATTCAAATCATTGACATGAATTGGTAATCTTCCACTCATCAGGCATGAGCGAGAAGGAGAGCAGAACTTGTAAGCATAGTGTTGGTCTAGTTCTAAACCTTGCTTAACCAAATCGTCAATGTTTGGTGTAACAACTTCACGTGTTGGTGGGTTCCGATGATATCCAACATTAGCCCAGCCCCAGTCGTCAACAAGCATCAGAACAATATGAGGCTTTTGCCTCACAGGTTGACCAGCAACCAATCCAGCAATACAGAGGAGCACAACTGCAGCAATCATAATTACAATGGTATGAGCCACACCCTGGCAAACTGCAGCATAGCATCATGTGATGGCACATGTGACATACACTATGGGCTGCCTATGTCGTTAGCAATTAAGTGTATACGAGATAGAGTCTTTATTCTTGTTAAAGAGTCAAAATAGCCTATTATATGTTGTGAATGCCACAGTTTGGGTGGGCTGCCTACAGTTATAGTGTATTTATAAACAGACTATATTTATTATGGCTGAAGCTCTATAGCTAGGGAATACCATAATGCAGTGCATGGCACAACAAGCTTGGCTGGAGTGAAGTTGCCTATAGCCTATACATGCCTATCATTGCACTCTATGGCTGTAAAGTTTTAATTAAAAATTATTAGATTAGGATGTGTAGTCGTTATAAAAGCAGACCAAAAGCCACAGCATTTCCTGCATTTCCCCACAGCAACTTAGGATCATGGGAGCAAGATCTTCTCGCAAAGCACAAGAGGAAAAGAATGGCGGAGAGCATTCAAACGGGGTAGCTACTGAAACAACCAAAGCCTCAGGTGAAGAAGAGGAGGCAGTCGCGGCAGAAGAATCCAAGGACACCGTGGTAACTCTTAGAAATCATGGCAGCAAGAACGGGGTCGGAGGAGCCAGGGGCTCGAGGACAAGCAGGGACTCTCGGCTATCAAAGCACACTTCTTTCTACGAGATGGTGGACGCCAGCGAGATCAACACTTACCTACTAATAGGCAACCAGCCCTCGGTAGAAAACACAGAGTTCTTGAGCAGGAAAAGAATACTGTTTGTCCTCAACCTCTCCAATTCTCCTGTGCCAGTGACTAGAGATGGAATAGAGTACAAGAGCGTGAAGCTAGAGGATGACGACGAAGAAGACTTGCTCGGCGTACTACAAGACTGCCTGGACTTCCTCCACAAAGCAAAGAAAAAATGCGAGTCTAACAAAGGAAGCAGGGTCCTGGTGTATTCATATTTTGGTCTCTCTCGCTCTGCCTCAGTCTGTGTCGCACACTTGATGAAAGAGGAGGGCTGGACACTCGAAAAGTCTTGGAATCACCTCAAGGCACAGCATCCTTCAGCTAAACCTAACGACGGGTTCCTCCTACAACTACTAGAGTATGAAGGGAAGCTCTACAACGGGAAAATATCCATGAGAATGCAAGACTTCCATACACGATGAACAAAGAGACGTCAGTCAACACTTACTGATTATTATTATTGATTTATTGTTGTACGTTGCACATGTCGTGTTGTGTATCCAATCTCAACTTCATTTATGTCATGTATCATCATCAATTCAAACTTACACAAAAATAATAGTTTAATTGTAATAATATGGAACACATAATAAAATAAATCACAAAGGCGATAATAAAATTTTTATTCTAATCAAGCAAATTATATTTACCGTACCTGTAGCGTTTATAAATAAAAGATACAATTATTATTATAACACTCAGTACTAGAGTAATTGCTACTACCAGAGCCACTATAATCACAGCCTAAAATATAAAAAACATTATCAGTGACAATTATACATAATACCTGTAGATACAGCACATAAGATCGTAGATGCATGCTCAAGTGTATGAACATGTAATACATTTATACTCACTTTATTATTACTGGAGCTAGAGACGCCACACATAGATACCACTGTAGAACAATAAGAAAGCACCAATAATTTAATTTACATGTTGATATTTGCTATTGCCAAAAGGCCTGAATTTTAATTATCAATGTTTGGCTAGTAGCCTGAAATCCTATGCAAATCAACAACAGGCTATCATTACAGTAAAATTATACAATAAGGAATTTGATTAAAACTTTTTATAACATTATCATCACTTTTCTCACCAGATGAGGCATCACGACCAGACTTTACAAAAGCATCAACTCGAAGGTTTGTTATATCAAGACTGACACTAATGGAATCATCAACCTGCTCATGACCATGACAATTGACCTGACCTAGAGAAAGAGAGAGAGAGAGAGAGAGAGAGAGAGAGAGAGAGAAAGAGAGAGAGAGAGAGAGAGAGAGAGAGAAAGAAAGAGAGAGAGAGCTCAATAGTTGTTCCTTCAAAAGATTTGTTAACACAGTTGTTCCTCGCATGTCAGCGTTTATGCCAACTAATAGAGACAACATGTCTGTCTGGTAAACACCATCTCACGCAAGAAAGAGATAACAAAACTCCTTAAAACTCTTTAAAAGGGCAAACACACACAGATATATATATACCACACTCATATACAGTTATACATCATTAAAGGTACAGAGTACATGTACACAAGCTCAATCATCCAAACTTCAACAAGAGACAAAACATGACACAATTATTTACTACACCGGCTTCTTCTCTTCCTCCCCCTGCTCTTTCTCTCCCTATCCCACTAAATTCCATTTCTATAACAAGCAGCGTACACCATTTATGCAACAAAATCAAAGCAATGTATACCATATATGTGATAAACTCAAACTCCCCAATCAGTCTCCCATTACATGTGAACTTACTACAAAAGTAGCTCAATTCCTCCGGCACATTGATAGCATCCCCACATGTACCATAATCAAATATACGCCCGCCATCAGTGAGGTTTACTACCTGCAGACTGGACAAATACCATGAATCCTCAACGTAATTGAGAGCAAATTCAAACTATAGGAGAAAGGAAGGAAATACAAGTAACCTCCATATGTACATGTAATTGCTGCTATTTTAGGAATTCTAAGAAAATATTAAAAAAATAAAAATCACATTACACATCTGGTGTTTTTTAAAAATGGTAATTGCATACAAGTAATGACAGCACAATAACTATGACTTATGTATCATGTGATCCCTTTCCCTTTTCTTACTGTTAAATTTAATACGCTTGAACCACTTGTAGCGTTAAAATAAGATCTTTTAAAACTGTGCAGTCTAGAGTCTTTTGTACAACCAATGACGGCATCAATTGGGTCAGGATATAGCGTGGATAAATGAGAGGTGGTAGTATTAGAGAATCTCTTATCATCTATGAGAAATAAAAAATTAACAATAATTATTTCATTCTAATTAAATGTGGGGGTGGTGCAATAATTGACTCCTCCCAATTCATTACAATTATGCCATGCTGAGAGTTGCTGACATACCGTAATTTCAATTATAAATACTATTTTGACATGTTTTTGCATAAAAGAAACATGGCTTGCTTTAAAAATGGGCAGTTCAGCTGTCATGGAACAGGGTTTCCCACAAAGCATACTCAGTGAGCTAAACAGCAGCACACTTTGTGAGCTGACAAGCACTGTATGGCTTTGAAGTAATTTTTAAATTCATAAAAAATTCAATTTCGATCAGAACCAGCTCAAGCTTTCTACGCAACATAAGTACATGTATATGTATCAGAAAAAATTGTAAAAATGGAAAATTCTCTCCTAGTCATTTTGACGAGCTTTGGTCAGAAACCATGTACTACTGATGTAGACTGGAGCCATTTTCCATGCATTTATATTGAGTCAATAGTCAGTAACTCAATTTCAATAAAAAATCCCATTACATTCTGTTCAGGCTTAAGACTCACTCACAATTTTAAAATTACAATTGTGACTGACCCACAGGTCTAAGTTACGCACACACTCAACTCACAATAAGTAAATATTATTTCTGTAGCTTCAAAGAAGAAACAGTTGTCCTCTATCACGAGTATCTCCTTCTCTGGGGGATGGGGAGTGTGAGAGGGAGTCGGGGTTGGTGTAGTACTAGTACTGGTTGACGTACTGCTAGTACTGGTTGATGAAGAGGAGGAGGAGGAGGAGGTTGATGAGGAAGTTACCGTTGAAGACATAAAATCTGAACTGGAAATAATTAATATTGAGGAATAGTCAGATGAAACAACGACACTAAGAGTGTTAGAGGGATAAAAAATATAATAAAAATATTGCCTATAATATTGTTGTATTAGCTAGGCTGTGTGCTTTTAAGGAGGGGCATTTTGATTTATAGTCTAGTTAAGAACTAAGATAAACAACAGTCAATTATATAATGACGCATAATAAAAACTAGCAAACAATATTCATGAGTTTGATTAAGTGTATTTAGTATGTAATAAGAAAGGAACCATTATTGTAACATCTGTGATTATCATCTTATCTATTCTCCTCAGCAAAAAACACACTGTTTACTGCTACAGCTACTCAAACGTGTCATGTATTCATTATAACACTGAAAATAAAGCAAAAATACTCAAAACTAAATACCATAAACAGGTATAAAACAGCTCATAATGGGAAAAACCACTAGGAGTCCTGCTGGTGCAGGTTTATCCATTATAAACTTAGTTTGATTGGGTGTGGCATGTATTATGGAGGCTAAAAGTTTATCAAAAAACTAATGAAGGGGTGAAGCTCTATAATTACATGTAATACAAATACAACAGCAATGAAATGACTTATCGTTCACACGAGATGCAATGAACGATCTTTATAGAGACAGAAAAATGTATGCAATACCTACCTTGGGCTGGGAGAAGGCATCTCGGATGATTCAGATAAGCTTGGAGAGAGAGAAGGCAATATAGAAGGAGATATTAAAACTGAAGTGGAGATCATAGTAGCCGTGGAGTTACTAATGGGTCTTCTTGAATGTGAAGAGGTGGAGGAGGAAAGACCAGTAACAACTGGAGAGACAGAAATAAGAGAGAGAAGGGCTAAAGATACCAGCATAACAGGTACCCTCTTTTCAAACATCTGTGACAAGAAAAATAGATTATTAAATTAATTAAAGCACGGATTAGATTAGATCTGTACCTTAGCAAAGTGATAGCAAGCAAGTTGTGTGTGAGCTGATTGGACTGAGCCTCCACCCAATAATGTGAGAATTAATGGTTGCACTGAAACAACGGATTAGTCTGGTGATCTCATTAAAGTCTTGATCAGGGAGATAGTTAATGATAATATTAGAACCGGTTGAACGACTCACCTTTTCTCCTTTCTCTTGCAAATGATACTGATATTCATGCCCCAGCCACGCCTGCAATTATACCACGTGATTGGCCCGCCCTTGTTGCTAGGACGTCGGTTGTTAAGCCTATCGGTTGTTGGGGCCACCGGTTGTCAGGCTCTCGGTTGCTAAACAACAAATCGTTGTTACGTGGGCAGTGTGACGTGCTTGTAGTGACCACGCCCATTACCATAGCAACCTAAGTTACCTAACAACAAAATTCTTGTCAGCTGTTGGTGTACCATGAGGCTCTATTCTTAGAGGTAAACATGGGATGTGGGACCTCGAAAGCTTCTGAGATCGATGAAAAGTGCATAAACATAAAACCCAGTCCGAAGAAAGGGCAGACTGAGAGCAATCAGGTCCATTGTTTCTTGGTTTGTTGATCATTATGATATAATTTCTTTATAATAGGAGGAAGGTCATGTTAAATCAGACCATGTGAGTAATGGTAATGACGCAGCTATGGCACCTGTTGCAAATGGATCAGAAACTGTCACGGCTTCTGATCCTACAAATAAGTATCCTCCAGCAGTAGCCTTTGATGTCCCACTAAATGAAGATGGGACTCCAATGGAAAAGAAAACTATGCCTAGGAAGCTCCAGGTATTAATGTACATTATAAATTATTGCTTTATAGTCCACGTAGAAAATTAGTGTGTCTCTAACAAAAGAGCAGTTGGAGGAAAAGCAAAAAGCCGTTCTGGAGAGGAAAGAAAAGGTGAGTCCAATACTGTTGATAATTCTAATGATAATTAATTTTTGTATGATAGGAACTGAAGAAGAGGAAGGAATCCTGTGGTGGTCGAAGGGCATCAAGAATTAGAAGAGAAATAATGGATGCTAGAACAGATGAAGTAAATGTATACTTTTTGCTGCAATAATATGACAATGCCAATGGCATCCATCGATAGAATCCACACAATGATGTGTCGGGCCAGATGAGAAACCAGGTGAAATATCTACACCATTTTGACTAGATTAGAACCAGCATTATTGATGCATTAACATGTATATACATTGTACCTATAGTTTGACAATGATAAGGATTCTTTGTCTGGTAACATTGAAGTAGACAACACTTATAACTCAGCTATCAGTGAAGAAGGTACTCTAGCTATTATATAAATGTGTCTACTATTTTTTATAGATATATGGAATGACAAAGAAAATGCATGAAATATATTTTTTGTTTGGATCATCAATTTTGCTTTTGGATAACAATTTTTTCAATTTTTCTCAAAAAATATTAATGAAATAGGCGTGGCAATGATGCAATAATAATGCTGACTCAGCTTTGATGAGTCAGCAGACAGTCCAGGCACAAGCATGGAACAAAGTAAAAACACTGAAACTAAACAGTAAACACACTAAGAGAAATCATGTCTGATAGAGGAGGAAAAGGTAGATCTCGTGGAAGAGGTAGAGGACGAGGTAGCAGCGTAGGAAGAGGGCGCAGTAATGCTGGGAGGGACTCTACAAGAAACGATACACCTCCAGTTGGAGGACTGAGTAGTAGACCTAGTGAAACAGAAACTCCACATTCAGTTGGACAAGTTAAACAATCAAATCCCAAAGGAACTCCTACCTCACCTCCCAGTGTTACTAAACCTGAACCAACAGCTCCTGCTGTTCCTCTCACTCCAAAAAGAGAGAGTAATGGACCTGTAACTCAAGGGTCTCCCAATAATTCACCTTCATCTGGTTCTCCCTCATCAACTAGTTCGCCATCCTCTTCTTGTATTGGCTCATCTATTATGAGTTCCCCTCAGTCTTTGTACTCTGCCTCACCGATCACCGTATCTGGTACAAGCTCTTCTTCTAAATTGGATTCTCCTCATCCGTCGTTTAAATATCGAGATCCTCCCCCACGCCCTGGTGTGGGTACCCTTGGACGACCTATTGTCTTACAAACTAATCATTTCCCTATTAAGTTTCCAACAAAAGGAGAGTTGTATCATTATGATGTTACCTTAAAACCGGACACTTGTCCTCGTAGAATCAATAGAGCAGTTATTAAAGAAATTGAGAAGAAGTATCGTGAGAATCTTCAAGGGATTCTTCTAGCTTATGACGGAACAAAGAACATATACACATCGAAACCACTCCCTTTTCGATCAAAAGTATAATTTATTAGCTAATTATTATTATTATTGATTTCATTTTTCTGTAGGAGTTTTTGGTACCTTTGAAGCTTGATGAAAAAGATAAAGAAAAGAAATTTGAGGTAAAATAAAAAATATTTTAAGGTGTACATGCACATGTAGCATATCAGTATTCTTACATGTATTTTGACAGGTTATAATCAAAGTAGTTGGATCTATACCACTAGATGTACTGAGTCAATTATCTACAGTGCATACCACACAGTCAAGTGATGTACAATCTGCCATACAAGGACTTGATATTGTACTAAGAACTCTACCATCAATGAGGTACAGTATGTTGCATATTATCTTTTACTTCTTTTTTCTTCTTTAGCTTTGTAACTGTTGGTAGGAGTTTTTTTACGCCACCAGTTACTGGGAGGGGTCATCCATTAGGTGGTGGGAGAGAAGCTTGGACTGGATATTATCAAAGTGTTAGGCCATCAATGGGCTGGACCATCACGCTTAACCTGGATGGTAACTAATACACGAAAATATCATCCAATTAACTTAAGCATACAGTACCGTAAACACGAATGTCCTTATTATAATTATTTTGTTTTTAATCACATGTAGTTTCTAATACTGCCTTTTATAAGGAGCAGCCTGTCCTTGAGTTTCTTAAAGAAGTTATTAATGATGGAGGAAGAGGAGGAGGAGGAGGAGGTAGAGGAGGAGGTAGAGGAGGAGGAGGAGGAGGTAGAGGAGGAGGTAGAGGAGGAGGAGGAAGAGGTAGAGGAGGAGGAGGGGGAGGGAGAAGAGACTATTTGGATGAAGATTCTATAAGACAGTTACCATGTCCTTCCTCTTTGACTGATGCTCAGAGAAGACAATTTGCTAAAGATATTAAAGGTTAGTTATAGTTAAGTATCTATTTCTGTCACGTTAATTTTAGGCCTCAAAGTTAAAGTGACTCACTTAGCTTACCCGAGAAAATACAAAGTAAAAGATATCACTCAAAAATCATCCAGAGATCTCTTGTAAGACTGAAAGTTTCTAAGCTTTAATTTATTATTTTGAATATACATGTAGTTTTGACTGTGATGGTCAACAGACCAGTGTTGTTGATTATTTCAAATCAAAGCACGGGAAACCTTTAAGATATCCTGATCTTCCTTGCCTTCATATGGAAGGGAAGAATCCTCACATATATATACCAATGGAGGTTTGTTTGGGCTATCATTTTAAAAAGTTATAATTACTCTGTATATATGCACAGTATTGCGAAGTTCTTGGTCAGAAATGTAACAAGAAGTTAACACCTGAGCAGACTAGTGCTATGATACGGCATACAGCTAAACCAGCCTATGAAAGGCAGAAACAAATCATGGAGAAGGTGTTGTTAAATATCAATACTACTTTTAATCATTATTAATGTCATTAGATTCATGGTGCTCATTTTGATGGAGATGAATATCTGAAAAACTTTGGCATTAAAGTATCCAAAAGAATGTCTGAGGTAGCTGGCAGAGTTCTTGATCCACCAAAGATGGAGGTTGGTGAGAAAAGAAGTGTGGAGCCAAGAAATGGGTCATGGGATACGAGAGGAAAGTCATTTTGGCATGGTATTAGTATTAAAAAGTGGGGGATAATCACAGCGAGATACTTTAATGATATCAAGTAAGCTATTGTAATTGTGTAATGTATGTGAATGTGCACTTTTCCTACAGTGTCTTTGCTTCTGAACTCTCTAAAGCTTCAAATGAGAAAAGAATGAGGATGCCTCCTCCAATTGAAATATATACTTTTAAACCTCGAGATGACTTGGAACATATTCTAAGAACAAAGTTTGCAGGCTGTGATATTGTTATTGTAATACTTGATGGGAAGCAAAAACCAACTTATAGTAAGTGAGAGTAAAATTAAATAATCATATCTCTTTCTCTTGTTTTTGCTAAAAGATGAAGTGAAGAGGGTTGGTGACAATACTGTTGGTATACGGACTCAGTGTGTCCTTTTCAAGAATGCCTGCAAACCAAATACAGCCACAATGTCCAACATTTGCCTTAAGATTAATTCAAAATTAGGTGGAACTAATTCTATCCCAAACTATGAAAAGACAGATTATGCATTGTAAGTTTTAATTCTAATTTATTAAGAGGTCTCTGTATTGTTTTATTGTAGTCCATGGGAATCATCTCCTTTTATAATATTTGGTGCTGATGTTACTCATCCTGCTCCTAATGATAAGAGGAGTCCTTCATTAGCTGCTGTGAGTGTTTGCTTGTACTATTAATGATAAATTAACTTTTAATCTCCTTACAGGTTACAGCTAGTATGGACGAAAATGCAATGGACTATAGAGCAAAGGTGAAAGTTCTTAAGCACAGACAGGTATAAACCTCCTCCAAGTGGACTGATTAATTTTTGTTAATTTTTAGGAAGTATTTAAAATTGATGAACTAGCTGGTATAGTTAAGGAGATGTTGCTGAAGTTTTATAGAAAAAACGATAAATGTAAACCACAGCGTATTATATTCTACAGAGATGGAGTTAGTGAAGGACAGTTCAAGGAAGTAAGTCAAGGGAATGTGCTTTCAATGTTAATTGATGTTTGTCTCTATCCACTGTGTGTTTCCTCATTAGGTTATTTTAAATGAAGTTGCTGCTATACAGAAAGCTTGTCTATCCTTGCCAGGGGATTACAAACCTGGCATTACTTTTCTTGTGGTACAAAAACGACACCACACTAGATTATTCTGTACTGATAGAAGAGATCAAGTAATCAATATGATACATTTATACATTATATCATACATCATATCTCATTCCTTAATCAGGAGGGTAAGGCAGGCAATGTCCCTCCTGGCACTACAGTGGACACTGATATCACTCATCCCAGAGAATTTGACTTTTTCCTTTGCTCACATGCCGGTATACAAGTAAGGGACACACAAAAGAAAAAAATTGTAGATTGTAGATATTTGCACCTTTACATTTACATAGCTATTGTTTTAATATTTTTCAGGGAACTAGCAAGCCAGCTCATTATCATGTGCTTTGGGATGATAATAGGTTCAGTGCTGATGAGCTACAGGCACTGACATATAAACTCTGTCATTGTTTTGTTCGTTGCAATCGAAGCGTGTCATACCCAGCCCCGACCTACTACTCACACCTAGCTGCCTTTAGAGCAAGATACACACTACAAGACTGGGAAGAAAAAAGGTTAGAAAATAAGTCAAATTGGAAAAGTGGCTATATTTTATAAAAGTGTATCATTTTATTATCTACACATACTACATGGTACTCACATAGTTATCTACATGTACATCTGTGCTACTACTGGAATGCAGTAAGCACTCAATTCTTGTTTTTGTAGTAGTAGTTATCACAGTGATACTGATAGCTCCTTCAGTTATTCTAGTGAAGATATACTGAGTGATGTATCAAAAATGGAGGAAGCAATCAAAGTCAACGAGTTTCTTCAAGATTCAATGTATTACGTCTGATAACATAACATACTATTATATTTTAATATTATGTATAACTGTGGCACAGTATTATTTTTGTTTATGCGTGTACATGTATATCAAAAAAAATTGTAATAAAACAATCCTAAAAATAATCAAAAAATTGATAATTTTGTATAAGAATGTCTGATTTATTACACACACACACACACACACAGTTCTATTATACAATGGACTCGTTTTTCTTCTTTTTCTGCCTCTCTTTGGTATACCAGACACAGAACTTTTGGAAATCTTCCTTTGACTCTAGAGTTATACTTTTATTGAGGCCGCAAGGATGAAGCGAGTTCAGTTTTATAATCATTTTTGAGGCCTCCAGCTCTAACATTACAGGCGGGTGACTCCAAGCCCTCACGTTCCACATATCAGCATCGGGTGAATTGTATCTCAGCTCCTCCTCCAGTGGATTGAGCTGATCCACTCGCTTCTCATAAAGCTTCACAAACATTTGTGTGAGGTCATTGTAGAGTAGGAGAGACTTTCCTACAAAGTCTTTAGTACGGTCGTGTTTGTGCTGGAAGAAATAAACGGCTGATGTCATTTGTCGAAAGACGTACTCCGGGATGTGAAGTTTTGTTGAAAGCGTCATGCCTACCGTAGGCTGAAACCAGCCAGAGTTTGAGACAAAACTCTGACTGTTGGAGTACTTGCCGAATTTAGTGGCAAGGGGAGAAGTTATGTGTTGCTGAGGCCCACTGGCACTGGGTGGAAGTGGCATAGGAGGTCGAAAGTTAATGGATTCAATGACAACTGGTACTGGATTACCAGTTACCGGTGGTAAAGGAGGTGCATTGGTCTGTTGAGGAGGAGCTGAGAGAGGAGGGGGAAAGGCTGAATGAGTAGCTGAACGGAGTCTATCTAAACTCTGCCATGAGAAAAAACGATCATAAATCATCAATTATGCATATATTTTCTTTACCTGTACACTTCCGTCAGAATGGTTTCTGCCAGGTCTCGGTGGTACAGGAGGTGGAACAATGTCTAAAGAAGAAGGGACGCTGGATGGTGTCGCTTTCTGAGAGAAAGCCCGTGATAAAGGAGGGGGAACAGCTGGTGGTTGTTCTTCAATAACCTGCACACAAAATATCATGTTAGTCATTTCAGCGAGTAGCTGAATTGAAACTAGTCAACATAATTATTATTCTCAAAGGAAAACTACGAACTGAGCATTGACAATTTAACACACTCAATTTCCCCGTACAGCTGTAAACATGATTTGGGTTAGGTTTGCATCCTTATAGATGTTTATGGTCGATGGGCTTGGATTGTATACACAATGGGGTAATGCTTATGTTCCCCAATAATAGATAATCATTACAACAATTTCATTGATTATTATTATAAACCAGTTGCTTGCTATTGGAGATTGTTTATGCCCAAGAATTGGATACATTTTGTTTTGTGCTTATTCCAAAAAGTCTACATTTTATGTTATTCTTATTACGATAGCTGTCGAAATCAAAAGTTCCTGAGAAATAGTTACTTTCAGGACATGTACACAATAGCTAAGACTTTGAAGGAATAAGAGAGAGACAGAGGAAGAACCAATGGAAGTATATATATGGTATAACCTCTATACCTAGTACATTCACTATCCTCCCACACAGGTTAGTAATATACATAGCTCAAGCAGTTTTGATAGTGTTCATTGCTGAATTAATTTACAATAAGTTCTATCCATTGATGCATAAATTCCTAGTATTAGGGACTAAAGAATATTCTACACATGCATAAGGGCTGTAGATTACTGACTACACTGAGTTAAGAAACTGTGTATAAAGCATACTGAAAATGAAAAGTTGCAATGATAATAATAATATTGATTTCACACTTAACGTAATGCAGCTCTGTCAGGCTAACCTCAATAAGATTGAAAGGGATGATTCCTCTTTGACCTCGCTCATTCTGAGCAACATACCAATACATTGCAATATCTGGCTTCAATATGGTAAGTTTCTCACCAACTACAAAGCTCAGATCCTTAGGAGTTTCACCTGCAAGGTAGGATAAATTAATAGAAAGGAGACAGTACCTCCATTAGTGTTTGAGTATGATGTTAACTCACCTACAAAGTTAGAGATTGCTACCACTCTCGTATTTGGACGCAAAAGCTCATCAGGCTCCATGTGCTGGCGTTCTTTATTGGACATACTTAGTTAGGTTAGTGACAAGGCTTTTACGAGCTATGAAAGAACACACAAGTGAAATCTTCAACATTAATAATAGAATTTATGCTCAAGAAGCGGAAGTGATTTTGTATTTTGTGGGCGCAGCTATCTAGAGGCCCTCCCCTGCCCGGGTCCGGGCGGTAGTTGTTACTACGCATGCGCAATAATTATAACCACGCCTTCTTTTTTAAATCCGCGGGTAGGTGATCGTGAAAGAGGCTCTCTTCTTTTTCTAAATAATTCTCGAAATAATCCTTATCTCCTTTGTGAGTTCTTTATTGTATTTGCCCTGGCATTTGGTTCTTTTTTTAGAAAGCATGGCTCATCATCTGTCAGAAAAAGATAAACTTGGTTCAGCCTCTAGCCTCTCAAAACCCCTCAAAGAATTTGTGACGAATCCAGACACAAAAAAGAGATACGAAAAGGGAAGATTCCTAGGAAAGGTAATTTCTAAAATAACCATGACACTGAGGATTTACACAACGTGCAAAGGGTTAAATTATTAATTAATTAATAGGGTGGGTTTGCTAAATGTTATGAGCTGATATGCGAAGAAACTGGAACAGTATATGCTGGTAAGATTGTCGCTAAAGAACTCCTCGTCAAACCTCATCAGAAAGAAAAGGTTTGCATGTTAATTAGTGATAATAATATTAATAATATATAATTAATGTAGATGACTCAAGAGATTGAGATCCACAGGAGCCTGTCACATAAGCATGTAGTTGGGTTTCACGGATTTTTTGACGATTCAAACAACGTGTACATACTTTTAGAACTCTGCAAGAGAAGAGTGAGAGACAACGATATTATTACAATTATTATTATTTGTCTGGTGCATTGTCTGTTATGTCTAGTCGTTGATGGAGTTACATAAAAGAAGAAAAGCTCTGACTGAGCCTGAAGTACGCTATCTCTTCAGACAGACTGTATTAGCAGTTGATTACCTTCATGATGTCAAAGTAAAATTCTATTGTTATTATTATTATCATTATCGTTATTATCATCATCATCATCATTATTATTATTATTATTTTATTATAGGTTATTCATCGTGACCTTAAGCTTGGTAACCTTTTCCTCAACGATGACATTGAAATTAAACTGGGAGACTTTGGACTAGCTACTCGTCTTGAGGAAGATGGAGAAAGAAAAAAGTACTGTATATGATCATGATGAAGAACGCTACCTTTTTGTACATAGGACATTGTGTGGTACTCCTAATTACATTGCCCCTGAAGTTCTCACGAAGAAAGGTCACAGTTATGAAGTAGACATATGGTCACTTGGCTGTATATTGTAAGTGAATTCAGGATCACTTTGAAGCAACTCTAAAAATTCATAAAAATCCAAATTTGATTGGAACCAGTTCAAACTTTCTACGCAACATAAGTACATGTATATGTATCAGAAAAATTATAAAAATGGAGAATTCTCTCCTAGCCATTTTTGCCAAAATTTGGCCCGTGACCACGTACTATAGTACAGGGACTTTGGCTCGATTTTTGAGCAACTTGAAAAATTTGTAAAAAATCCAATTTTGATTGGAATCACCTGAAACTTTCTACGCAACATAAGTTCATGTATATGTATCAGAAAAAAATCATAAAAATGGAAAATTCTTTCTCAGCCATTTTTGCCAAAATTTGGCCCGTGACCATGTACTATAGTACAGGGACTTTGGCCCGATTTTTGAGGAACTTTAAAAATTCGTGAAAAATCCAAATTTGATTGGAACCAGGTCAAACTTTCTATACAACATAAGTACATGTATATGTATCAGAAAAACTTATTAAAATGGAGAATTTTCTCCTAGTCATTTTTACCAAAATTTGGCCTGAGACCATGTACTATAGTACAGGGACTTTGGCCTGATTTTTTAGGAACTTTAAAAATTCATAAAAAATCCAAATTCAATCGGAATGACTTTAAACTTTCTACACAACTTAAGAACATGTATATGTATCAGGAAAAATTATAACAACAAAGAATTCTTTCTGAGCCATTTTTGACAAATACTCTGTGCTTGGTATTTTTTGCCAAATCTAAGTCACAACTTTAAGAACTTATAAATAATACAATTAATATTTAACCATACTTTTATTATGTAGATACACACTTCTTGTCGGTAAACCTCCATTTGAGACAAAAACCCTAAAAGACACATATCAACGCATCAAGAGAAACGAGTACCACATTCCTCATTACGTTGGACCTGAGGCAAGAACGCTAATATCGAACTTGCTCCGTCCTAATCCAGCGAACAGACCAACGGCCGCTGAAATACTCAAAGATCCTTTCTTCACATGTGGACACATGCCTGTCCGACTACCTGTCAGGTAACACCAGAGAACTATCAATCCTACACTTTAATTGTTCTGCATATTAACACATGTACTTGCATATCTTTTTTATTTTCTAGTTGTCTGACGACTACCCCTCATTTCAAGAAAGCTGCCGAGTCAGCAGTGAGCGGTCGTAAGCCGTTATCCGATCGTAATCCAATGACAGATGCTATGGATACTGCTGGAGGCGTGTTGAAGCCAGGGGGCGGGGCCACAGCCACTCATTTTGTTGAAAAGATACAAGGTAGACGGCAACATGTACTAAAAGTTTTGAAATTGAATTTTATCATTATTATTACTATTATTATTATTATTATTGTTATTATTATTATTGTTACTGTTGTAGGTTCTGAGGACTGGCACTTAAATAGCCTACTGTTACAACTCTCATCTTGTTTGACCTCATGTCCTTCTACCAAGAACCCAGCACATTATGGTATGAGGAATATTTTAACTATTATTATTATTGTACATGTACTATACTCGCCCCAATTAACGCACCTTCCTAATTATTGCACCTCTATATGGCTTCCTCAATAAAAACTTTCTATAGAGTGCACCTCCTGGTCTTGGTAATTATTTTCTAGAGGTGGATTGTAATTAGAAAGCCCCATTGTTTACAGGTGTATTGCGTACTTAGCTAGCTAAGCACCTCCTGGAACATTTCATAATGGTTCCTATCTAAACATGCACCACCTGAGACATGTAATTATTTATCAAGAGGTGCATTAATTGGGGGAATATGGTATTAGCATAAGTTTTTACTAATTTTTGCTGTGGTGTAACTACAATGCATGTCTTTACCAAAAATGGCAAAGAATTTTTTATGAAAAATTTGTTATACATAAGTATTTTAGCTAAGAACTTTTTTATTTGTATAAAATTGTTAAAATTGATGTATAATTAGTTATAAAGTAATGGTGTTTTCCTTATACAGATGAGGCTGAAGATCCTGCTAGCATGCCAGTGTTCTGGATATGCAAGTGGGTGGACTACACTGATAAGTATGGACTGGGATATCAGCTCTGTGATAACAGCATTGGTGTTCTCTTCAATGACTTCTCTAAACTATTACTAGGAGCTGATGGAGAGTAAGTCA